GGGCGACTATTGATGGTCGCCTCTAGCGGTACGTACCTCTAGGGGCGACTATTGATGGTCGCCTCTAGCGGTACGTACCTCTGGGGGCGACTATTGATGGTCGCCTCTGGCGGTACATACTTTTTTATCTTATTTTTTTCGACAGAATTTCCCTCCCCTTTAGTAGCACATCTGTACAGCAATCGATTTGGAATGCGTTCTAGGGCCCTTGAGACATCTTTCTAGCAACTTTCAAGCAATTTCATTTTTTGGCCAAAATTGAAAAAAAATCAAGGGGATAGCCTTACATTTTTAGTCAAAAAAGACTAAAAATTGACTTTTGTCAAATTCCTGTGCAAGCAATAGGAACATCAATCAACGCACTTACATGCAGACTTTTGAGAATTTGGGCAAAATCATCCATTTTTGGAGAAGATTTGTCCTAATTTTGGAGCGATTTTACCTTAATTTTTCGTCGAAATTTCTCCTTTAATAGCACATCTGTCCAGCAATCGATTTGGAATGCGTTCTAGGGCCCTTGAGACATGTTTCTAGCAAATTTCAAGCAATTTCATTTTTTGGCCAAAATTGAAAAAAAATCAAGGGGTTAGCCTTACATTTTTAGTAAAAAAGGCCACAAATTGACTTTTGTCAAAACAAGGCAGAAATTCCTCCACAAGCAAGAGGAACCTAAATAAATAATCGAACATGCAGAATTTTTAAGAATTGAGCAAAAATCATCCATTTTTGGAGAAGATTTGTCCTAATTTTGGAGCGATTTTACCTTAATTTTTCGTCGAAATTTCTCCTTTATTAGCACATCTGTCCAGCAATCGATTTGGAATGCGTTCTAGGGCCCTTGAGACATGTTTCTAGCAAATTTCAAGCAATTTCATTTTTTGGCCAAAATTGAAAAAAAATCAAGGGGTTAGCCTTACATTTTTAGTAAAAAAGGCCAAAAATTGACTTTTGTCAAAACAAGGCAGAAATTCCTCCACAAGCAAGAGGAACCTAAATAAATAATCGAACATGCAGAATTTTTAAGAATTGAGCAAAAATCATCCATTTTTGGAGAAGATTTGTCCTAATTTTGGAGCGATTTTACCTTAATTTTTCGTCGAAATTTCTCCTTTATTAGCACATCTGTCCAGCAATCGATTTGGAATGCGTTCTAGGGCCCTTGAGACATCTTTCTAGCAATTTTCAAGCAATTTCATTTTTTGGCCAAAATTGAAAAAAACTCAAGGGGTTAGCCTTACATTTTTAGTCAAAAAAGGCACAAAATTGACTATTGTCAAAACAAGGCAGAAATTCCTCTGCAAGCAAGAGGAATATCAATCAATACTTTAACACACATAATTTTGAATATTTTGGCAAAGATCGTCAATTTTTGGAGAAAAAGGTAATTTTTTGGGCGATTTTATCTTAATTTTTCCACGGAATTTCATCTTTACGTACCTCTAGGGGCGACTATTGATGGTCGCCTCTAGTGGTAGCTACCTCTAGGGGCGACTATTGATGGTCGCCTCCAGCGGTACGTACCTCTAGGGGCGACGATTGACGGTCGACGCTAGCGGTACGTACCTCTGGGGGCGACTATTGATGGTCGCCTCTGGCGGTACGTACTTCTAGGGGCGACTGTTGATGGTCGCCTCTAGCGGTACGTACCTCTGGGGGCGACTATTGATGGTCGCCTCTAGCGGTACGTACTTCTAGGGGCGACTATCGATGGTCGCCTCTAGCGATACGTACCTCTGGGGGCGACTATTGATGGTCGCCTCTAGCGGTGCCTACCTCTAGGGGCGACTATTGATGGTCGCCTCTAGCGGTACATACTTTTTATCTTATTTTTTTTCGACAGAATTTCCCCTTTAATAGCACATCTGTACAGCAATCCATTTGGAATGCGTTCTAGGGTTCTTGAGACATCTTTCTAGCAACTTTCAAGCAAGTTCATTTTTTGGCCAAAATTGAAAAAAAATCAAGGGGATAGCCTTACATTTTTAGTCAAAAAAGACCAAAAATCGACTTTTGTCAAATTCCCCTGCAAGCAAGAGGAACCTCAATAAATAATCGAACATGCAGAATTTTGAAGATTTGAGCAAAAATCATCTATTTTTGGAGAATACTCGTCTGAATTTTGGGGAGATTTTACCTTAATTTTTCGTCGAAATTTCTCCTTTAATAGCACGTCTGTCCAGCAATCGATTTGGAATGCGTTCTGTCGCGACATAAGACACTGTTTAGGGAGAGAAAAACAATATTTCGTTTAAATCTTCTGTCTATTTTGTCTTCCTTTCGTGACCAATCATCTGACCAAAATTCAATTCAATGCTCCAATTAGTTTTTGAGTTAGCGTGTAGACGTGGGCTATCGTTCCTGTGCAAAAGTGAAGCAATTGTTCTGTTTGGACTGCCACTGCAGCCCATCTTTAAGTGTTGTTACGTGTCGCGACACAAGACACTGTTGAGGAAGAGAAAAACAATATTTCGTTTAAATCTTCTGTCAATTTTGTCTTCTTTTCGTGACCAATCATCTGACCAAAATTCAATTCAATGCTTGAATTAATTTGTTAGATAGCATGTCGTGACGGACTATCGTTCCTGTGCAAAAGTGAGGCAAATGTTCTGTTTGGACTGCCACTGCAGCCCATCTTCAAGTGTTGCTACGTGTCGCGACACAAGACACTGTTAAGGGAGAGAAAAACAATATTTCGTTTAAATCTTCTGTCAATTTTGTCTTCTTTTCGTGACCAATCATCTGGCCAAAATTCAATTCAATGCTCGAATTAATTTTTGAGAGAGCATGTCGTCGTGGACTATCGTTCCTGTGCAAAAGTGAGGCAAATGTTCTGTTTGGACTGCCACTGCAGGCCATCGCCAAGTTTTGCTACGTGTTGCGACACAAGACACTGTTGAGGGAGAGAAAAACAATATTTCGTTTAAATCTTCAGTCAATTTTGTCTTCTTTTCGTGACCAATCATCTGACCAAAATTCAATTCAATGCTCGAATTAATTTGTGAGATAGCATGTCGTGACGGACTATCGTTCCTGTGCAAAGGTGAGGCAAATGTTCTGTTTGGACTGCCACTGCAGGCCGTCGCCAAGTTTTACTACGTGTTGCGACAAAAGACACTGTTTAGGGAGAGAAAAACAATATTTCGTTTAAATCTTCTGTCTATTTTGTCTTCGTTTCGTGACCAATCATCTGGCCGAAATTCAATTCAATGCTCCAATTGATTTTGGAGATAGCGTGTAGACGTGGACTATCGTTCCTGTGCAAAAGTGAGGCAAATGTTCTGTTTGAACTGCCACTTTAGGCCATCGCCAAGTTTGCTACGTGTTGCGACACAAGACACTGTTTAGGGAGAGAAAAACAATATTTCGTTTCAATCTTCTGTCTTTTTTGTCTTCTTTTCGTGACCAATCATCTGGCCGAAATTCAATTCAATGCTCAAATTGATTTTGGAGATAGCGTGTAGACGTGGACTATCGTTCCTGTGCAAAAGTGAGGCAAATGTTCTGTTTGGACTGCCACTTTAGGCCATCGCCAAGTTTGCTACGTGTTGCGACACAAGACGCTGTTTAGGGAGAGAAAAACAATATTTCGTTTAAATCTTCTGTATATTTTGTCTTCTTTTCGTGACCAATCAGTCTCATGGGACTTACTGCACAAAAACGAAACTAGTGGCATCAGCAACTACATCTGCCGTTTTCTCTCTGAGACATCTTTCTAGCAACTTTCAAGCAATTTCATTTTTTGGCCAAAATTGAAAAAAAATCAAGGGGTTTGCCTTATATTTTTAGTAAAAAAGGCCAAAAATTGACTTTTGTCAAAACAAGGCAGAAATGGTCGCCTCTAGCGGTAAGTACTTCTAGGGGCGACTATTGATGGTCGCCTGTAGCGGTACGTACCTCTAGGGGCGACTATTGATGGTCGCCTCTGGCGGTACGTACCTCTGGGGGCGACTATTGATGGTCGCCTCTAGCGGTACGTACCTCTGGGGGCGACTATTGGTGGTCGCCTCTAGCGGTACATACTTTTTTATCTTATTTTTTTGACAGAATTTCCCCTTTAATAGCACATCTGTCCAGCAATCGATTTGGAATGCGTTTTAGGGCCCTTGAGACATCTTTCTTGAAAAATCAATCAATACTCTAACAAGCAGAATTTTGAAAATTTGGGCAAAAATCACCCATTTTCGGTGAATTTTTGTCTTAATTTTGGAGCGATTTTACCTTAATTTTTCGTCGAAATTCACCGGAAGTCTTTTCATGCATCTGGTTTACACAATATGGGCTAGATTTAGCCCATTATGGAGTTATCCTATACATAGCACTGCCCGGCACTCTTCCGCAGCCAAAACCCTTGCCAAGGCGCAAGTGAGTCGGGGAGCGAGTCAGTTTGTCAGTCACCGTCAGTGTACATGTTCTACATAACCCCCCGATTGTCAGTCAGTGTCAGTCAGTGAGTGTCAGTGTTAGTCAGTGAGTGTCAGTGTCAGTCAGTCAGTGAGTGTCAGTATTAGTCAGTGTCAGTCAGTGAGTGTCAGTGTCAGTCAGGGAGTGTCAATGTCAGTCAGTGAGTGTCAGTGTCGGGGAGGGAGTGTCAGTCAGTGAGTGTCAGTCAGTGAGTGTCAGTGTCAGTCAGTGAGTGTCAATGTCAGTCGGGGAGTGTCAGTGTCAATCAGTGAGGGGGAGGCAGTCAGTCAGTGTCAATGTCAGTCAGTGAGTGTCAGTGTCAGTCAGTGAGTGTCAGTGTCAGTCAGGGAGTGTCAGAGTCAGGGAGGGTCAGTGTCAGTCAGGGAGTGTCAGTGTCAGTCAGTGAGTGAGTGTCAGTCAGTAAGTGTCAGTCAGTCATTGTCACTCAGTCAGGGGGAGCCAGCCAGCAAGCCACTGAGAGCCAGCCAGCCAGCCTCAGGGGGTCGGGGGGGGGGGGGGGAGTCAGTCAACAGGTGCAAAGAGAACACTAGGCTGGCCCTCTGGGACCAACAAAAAACAGGACTGGATAACACAGCACATCGTGATTAGAAAGAATTTATTGAGAAAACAAGTACTTTGAGGAATATTACTTTTATTTAAATGCATATTTTTGCAGTCTTTACATACCTACAGAGTTTATGATACAAAGAAGATACGTAATGCATTAACTCTAAGACTGATGGGACCGATGTGAAACTAATCCACTCCTTTCTACAGACCCACTCCCTTTATGTTAAATACATTTTTTACAAGATGTACATGCTGTAGATAATTTAAGGGGGTGGAGACAGGGCAGGCTGGGGGGGGGGGGGTTCCCTCCATTTTAAGACTTCCTAAAACAGGTTACATGGGCTCAACAGCGCTTGCTGTAAGTGGTATGTTTGTCTGAATCCCTGTATGAATGCAAAAATGTTGTGTCAGGCAGGCAGGGTAACGACTTGAACCACATCCGTGCCTCCATTCCCATGGTTCAAATCAGTGATTTAGTCAAGTCCCTGCAAGTCCATCACAAGTCCTCCAGTCCCAATATAACTCACAAGCTATTCACATGAGCTTTGACAAAGGGCATTTCTTTGTTATCGTTCATCCACTGTTACTTGTGCCTGGACTTGTGATGGACTCAACTACATGTTCAATGACAACAGAACTTATTTCAAACCTAAATATACAAGTATATATAGTCACTACATGGCAAACCTTGCAAATTTAAGTCAGCCAAGTACATCATTAACCACATGTGACGTTTACAGTGAAATCTGATAACTCAAAACAGCTGTTTAGTCAAATAAAGAATCCATTCCCTTCAGTAGTATAACGATGATATACAACCCTGCTTAACTCAAAACTCTGCTGAAGTCACATTTTGAACCTGTTCCCTTGAGGTTTGATTTATCAAGATTCCACTATACTACTTCCACAGGTTGAGTCCAATCCCCCCAACCTCCCCTGTCCACCTATATTGCATCCCCTTCCCTCTGACATTCTGGACCCGCCTCTAATACTGAAGTTTAGAGGTGCCTAAACTTAAAGGGAAAAAAAAACCTCTGCAGTGAAGCCCAATGTAAAAGCAAAAGATTTGGACAATACACTGATGAATAGTTGAAAGAACTTCGAGGAAACAAATTTAACAGCACCACAGCCACCTTTGAGAAGTGTGCTTATTTGTTCAATGGGGATACCCATGAGTAGACCTCTGATGCATTTATGGTTAAAGGTAGAGTATATCATTTGCAGCTATCCACCAAAGTAACTGACAAAATTATTGTTGAAAATCATACTCGGTTTAAAGATAGTAATGACACTAAACCAGTAAACTCTCTGTAAAAATTATTCACTTTGGCATGCTGTCATTTTGTAGAAAACAATCAAATGTGGTCATTTCCAAAGACGTCCAAAGATGCATTTTTGGAAATTTCAGTTAGTAGGTTGTTTTTAATTCAGCGGAGCTGCAATTGGCTGAATGAGAATGCCTCCTGGACGCTGACTTTAGATGTGATTCAAAACATGACTTGGCAACTTTTGAATTGAAAATCGAGATCCTAGAATATTGTTTTCTCGGAATACACAGCATTCACTGAGCTAAAACTTCATCACATTCGTTAAGCAACCATCTTTAGATTTTGAACACTTTTGACGGTTGAAATAGAAAAAATCCACAAATGACGAATGATATACTCTACCTTTAATAAATTAACGTAACAAAACACACCCCAAAGATGTCTGCTAATGCAATCAGTCTATCCTCAATGTTATACTCAAACCATAGACCGATAGACGTTAAGGCAGAGTCACAAGGCCATGGTTTGCATCGCTACGATAGGCGCGAGTAAACCTTTTGTGCATCCATTTTTATAAATTAAAAATTACAAAGAACACCCTCTGTGGCACCTGCAACGTGAAAGGTCTATATGGCTCAGCCTGGCAAACCATTCGTCAATATTGGTGATATTATAACCAATTCAACATATTATTTGAGGCTTGAGCAAATGTATTCGATTCATATGAGAAAATGCAAAATTTAACAGGCAGAAACTCGATGTTTATCTCAATACCTCCGGGTTCAACCACAAGTTAATGCTCATTTTATTTTACATTCTTCCCTTCTCATTTAGGAAAAATGCTATCATCATTGGTTTATGAATAAATACATAATCCTCTTTTTCATTATACGGTGAGGTAATGCAACATATGTCAAGCAATTCATTTCCAGAAACAATTCAATCACTACTTTTGGCAACACGTTTTCTGTCTGCATAAATGTTATTCCCTGTAAATCCCTAACACAATTTAAAAGCAAACACTCAACTTTAATACCCAAATAATTTAGAAAACAAAATTAGTCTGCCACGCGACACAAATCATCTAACTAAAGAAAGGACGTAAAAAAAAACACCAGTGAACAACATCCCAAGAAAAGAAAAGAATAGAAAACATTCATCACGTGCAATCAAGAGATTTAGAGGGCAATTAATTAAGCAAAACGGTTGCTCAATCAAATTATCATGTTGTCTTGGTGGCAACTTGCAAGCCAAAAGCTTCAGTCATCAACCTGCTCACAGTTACTTAAGTCAGCAAGTTTTGCAATGAATTACACACACAAGTAAAGTCCTGTGTGGAATTGTAACCGTTTTTTGTTCTGTCTTTTTCTTGTGCGAAATTGTGAACCTCAGACATTCCCACTTGGTTTTTCCAGACGAGGTGAGAATTGTATTTCTTTGCAATCAAAATCCATGTCATAAAGTCTGCTCACGGCACTTTGAGGTATGATGTGATTTTGTGGCTTCATTTTAACCTCAGAACCTCGCCGAGGTTCAGGCTTTGAGGTTGAGGTACTGAGGTTCAAAGTGCAAGAGGTCTCATGATTAATTTTTTTTAACATGGATACTTTAAAGACATAATGTGAAAGGATAATAAAAAAAAACCCACTTATGTAGAAATGTTTCTCTTGCAAGTTGTTTGTTTCTCATGAGGGCTGGGACCGAAATCATTTCGAAACCGATTCCACTTTTATTTTTTTTTAATAACAACCTCCCCATAAAAGTTACCAGTTGAAAAAGATAACACTTTTTAATGGCTGTAATTCACTATTGAAGTGTTACGTAATAGCAAGCGAAGTCACTGGACTTATCCTAGCGACGGGTCATGCCACACACATGGCAACGGATCCAGTCATCGAGTCACTGGTACTGCACGTGTATTCCAAGCAGAGTAAATCGTTCGAAAAATTTGACAACAAATGCTACCTCACGATGGTCAACTGTTTCGCTACGGACTGTAATCATACAAATAAAAGTCACACCTGTAGATTTGTTCCCAATTTTCTAAAAAAAAAAAACATAAATATTCTCCAAAAATACATAAGTTCGTAGTGAGTTGTGGTCGTGTTTGCATTGGCTTTGCTGTGCCAACGACCAGTTTTGGCAGATCACACGTAATCACTTCGATAGTGAATGTAGAAACACAACATTTAAAGGCAATTTCCTAAAACTTGACATTTCCACCATGTGAAAGGTTTTCAGATTCACTGCAAGCAGATACGCTCTTGGGCCAAAATTGTGTTATTTATAACAGAAAATTGTGTTAACCTTTTAAGCACTATTTCACAGCGTGGATGTGCTAACGGTTGCAAACGCATGGGGATTCTTATTGTTACATCACTAATTTAAGCAACTGTTTTCCTTTGAGATCAGCAGGTCTTTTGCTGTGATTACTGCTCAACGTCTTTGCTTTGTGAAATAGATGCAAGCTCTGTTAGAAGAAAATTGTGAGCTTAGCAGTGCCGTGAAATTGGGACTGATCCCTGCCTTTTTGTTGTCATTGGGGACTGGGTTGAGATGTTGGATAATGACGGACGTGAACCAGTCACCATCTTTACATGCAAGTGTACTGGTAAGATCCGATTATTGACTGCTATTGCTTTAAGGGTTCAGAATGTGGCTGCATATTAACTGTTCCCTCCATGTTTTAGGGTTTCTTTACACATGTTTTAGGGTTTCTTTACACATGTTTTGGTTTCTTTACACATGTTTTAGGGTTTCTTTACACATGTTTTAGGGTTTCTTTACACATGTTTTGGTTTCTTTACACATGTTTTGGTTTCTTTACACATGTTTTAGGGTTTCTTTACACATGTTTTGGTTTCTTTACACATGTTTTAGGGTTTCTTTACACATGTTTTGGTTTCTTTACACATGTTTTAGGGTTTCTTTACACATGTTTTGGTTTCTTTACACATGTTTTAGGGTTTCTTTACACATGTTTTAGGGTTTCTTTACACATGTTTTTTAGGGTTTCTTTACACATGTTTTAGGGTTTCTTTACACATATTTTGGTTTCTTTACACAGGTAAATGAACATTGACAGTTGTTCTTGTAAAGGTTGTGGTTACATGTGAACACTACAGGGTGGTGCTAAAAGAAGGAAACCCACTTTTGACAGGAATTTTATTTGAAATGTTTTTGTATTTTGTAGTGAGGTACAGCTCTCCAACCATACAGAGTTAAAAAAATCTTTAAAAAAACTTGCAAGAATAGTGTTATTATGTTAATTTGAATACAAGTCACCAAAATCACTGTTGTCCACGTGTAAGTCTAGTGCAGTGTTTCTTGTCTTCAAATCAAGCTCGGGAGCTCAGTCAAGCTGATAGAATAAAGCCGTCCATGGACAAACAGGTGTAGCACATGAAATTTTTTAACTACCATATCTCAGAGACAAAATGTGCATTTGCAATCATTTTTTTTCGTCACTTATGCTTAAAGATCAACATGTTAATACCATTAAATTGAATTTTCGAAATATGCTCAACGAGTAGGTGAAATTGCTGTCAAAAATGGGTTTCCTTCTTTTTGCACCACCCACTATACTGTCACATTTACTCCTTTGATGGATTGGAAGGTTTGCGTAATCTCATTGCATATGGAGAGGCCCTGACTGGTGCTGCCGTGGTGGGTGGCTGCTGTTGTTTAGACTGTGCTGCTTGCTGTTGAGGCTCAGGTGATGAGGCAGGTGGATGCGTATCAGGTTTTTTGACGGCTGTGGCTGTGGCTGTGGCTGTGGGCAGGGCAACAGTTGGTGACTCGGTTTTTACCACTACTGGGGCTTGTTCCCTAACTGGTGGAGTAGCTTGGGGCTGCGGCTGGGGCTGTGGTACAGACTGCGACTGTGGCTTGGCTTCAATCTGTGGCTCAAGTTTGGCCTGGGTTGGGGTCTGGGACTGAGACGTCAGGCTCTGAAGTGCTTGTTGCTGTTGTTGTTGCTGCTGTTGCTGCTGCTGCTGCTGTTGTTGGGCCTGCGCTTTCTGAAGTTGCTGCTGGACTTGCAGCTTCTGCTGCTGCTGCTGCTGTTGCAGTTGCTGATGCGCGGCAGCTGTTGCTTGCAGCCGCGCCTGGACCGTTCCCGTCTGCTTTATCTGAGCCTGCGGTGTCTGGGCCTGCTGCACCAGGCGGTGTGCTGCCGATTTCAGCGCAGCCTGCCGTTCCGCCGGTGACAGTGACAGCGCTTTGGTCGTTTGGGCACTCAGGGTGACCTGCACCGGCGATCCTGACTGTATGGTCCCCTGGGGTTGTATGGACGCCGTCACCTGACTCGAGCTGGCAACCTGAACTGATGCCGCTCCACTAGTGCTCGCCTGGCCCTGTCCCCTGGACGGCTGAGTGCCTGGAACGCTCTGCACAGTCACCGTCTGTTGAGGCTGTAAGCCGCTGCTCTGTGATCCCTTCTGCGCCAGGGCTTGCGCCTGGGAGATCACCCGGGCCAGCTGTGCCATGTTCTGCGTCCCTCCACCTGCCATCAGTTGTGTCAGGATCTGTTTCGTGGAGGCAGTCATGGGTAGGGTTTGGGGCAGGCCACCCATAGTTTTTGCCACGGTCAGCAGCGAGTTGCCTGAGACCGTCGGGATGATAGTGACCGGTTTGCCGGCCTGTTGGATGGACAGCGTGGCCCCAGCTCCTGTCCCTGATTGCTTGACTTGCTGCTGCAGCTGCTGTCGAACTGTGCCCAACTGCTGGACCTGTAGAAAGTAATATAAAACATCCCACTGATATAGAAATGTTGTTCGAGCACAACACCTCAGAAACAAAATTCCGCTCTTTTTCATCTCTTTTTCAGCATCAATTTAATGACAACTGTGGATTACTTTTGTCAGCAGTTACAGACACTGTTAACGGGGCATCACAGCCTGAAATCCCCCAAAATTTCTTATTTTGGATTGTTTTCTTATACTATTTCAATGGTCTGGTTGAAAAGAAACCAACCGAATGTATTACCATTCCCAAGAAAAGAAAAAATCCTGGTTGTTTACATCGGACGCGACAGACATTGTGTGGCATACCCATTTGTATTTCAAGTCGTGTCTATTCAATGAGCATACACGTTGTGTGTGTGTGGCACATAATACACACAGCACCAATACACAAATGATGTTTCTAACACATCCGCAGGGTGCGAATCACTGTGCAGCTGGATTCACAACTAGCATATATCGCTTTTTTTCAGGGACAAAATTGTAACCCCCTAAATTCATTGTCAAAAGATGGTTGTGTGGACGTTTATATTCTTATTTTAAATGCTATTTCTATTTAATGTCAATTCGTTTAAAACACTTTTTGTAGCCCAATTGGGCGTATTACAGGCCATAATGTACCTTTGAGTCAACTTGAAAAAAAATTATGTAAAGCTGCAAGGAAAACCCACAGATTTAGACATCTGTTTTTAATATTCTAAGTGAAATTTGGCCTCATAGGGCCCTTTCAAGAGGGTAGCAATTGCAGAAAAATATCTTGCAGGGAGACACAAATCCCAACATCACAGCAACAAATCCTGTATATATATATCCTACAAATAATAAACAACAGCAAAATCAAGACGCTTGTTGTTCCATCTACAATCCTGGCCAAATCTCGCTGGGCCCCCAACCCCCCAGCCCCCGTTCAATGATGTCTCTCATTGCGCGGTGTGTGCTCCATCAGCTGGAGAGAACAACATTGACCGGGGGAGCAGGGGAGCGAGTGACCGTGGCAGGCTCAGGAAGTGTCCCAACCATTTTGGCCGGGATTGTAGCACATGCTTTTTGGGGGTATGGCCCATTTTAATGTGAAAGTGCAGTTCCTAAATGACATTCAACATCATGTTAACATTAACACTTCTAATCCTCACCTGGCCTACTCGCTGCACTACCGCAGGGCTGCCCTGAGCCTGGGAGGTCGTGACCCTTTGAACTCTGACCTGCTGTAGTTGCTGCGGGGTCAACGTGCTGACCTGCTGTGAGAGACGTTGCCGCTGGCTGCTTGTTGTCTGCACAACCTGTGTCATAAATAGACATTTTGGTACATCTTTGAAGAATCGCTGATTTAATATTTAAAGGTAATATACAACATTTGCTGTTGCTGTAATTTTCAGAAATGGGACGGATTTTGAGGTTAGTATTTTATAGCAGATATTGTTACCGTGAACTGTTGAAATGTTTGTGTTCATATACGCTGGAAAAAAAACAGGGAAAAAGTGCTCTTCTTGTGGTCTGGTTCCCTGGCCACTCCAGACGAAATGGAGCAATTTATAGTCGTCGGGGCATTGTCAGGTCTGGGAACCTGACTAGCTGGCTTGCACCCGTTCATGGATGTGTAACTGATTGCAACAAAATGTGAACTAACTAAATTTGGTTAATTGGGGGCAGTAATTGACAGGCATGCAACTGGGAAATCACAAAAAAAGAGGAAATTCAAATTTTCCCCAGACTTTGTAGTTTTTTTCTATTTTCAATGGCACACATGGGAAGTAAAAAAAAGAGGAAATCAGCTGATCCGAGGAAAAGTTGCATGCCTGAATTGAAAAAACAGAATACTACATGTGTTGCTCACACTTGTATTGGCAGAAATGCATATTACAGGTTACTACAGTATTTTGTAGCTTTAGGTGAGGTTAGGGTTAAATGACCGTAAACTTCTGTAAAATTTACAATTAACACTCGTACTATCTACTTAGCAGCTCTAAGAGAAATGAGGCCCTGTTCAGGGTTCCCAGCACTTTATAAAAACATGATATCAGGTTTTTCACTGATATTTCCCTGAGAAATTTTCAAAATTCCATGAGAAATATTTTTGCTTTAACACGGTTGCTGGAAAATCAAGAGGCGGTTGCAGCAAAGCAACTAAGATACTGATAGCACACAGGCAACTTGTTGACAAGCGATGGCCTCCCTTCTCCCCTTATAGCTATATTCCGAGTTGGTCAATGGACACAGCTTGAACACACCGCCCAAGACGCACACACACCCAACTGGCGAACACCTTTTCCTTCTGGGTCACTATCAAATTCCCTGAGTTTTCCCCAGTTTTTTGGTGGTTTTCCAAATTTGCTGAGTTTTCCTGACTGGAAACTCATTTTCAAGGCTTCTCCTTATTTCCAGAGTGGTCGGGAACCCTGCTGCACCTGTCAGTAACACAAGTGGACGAGATCCACAGTCCATACCTGACTAGCCAGCGAGCCAGTGACGGCGACTGATACCGACGGGGAGCTGATCCTGATCTGGGCTTGGCTGATGGTCCCCGAGGCTCCTTGCTGCTGGGTCTGGCTGACTACGGTGTTGCCTGTCTGCATCTTCTGCTGTTGAGCCAACAGTTGCTGGGTTTTGATTGTCAGCTGGGGTAAGGGCAAAACAAACAAACACTTGTTGTTAGAACTGCCATGTTGCTGTAGTCTTGTCGATGTACCCTAACGTGGCGCGGCCGCTAACGTGGCACACTTTGATTTTTCGCCTCTAGTAGCTTGCTAGAGCAAAGTTTTACCTTGAATTTCACAGTAAGTAAAATTTCGTCAGGCTCTAAACATTTCCGTTCATAAATCTGGAGTCAGCCGACCCGGCAAGCTCGGTAGTTGAGCGGTAAGACTTCTGCACTAGAAAGCAGGTCGTGGGTTCGAGTCCCACCCGAGTGATTTTTCTCTCAATCACTCGGGACACTACAGTATTTGGGTAAAACCAAATATTGAACATGACTGACTTGACATGACAATCCCCAGCCCCTGCCCATACACATAACGAGGCGAAAGCCACCCACCAGTTGTTGCTGCTTGGTCTGGTGCTGACCCTTCTGCATCTGCTGTATCTGGGTGAAGTTGATCTTGGGCCTGGCCACCATGCCAGGGAGAGTCGGGGGCTTCATGGGGATGTTGCCTTGCTGCTGCTGAGCTTGTTGCTGCTGCTGCTGTTGTTGAGCTCCCCCGGCCCCCTGGGCCTGGGCCTGCGCCTGGGCCTGGGTGAGACCCTTGGGTGCTCCCGCCGTTGCTGCAGCAGTGCTGACTGTCAGCCCGCTGAGGGTGATACCCTTGAGTCCGGCCACCGTGGTGAGGGGCAGGGTGGTGATGGCCGTGGTGGTGGTCTTTTGGCTCTTTTGGCTCTGGCTGGCCAGGAGTTGTTGCTGACGCCTCAGGATGGCCGTCAGTTCCTCGTTCTTGATGGCCCGGGTAACGGTCTTGCCTGCCAACTGCATCTAAGGGAAGACAATTTTTTTTAAGGAGTCACATACAATTTTAAGTCAAAATAAAATTGAGAGTCTGACATTTTGACAATTTGATTGGGAATCTAAATTTATACAAGGCCAAAAAAAAAAAAGTTCTGCTTCCGGTTCCTGACCTACCCTATTTTTATGGCCCTAACCTTTACATATTTATCAGCAAGTTACAAATAAATACTAAGAAAAAAATTCAAAATAATAAAGCAAAAAAATCCTGTTGTGTTTTCTGCTTTCACGAAATGCCTATCAACAACCTTTTTATGTCAAAAATGCTTGTATTTCTTTGTTTTTGCCTACTTATATTCGCTATTTTCGAAAAGAAACCATAGTTGTTTTAACAAGTTCCCTTCGCAATTTCAAGTTCCCTTTGCGATTCGCTATCGCGGTCATGAAAACATGTGCGCATTGATGTGCCAAAAAATCTGTCACAAAAGACACAAGATGTCTCTATTTGTATGTCTGAATCAGGAACGAGCTACTACTACTACTACAACTGACCTGTGCCCTGGCCTGGCCAGCCTGGGTCAGCTGAGGCTGGGCCAGGGAGGACGTCGTCGCAGCCACCTGGCTGACCGTCACGTTGCTGGTGGGTGGTTTCTGGCCGGACTGGAGCTGTTTCTGCACAGCTTGGGCCTGGGCCTCCGCCTGGGCCTGGGCCACCTTGGCTTGGGCTTGGGCTTGCTGCAGTCGCTGTTGGTATCAAAGAGAACAAGCTCCATATGATCTCAGAAGCCGTGGACTCCCAATGAATCTGTGTTGCACTTTGTGTGGAATGTGTACGCGGAGCAGGCATGAGGGTATTGTCTCCCGGATTATTGCCTTTCATTGAATGTTTGTTACTAATTAACGGAGAGACACAACTTGTCGAGCTGCTGTCGGCAGCTAAAAACCAGACGACTCTTAGGCTGCATCTGAATTTCTTGTCTATAGATTTATATTTTCTGCCTCTATTATTTGCCACCAATACATCAACCATATACCAGCTAAAAGAGTGTTTTCGGATCGTTCAAATGGGGCAGTTTATTCATAGTGTTGCCATTACAAAAACATTTAGAAAAGTGCTTCAGAAGTATCCAGGCATAATTTAAGGTATGGAGTGCCGTTTGGTCATTTGGTGAAATGGTTTGCAGTTAAGGTTTACAATGTGAAGTGTGTTCCACAGAAACAGCGCCCTCGGTTGTAAGGAAAATAATGAAACATTTTAAATTAAAAAAAAAAGTGCTCTTTGGAAATTTGTTCCAGAAAAGGATGTCTCATAGTTTTATACGTTTCAGACGAATAGAAATTTTCTACAAATATGCGCCAGTGTAGATTTCATTTCATGAACCCTTTAAGGGTCCTACTGCTTTTTGCAGAAGATACGGCAAATGAGGACGGACTGATAAGAGATTTAAACTAGAAAGCACTCAGAGAGCGCAATCTCCGCCAAGGCTAAACAACCCAACCATATTGTTAGTACATCCAACATGAGGATCTTTTAAAATGCTCAATCATGTTCTGAAATCAAAGGGCAGAAACACTCAGTATTAATATTAATATTAATTGTTCACTTGTTGAAATTGAATACAGAATAATCAAGTGCATATAGCAGAATTGTGCCATTTCCATAGGGTCACTGTTTAAAATTAGGGTCATAAAACAGGGCTTGCTAGCCGAGAAGTCTCTAGAGGGACCAGAAGGCTGGCATAATGACTTTAACACACACCGCCTGTCACTTGCACTGTGTGCACAGTATATGGCCCAGCAATGGTCGGGTCCATTAGTTTTTTTTGGGGGGGGGAGGGGTGCCCAAGTTTCATGGCCTATGGCATATTTGCACATACAAAATGGTGAAGAATCCTTTAAAAAAAACCTGCATCAGGATTACGTCCAAAATCGAATGGGTCCGCACTTGTACCAAGGACCACCCCTACACAAATTTTCATGAAACTCTGCCCTCAACTTTTTGCGTTATCCTATTCACAGTCAAACCAACCAACCTGAACCAACACCGGTGAAAACATAACCTCATTGGCGGAGGTAACAAAATGTGGGGGGGGGGGGGGGGGGGGGGGCTTTTTTCCCTTCAATTATATTATTTGTTTCTACTGACCTTGATTTGTGCCTGCTGCTGTGCTTGAGCCTGCTGCATCAGTTGCTGTTTTATGGCTTGCTGTTTTATCAGGCTGAACTGGGCTACCTTAGCTGCTAGTAGTCAACACAAAAGTACAATATTTGACAATGTTTAAGCCAAAAAAAAAAAGTCTCCGGTTTCTGGTATGCGCGCGCGTCGCCGTAGCCATGCGCGTCGGCAAAATGAAAAAGTTTTTTTTTCAATGAAAGATGATGTCTCAAAACCGCCAAACTCACTGGTTTGACTGGAATCCTGCTGCTGCACAATTTTAACGTGTTTTTATATGGGGTTATGATCGAGAATAAGCTTTATGTGGCCTCTCTGGACTCCCATATATTTTCACTAAGTTTAGTCGGGCACCATTTGCAGTCATCAGCCGACATTTGAAGCAAAAAAGTCGGGTAAAAAAAAAAAAAAGCCGCGTCGCCGCACCACTTTTTGGACAAGCTCCATACCAGAAACCGGAAACTTTTTTTTTTGGGCCTTATATACAATTTTTTTTTTCCAGAATTATTTGAATGTGTAAACATATATCCCAAAATGCAAAAAGACAGAGAAAACACAGATTTGTTTTATCACAAATCTCTGTGACGCCCATTCACAGACCACAGGTTGATTTCATACAAAAACGATAACGCCCATTTTCAGATGGGTACCTTAAAGGTAGAGTATATCATTTGCCTTTTTTCCTTTTTGTTCGTAAGAAGCAACAACAGTGCTCAACATCTACAGAAGGGTGCTTAACAACTTACCTGATGATGTTTTATTTTAGCTCAGTGAATGCTGAATATTCCAATACAACAATATTCTAGGATCTCGATTTCAATGCAAAAGTTGCGGAGCCATGTTTTGAATTGTGCCCGAAATCAGCGTCTGGGACACGTTCTTATTCAGCCAATTGCAGCTATGCTATGTCTCACACTGAACCGACGAATTGTATCAACCATGCGCGCGTGTGCGTTGTGTCAAAGCTGGTGGGCACCCATTCACGTCTTTGCCGAATATAAAAACGAACTACTACCGGAAATTTCCAAATATGCGTCTTTAGACTCATCTTTAGAAATGGCCTTCTTTTAGTGTTTTCTTCAAAATGACAGCATGGCAGAAAGCTGCATGCTGTGAAATGCCAGCATGCTGTGAAATAATTTCACAGGGAGTTTAGTACCATTACTATCTTTAAACCAGGTGTACATATCAACAATAATTCGTCAGTTACTTTTTGGGATAGCTGCAAATGATTTACTCTACTTTTAAATAATAACTGATACTAGGATCAATTTGACCGAACTGTGTTAACCGTGTCCTTACTTCCTTCTGAATGCAACTAAACTCATTAAAAAATTTTAAAATGGATTTTTTTGGTCATGTTATCTTACTTAGTTCATCTGTATTTATGATGAGTTTTTCTATGTGTTTTGCTAAATCTGTTACTCCCTGAACCATCAGTCTTAGAGCGGACGCTTTATAAGTTAAGATGCGTTACAAGACGAGAAATTTTTTTTTGAAATCAGCCTCGGTAAAGAATCGCCAAGTGCCTACCTGTCATTGTAGCAGTGGCGGTGGGCGTTGATCTAGCCTGGCTGACAGACCCTGCAGAGGTGATGACCACCTGCGTGCCTGATGTGACTGGTGCACGGACCTGGCTTGTGATGATGCCTGCCGAGCTAGGCAGGGAGACGTGGGCGATGGTGGTGCGGACGGCCTGGGCACGGACTACCTGCCCCAGGGGACTTGCAACCTTGTTCAGAAGAAAAAGGAAATGTCATAGATCTTCAACTCCCATAACATTTTTTATAAAAATAATAATAATAATGTGGTGCTTTTATAGCGCTTTAAACCAAAGGTATCAAACAGCTTCCCAATTATTACCCCTGTTCATCAGGCCATGAGACCATTGATCTGCAGCAGCTTGAGATCAGCGCAATGTAGTCACTACCTTCACAGGTACCCATTTATACTCCTGGCTGGAGAGAGGCAATTCGGGCGATTCACAATGCAGAGCGCCACCAAAAGTTTGCCATGGAGAGTTCATTCTTCCCAGTGCATTGTGGGAGATGGTCGACAAATTCGCAGCGCAGGACACAGGTCAGTAGTTTCGTAAGCGTATGATTCGAGTATCTGTTTGCCCTTTTCTTTTCTTTTCTTCGTATCAATATGGTGATTTTTGGTAAGGCGGCTGAACGCTACGCCCCTATCTATAACAAATTAGCTCAAGTGTCTACTGACACTCATTCAAATGGGCCATATTTTGTTGACCGTAAACTTGAAAAGTTGACTCTCCATGGCAAACTCTTGGTGGCGCACTGCATTGTGAATCGCTCGAATTGTAGTAAAGTTTCTTGCCCAAGAACATGTGGCAGGGCCAACTTTCACTTGTGGTTTTTAATGTATTGTTAGTGTAAAATAGGAGTAGCCCCCCTGAATAAATCTAGCCTTTTTATTAAAAAGGCTAGATTTATTCAGGGGGCTACTCCTATACTAAAAAACTAACGATACATTAAAAACCACAAGTGAAACTTGGCCCTGCCACAAACACAAGCACAGTTTTCCCCGTCAGGGTTCGAATCCATGTACCACGGCACATGAGTGGAACACCATAACCACTGGACCACAGTGCTCCACTGTAACCTTACTAGTACCCTTGCTAGTAACCTTAACCTTGCTAGTAACCTTGCTAGTAACCTTAACCTTGCTAGTAGCCTTGCTAGTAACCTTGCTAGTAACCTTCCCAACTCATCTCAAATCCTCTGACATGCAGAAAACTTATGCCACTTTCATTTGGTTTTGTAACTTTCAGTGACTTGCCAGTACTTTCCTCAATACTGCACAAAATCCTCAAAAACCCGCCTGGGAAATACCTAGGGTTTGTGCACTTTCAGATGAAACCTTTTAGGACTTACAAGTACTAACCCTAACCTCACCTAAAGCTACAAAATACTACCGAGTAGAAACCTGTAGTATGCATTTCTTTCCAAACAAGTGTGCACAACACATGTAGTATTCTGTGGTATTTGGTCCTTGACCCCGAAAGAGCCGTTAGGACGTTAGGGCTAAAGTGAGCATACAACACAGATCCACTATATTTATTATAAAAATAACGTGGGAATTTTACAACCCAAAAAGCAATGTTGTGAATGGGCATGGTGTGATGATAAAGGCATGAAAGACTTTGGGTGTTTTTTTTAGAAAAAGGAGCATGTTGTGAACTTTTTAAAGGCTTTTCTGCAAATTTTTGTCCTACCCTACCTGTTTTACCATCGATCTTTTGTTTATACTCTAATTTTTTGCAACAGCTCCCATTGGTTTTGTACACGTTTTCTAAACAAGGACATCCTCGTTTTGACTCTTGTCCTCAATTACTCAAGGATGTTTCACATGCGTGTCCTCGATTTACACCATAAACAAACCCACACATACACACTTACAGTAGCCATGACGGGCGTGGCCCCCGAGATGGTCGCCATGGTTCCCACCTGCTGCTGGGTCATGCGCTTGTTGATGTTTGCGAAGGAGTTGCCCGGAATGGCCGTCACCACGCCGGGTGTATTGACCACAATGCTGTTGGCGCTGCCGCCGGTCACGCGGATGGCCGTGGTGCCCAGCGCCGTGCGATTGATGGTACCCGGCTGCTGTGGAATGTGAAATGGCAATGGGATGAGTTGGGCACCAATGAGCAAGGGTTTCTTGGTCGGCAATGTGTTCCCCCCCCCCCCCCCCCAGTGCTTTGTATTTCCTAGACAACATTTCATCAGAGACCAGCCACAACCAGCACCCTTGGGTAGGGTTGTGACAATGAGGAAATCAGTGGGATGAATGCAAAGAGAAGCCTGACGCTGGTGAATGAAAAAATGTATAGTGAAACACTAAGATTTCTGCACTGGTTTGATGGGATATCTTGCCCTGCAAACAACGAATGACAGGGAACGTACCAGCCTGACGAAAGACGACCCAAATTGAACAAAGTTCCACAGCCAAAAAGAGTACTTTTGTTTTTTTGATTTAAATCCAAACGTAAAGACAGTGCAATCTCAAGGCTAGCAATCACAATAGAAGTTGAGAACACAAAAAATGTGCATGCCATCATGTCTGTGTGTTGAGAAACTGTGCACTGCCAAATTTTATGCAATGGCTAGGGTTAAGGGTGAAAGGTTAAGGGTGAAGGGTTAAAGGTCAAAGGGTAACTGTACCATGACTGTAGCTGTAGTGGCAGTAGTGACTGGTGGAGCTACTGCTGCTGCTGCAGCTGCTACAGCCTGCTGCTGCTTGGCCTGAGCATCTTGGATCCGCTGTCGCTGCTGTTGCTCCTGTGCTGCCTGTAAGCATGGACATGAAACAATTGCAAAAGCAGGTCACATTAGGCTTCAAAACCTTTAACTGTTCTGGTTTGCTTTTTTTCTCAATATTTTTGCTCCAAGGTCTGATGACTTTGCATGACCTCAATACAGCAAAGTATGCATTGAAATGAGGTGATAATATAAAGGTTTACGGTTGCACTATGTGTCAAAATCTCTTTTGTGAGGTTCTGAAAAGAACCGGGGGACGAAACTCAACGTTTCGGACATTATTATCTGCCCGTTGTCAGGAGACTGAAGGATTCCAACAGTGAAGGGGTGATGAGGTAGGGCTGTGCATCGGCATCGGGGATTCGGGTACCCCGAACGTTGATGTCAGGAACAGGTTCCAGATTATGGAATTGAGTACACATAACAAACTTTACATATTACTTAGTAACTTCTCAGACAATGACAAAGAAAAGTTTGAATGTCATTGGTGGGAAATTTTCAACAATGAAAACACAATATATTACACATTTATGATGCAAGCGAAAGTTGCAGTTTACACCGTAAAACAAAAATGCTCACTGGGTGATTTGATGTACTTCGCCTAGCTGCACAGATGTACATGTAGTAGTATTATTGCATGGGCCTTTATAAACAATCTGAACAGCAAATTCCCAGATTTGACTTGTGGGGTTGGGTTTCTTTAACGTGTACCCGTGTTTTCTTCAATCGGATACCCAGTTCCTGTAGTTCCCGTAAATGCACACCCTTTATGATGAGGTGATGTGAGCGGTATTGAACACACAATGCGACATTAAACAAAATGTTCAGCAAAGATTCTTGCACACATTTGTCATGTGGCTCAAACAATACAGGACAATGCCAAACAAAATGCAATAAGAGAAAAATGGTCACGCCAGTTGCGCTGGTAAAATGAAAACTGCTCAATTGAACTTCCGCTGATGTATTTGTTCTTGTATGAAGAAGGGCAAGCCACACAGGCGTACTACTAAACAAAATGTCACTTGTCAATGTGTATTTTTCAATGTACTTGTGAAATTATTACAGTGTGGCATGGGCTTCTTGCACAAAAACCCCCTCAACAAGAAAAAGGGAGGGTTGGGGGAGACCACTGGGAGAGACATTCAAACAATGACACCTGACACTCACGCAAGATCGCTATGGCTTTGCTTGCATTCAGAATAGAATTGGTCATGCATACTTTTGAGCCATACGCATGCGGACCAGTACGCGCACGTGGTGTGTCTCCCCACTGGAGTTTTCAAAATTGGTCAGAGAGCGCCCTCTCTTTTTTTGCGCAGGGAGCCCATAATTTTCCTCTCCTGATATTTCCACTGGCGATGCGTACCTTCTTTTCCCGTGCAATTCTCTCAGCTCTCTTGGTGGCCACCTGGATGGGTACCATGGGCTTCTCATAGCTGATACCAAAGTCGTTCAGTACAGCGCTGTGCTTGGGGTTCTTCAGCAGGGGATTGTTGAGGCTGCGAGAACAACGTGGAAATGGATCAGTGGTGTAAGCGTTGAGCCCAGCACAAGTGCAGTTATTATTATTATTTGTGGTTTATTAAAACACTGCTTATAGCAGCCCACAGGCTGAATTACAAGTCAGTTTACATACAAATTTCAATAAAAATTAGATGAGGTTGAAATCACAAAGAGTAAACGGTAAAAACAAAGGAAAATTGTAAGTACAAAAAAATATAGTATACATATCAAAAATTGCACAGAAAAACAATACATGTACTATGCTAAAAAGAACCGGTAATTTCATTGGGCTGGTGGGAGTGAACTGAGTGCGCTATTAACAAGTCTGTTGAGATATGGGACTGGGCTATTATAAAAACGGGTTGTTTTACAAGATGGAACATGAAGTGTTCGTTTGGACCGGAGATTCATAGTATGGGTGCTTTTAGATTTGACAAACCACTCATTGAATTTGCTTGAGTTAAAGGATTTCATTGCAAATTTGTTACAAAGGGAGGTTCTGCGCATGTCCAAGGGTTCCAAACCAAAACTGGTCAAAGCTTGTTCATATCCAGTATATATAAGTGAATCAATCAAACAATTCATAAGACAGGAAAAAAACCTTGTTTTGAGGGTGGTTTCTTTCTTGAGTTCAGTTGGCTACTTACACCTGTTTGAGGTAGGGCTGTCTCTTGCCGATCACCGTCTTCATCAGGTCAAACTTGTTGGAGTAGAACATGGTGTGGGAGGCGTTGCCGTCCTGGGTGTGTAGCTGGCTGGTCTTCATGGGACGGTTGTTCTTGGTCTGCTAAGGAGTGAAATTCAAGAGACTGAGTTTGAAGATTTAGAATATAAAAATGTGGTATTTGTGTGTAAATGCATGCTGGTGTGCTTGTTGAACGCATATTGTTCCCAAGAGCCAGTAGCTACAGAGTAGGGTTCAAACATTCTGTGAAGGGGTGGTTTGAAAGAGAGAAATACATTTTCCACCAATTTTGTATTGCAATAGAAGTTCATTTTAACTGTAAATCAAATGACAAGCATCTACATGTCAGTTATATAAAACAAGTGGCTTTAAATTGGGAAATGGGAGGAATATTATCACTCGGTAAAATCTGGACTTTTCCACTTCACTCAGCTAAAGTCTAGAATTTACCTTGCGATAATATTCCTCCCATTCCAATCTGAGCCACTCAATATTTGTATATTATTAATCTATTCTGAATGATCATTAACCCACAGTGTCTACATACGAGCCCTGCACCTACTACAGCATGCGGTTAGGTCATTTGTAACTATCTCTCTGTAAAACTTGTGCGGGGCGTACTTTTGCAAGGTGTCCATAGTAGCAATAAGCCTCTGTGCTGATGACGTCACACTTTGTTTACATGTGCACTTTCCTATGGAGCCAGTGGGGGCCCAAGGTCCACTGAGCACCATAGGAAAGCACACACGTGAACAAAGTGTGACGTCATCAGTAAAGAGGCTTATTACTAACAAGTAACAAGTGTCCAAAATAAACTGCAGTATTAATTTCCATTCACAGCTGGCACTGGTTTTTAAAAAAATACTTTCAGAGTTATCAAATTCTGTGTAAAAAATATTAGCTGGAACAAGAAGGTTCATGGTGTGGAACATGAAGTCAAGCCTTACCCTGTGTATGCCCTTAGATTTCTTCTGTTTCTTGGGGTAGGTGTCATAGAGTATCTTGCCTTACTGAGAGGGGCAGAGAGTTTGAATCACGGAGTCAAGCCTTACCCTGTATATGCCCTTGGATTTCTTCTGTTTCTTGGGGTTGGTGTCATAGAGTATCTTGCCCTCCTCCCGTGGTATGATGACGTTCTCGTAGCGGTGGCGGCACTGCTTGGGGGAGCGGTAGATGCGACTGGTGCCGTTGACAATGTCACTAACCAGGTCCCAGTTGATGACGTGGCCCGGTACGACGGCCTGGAGGGTGAGGGGGAGCTCCTGAAGAGCTTGTACAGCCTGAGGGAGGAGGATTAAACGGGGACAAAATACTTAGAAAAAAACTAATTTGCATTCTGAAATGTGTGACCTGCAAAGTGTATGCATATAGGAAATTAAAATGGACTCAATTAGTATCTTTGAAAAGAATCGTCCTGAATTCCCTCGCAAGTGTTCCATAAACCCATGACACATCATTTGCACTGAAACTATCAAGGGACACAAATACTATGCAAAGTAATATTTGATTGGTTCGAACTGTTTCCAGCAGGGACGGAACAGCCTTGAAAGCTGGGGGTGGGGTGGGGTTTGGGTTTGGGTTGGGGGATTGGGTGGGGGTGGGGGTGGGGGTGGGAGGGTGTGGGGGTGTTTCGGTTGGACCTTTGACTCAAAGGTCAAATAATTGACCTTTGCTTGGTTTAAATAGATTGGCTAAAAGTGGAGGGGCAAAATCGCTAACTTTTCAAAGGTATCATTAAGAATGACTTCCTGGATTATTTACTTGGTGGGTAGGTAGTTCGCTATTCATTATCACTCATGGAGGATGACTGTATCAAGGAGATCATCAAAATTCTAAAATCATAAATGTCTGATGTAACAGGGACTCTAAATTTATAGAATGATTAGCATACCTGCAGCAATGCCCAATCCTCGTTGATCAGCCACTCGTGCCGATCGGCCGTCTGCATGTCCGTGGAGGTAGTCCGGTGCACTATGGGCAACGGCTTGACCACGGGCTTGCCGGCCATGGCGCGTAGCTTCTGCTGCTTGGCCTCGCGTCGCATGCGCAGGAGGGCCGCCGAGGGGCGGTTGAAGAGGGACTGGGGTGGGGTCATGATGTGCGCCGTGTGGTGCGGCACCTCGCCTGACTTGGTGTGGGGCTTGATCTTGCGGATACCTGGCGAATAAAAATGGTACATGCTTGTATTTGTCTCAAGGTAGCTGTGAAATACCCATTTCTGTTGTTCTAAAGAGACTTTTATAGGTAAAGAGATGTTTACGGTTAACATCTCACAAATTCCACTGTTCAAAACGGATTTTCTTAAAATCTTGAAATCAGGAAAAATCCTGACAAATTTACTTGGATAAGTGACTCATGATGCAACAGGGGCCCAACTCTATTAATTTTTTGGTCAATGTGAAGAAAGTCTGTGCTCCGAGATGTGACCTTTATTCATCAAATCCCTGACAGTCCTGAATACTTAAAAAAAAAATTAATATGTACTGATTGCTCTACTTGAAGCATTTTCCTTTTTTTCCCTTAGATTTCCTTTTCAATCCCTTCTTTGTGTAGCCCTCAGGTTGAGTGGCGCTTATGGGCCTTATGATGGGCGACTCTCATTAAAAAAAATGTAGTGTCGGTTATAAAAAGACACACCCATTATTTTTGGTTTTAACTCATTTACACTCAATTCACATTTCACAAAACACAATTTAAATTCAAATTAATTGTTGCCATTTTATAAAAACTTTTTTTGACAGTGGTAATCTTGCCGAAGACCAAAGTGACACAGTTTATTTCTAACTTCAAGATTACAGAGAATAAATTTGTTACATGTTCAACATCAGAAGAGCCTCCTATCCCTAATTTTAAGAGTGCCACAGTTACATTTCTGAGAAAAAAACAAATGTCTATTTGGAGTGTGCATTCAGGTAAAACCAATACTTTTCCCTGTCCTCCCTTTTGGTGAAACTTTCCCATTTCAAAGCACCTTCCCTCAACCTCTACTTTTGAAGCAAGTATTTACTGAAAAGTGGTAGCAATACCTTGTTCCACTTTGGTCTTCTTGTGTTCTTTCTTGACGTAGACGGGAGGCAGTTTGGACTCCATCATGATGGAGGTGTCATACATGAGGCTGGCTGAGAGGTCCACGTAGACGTCATTTTCATCCTGGGGTGGGGTGGGCGGAGCCCAGATCTTGAAAAATAGAAAGTAGGTGGTGGCATGAGATTTGGGGCCCTCAAGGGTTGATGCATACATGTAATAGACGTTTGGCTGAGAATATGTTCTGTACTTTCAAATTATGCTTAAGACTTCACACTTTTTTTTGTACATTAATCCTTACCTTACCAACCCCATCACCCCCATTTTAGGTGGATTTTGGGGGACATGGTCCAGTTGGCATGGTTTGACTAAAATGTGATGGAGTATGATGGACTTTGGCCAGGAGGCCTGAAGCAGTGCTGGGTGAATTTGATGAACTTTGCCTAGCATCCAGTACTGCAAGCCATTCCATCAAAATCCACCAGCACTTTAGTGGTGGATTTCATTATGTCATGTATGTGAAGCAGAGTGAGTGATGGATATTGGTGGACATTGTCCTTTACTTGGTAAAAGTAAGTAGGAAGTTAGGTTAAAAAAAAAAAATTTCAACCCATGAATTTACTCGAGATATTCAGCCTATTTTTGTCAAGTTTTGAACTGAATGGACTTAAAGTTGACTTTTTGCGGTACTGCTTAGGACATGGACCAATACATGAGTTCATTTCCATTTCAGGGCGATACTCACAAGATGTTTAATCTTCTTTTATAAAAACTATGTCAAATGTTGGCGCTCAACACTTCACTGTACGTGAATTAAACTTCTTCTTTTTTTTTAGGCCGAGGCCCACCCCCCTCCAAAATAAAAACATGAACTACATGTAGTAATTCGGCTGGTTTCCTTGTTTTCAAGCAAAAATCACAGATGGTAAAAACACTCGTCTACAACTTACCGGCATGATGTCATCTTTGTTGGAAATGTACACCTACAGGGAGAAAACAAACAAGGCATCCACAATAATTTGAGTACGAGATTATGCACGTCAACTCTCAGGTTCATCCGTCTTGGAACATCACTCAATCTTCCAAGGAATAAACAATGAACATGCATAGCTTTTCCTCCTTCTTCTAGCCCTTAGATTCAACATGATTATATCTGAGAGTTTGTTGACGTTGTATTGCATGGTGTTGTGTTGCATTGCGCATGTGGGCATTCTATCAATTTGGGGTCCACTTGTTGTCCCTGTCCCTGTTACATCTGACATTTATGATTTTATAATTCTGATGCACTCCTTAATGCAGTCGCCCTCCAAGAGTGATTATGAATAACAAACCACCTACCCAACAAGTACATCATTTGAAGTAATTCTTAATGATACTTGAAAGGTAGATTACAAAGTACCAAGGTAAAAGGGACAGGAAGGAGGTCACAATTTGGACCCTGAATGTATAGAATGACCCACATTTCACTACGTAGCTACACCCCTTCAGGTTCCTTCTTAAACGTACCCCATTTTGTCAGTAGCGATGTCACAATCACTGGTTACAAGTACACCTAAGAGTGCTCGCCCCAAAATGATATTTTTTTTTCCACACAGTTACCTCTGAGCAGTGCTGGGGGTTTAAAACTGACCTTGAAAGGACACTCAAGTTTAAAGTACATGTACCCGGATGAGTTAACTGAACAATGTTTGAACCTTGGAATAATTTATGTTTTCTTGCAGAACTTCCATGTTAATTTTCAGATTTCATGATTCAAAGTATTTACCAAATTTCTATATAAATGAGACTACATTAACTACAAAGTTTGGTTTTGAGGTAAGTTAGCAAAATCATATGCCCACTCTTCATCTTTCTCAAAAGGATACCAACTTAAATATTTAGGAAATGTGGTTCTGTTTCTCCGAATTCACATCACAGCTCTTTTTCTAATCTCTGCAAAAAAAATTCTATGCACCCATACAGGTTTTTTTCCCCCTATTTCACTGGAAAGCTCTTGAAATGTGTGTGTTTCAAATGTAATTCTTAGATTTTGGGAGTGGATATTTTCTCTGACTGTGCACACTCTGTTTAGTGCTCTTGACTCGAAAATTGTACTTTTACTGAAAGTGTTAAAGTAGAACGTCCCTATGACAAACACCGATATGCCAAACATTCTGCTATGGGCTCCGGCACAAGTACCCCCTCATTGGTAAGAAAGGGAGAGTTGGGGAAGACCACTGGGAGACATTCCAACGCATTACCACTGACGCCTGATGCTCATGCAAAAACGCTTTGGCATTGTGTATAAAGCAAATAAAATTAACTAGTGAAGGTTAGCGGTAACACCATGTGGAAATCTCTTTTGGGAAGATGTGTGGCTCTGAAAAGAACCGGTTGGTTCCTGTGGGTGACATCTTCTCGAAAGAGATTATTCCACATGGTGTTACCGAAAACCTTCACTAATTTACACAACCACCATGCAAAAATTCAAAACTTACTTAGAAAAAAATTAGTCACGCGTACTTCGCACCACACGCATGCGAACCACTATGCGCACGTAGTGTCCCGTCCACGAGACTCTCGAAAGTGGTCAAAAAGTGCCCCTTCTTGTTCGGGCAGGGAGCCCATAACCAACATCCCCAATTTTATGTAATATTCATTTACAGCCTAAAATCGCTATGAAGAATGACCGCTGTACCAAACTATGTTTTAGTGGCCCAATTGTTTTTGGTTTAAGTTATACATACAGGGTGAGTAGAAAAACAATGAAACCCAAATGGCAGGACCAATTTTTGAGTGAAGTTCTGCATGTAGCACTATCAATATCTAGGATATGAAAGCCCAATTAACCCTAACCGAACTCAACCCATCAAAGTTAAACAGCAGGTTTTGTTTAAATCTGTTGGGATAGGTACAGTACTCCTAAACTGATGGTCTTTTACTCTGGGGTTGGCATACCTCCAGAAACTAAGTCCAAAAGTGTGTGTGTATTATTTCCCATGTTGGTGTTTGAATTTGCCAGAATGGGTATGGTTCCTAGTAAATTAGGCTGGGGAGTTGGGATTAATAATCTTTCTTTTTAGTACAAGAATCATTCAAATCACAAACACATTTCTAGTTACGGAGTTTTAAACACAACCACCATTTCAAAGTTCTGTCCACAGATCACCAAAAAAGGTACGTTCTTTCGGCAAAACGAAAACAATTCACATAGGGCACATGTAAATTGTTTTCATTTTGCTGAAAGAAAATACCTTTTTTTGTGATCTGTGGACAGAACTATAAAACTGTGGTTGTGTTCAAAATTCCGTAGCTTGAGAAGTACATGGGTGATTTGAATGAATTTTGTACTAAAAGAAAGCTTATTAATTGGGCTTTTATATCCTAGATTTTGAAAGTGCGACATGCAGAACTTTATTAAGGAAATGGTCCTGCCATTTGGGTCTTCTTTGTTTTTCCCTCACCTTGTACTGTACTGATACTGTCCTTTCGAAAATGCCCGTTTACAGATTTTCCTAATTCTGACTTTGCCAATTTATCAGGTCCTAATTCTTGATATTTTCATCCAAGCAACGTTCAGTAAAAATATTCCTGATGATTTAGTTTTGGTTCATACTTGACATGAAAAGAGTGAAGCAAATGTGTTGAGGCAACAGCGAGCATCACAACGAAGAGAACATTGTTAAAATATGGGAGAAAATGCAAAATTAACCCCGCGGTTTAACCCCAAGGTTCCCCGTAAATCATCGTAAAACCTTGATAAAACCTCAAATAACCGCCTGTTTAATTTCGTATTCTCCTCTACTGAAGATCGCTTGGCTTTCCTTGTCAGGTATGAACCATGCCTTACTCTGTTCAATTTTGAACTCCTTTTTCCAGAGTAGAAAATTTTAGAATTCCTCTATGAATGTTCAGGTTGGCACGAATTATGGCATATCTGTACGCGTTTCAAGTGTTCCCCTAGTGAGCACCCTTCCCTGGCCCAAAAGCTCATCTCTACCTCCAATGGTTTCTAATGGTTGCTCAGAATGGCACAGGCAAACAATAATTTTCTTCTTCAAATTTTGGCCACAAAATATCAAACAATTTGCAGAATGGTTGGGTTTGGCATCTGTGAACCTGCCAAAAGTGCACTGTTTGTCACCAATTTGGAGAGAGATAGCATAATTTTGGGCCAGGGTACATTTTTTTTGTGGGCGGCATCTGTGAAGTATGCTTGGCAACTGTATCAAACGATCTTTGTACATAATTTTTGGTTTTGTTCCGATTCATCTTTTTTCTGTTTTGTTCTCACGTTTTTCTTGATTTTATTTTTTTTCTTACTTAGCCTGGCCAAACTCAGAGCATAAAACCAAAGGAAGTAAAGACAGAAACTTTTCTTTTTCTTTTCTCGAACATAAATCTTTCATTTATTGATCCCATTCTTCAACATCATCTTTTCTTGCTTATCAATACAAAAATACAGGGAAACACATTCTGCGAAATAACAAATTAATCTTGCTCAATAAATCTAATGGTGCCCTAGAAATCAAGCCCCATCCCAACTGATGACTTTAGCTTAAAATTCTAGGAATTAATTTAACTTGGTCATTTTCTTTTCACTTGTCGGCAAATTATTAACATCGATTCTTACTTTACCGAACACACACAAACAGAGAATGACCCCAAAAGCGGCAGCTATGCTTGACTTGTGATGAAGGCTGGTCTTTAAAAAAAAAAACTTTCCAATTTTTACTTAACTGGCCTGCTTCACTTTCCAAAAAATTGACCGTGCTTTGGTAAACCACGTGTGAGTGTAACTTAATCTAAATGTACTGATGAGCAACATTTCAAATCAAGGCAAAACAACAAATTTGAAAACCGGGGAACAATAAAAACAGAATCTATCTGTGCTTGTCAAGTTACAAAAGTTGATACGGTTTGAGGGGTTTTTTTTGGGGGGGGGGGGGAAGTCACGTGGTTCAATTAGTATACCACTTACACTTGGTTTCAAGAGAATTGATAAATACAATACAAAATAAATACAAAAATTCACAATTCTTCTCCAGGTTGTGTGTCATAGAAAAGGGACCACAGATTTGCAAATTTTCAAATGGCACAGTGTAAAAAGGAATTTAAGAGGTACTCTGAAAAAAAAGTACAAAGCACTAAGAATGTGATATCGGTATGTCATATCAAATAATACCTGGCTATTATTTGGCAATCTATCACAACATCGTATTGTTCCTATCGATGATGCCTCTTATGGGTAATAACCAGACATCAAGAGAAACTAAACAGCCCTTAAAGTACATCAAAAGCACTGAAATATAAATTAAACATCTGCAGGAACTAAAGCTTTGAGTGCGTTCCTTGCAAGTAACGATTTTATCAGCTCTGCTGCGACACATCTCAGAACTTTTCCTACCAAGAAATCTTTAAATACACACATCTTTGGTCAGTGAGTAAAACTAGTTTCTTGCACATAACCATCGCCGTGTCTTTTACAAATTAACTTAAATGAACTGCATTGGTTGTTACCTCAGTGTTTGTCAACTGCGCTCTGGGTACTTTCTAGGGCGCCCCCTCCCCCGTTTCACCACTACATTTTTATCTGTGGCCGTTGGCGTCCCACCCCTCGCGGGTGAGACATCCCTTGAGTTGGTGGCAGAGCTGCTCCTTGAGCTAGCCCTGGACAAACCTTTCAAGTCCCTGTGGGTTAGCGCAGGGCTGGCTGAATGGTGCCGGCTACGCGATCGCGTCTGGATGAGCTTATCTGCCAATTCAGCGCCGCTCATCGCTCGGGTCCGGGGCCCTGTGCTTTCCCTACCGTCGTCCACGCTGGACAGCTGGATCTTGGCCAGTTTCTTAGCCAAGGCAGCCTTGGCTAGCTCCGGTGACGACGGCGCTTCGGTGGCCGCATTGGGGGAGGATGTGTCATTAGATGCGCCTTGCGCAAAATTTCTAACAGAGGTCGATGACTGAGACAAGCCATCAGAGTTTGCTGCAGCAACGTTATCTAATTCGGACTGGTAATTTTTGTGTTGCTGGGCCGCTATTGTTTTGGACGGCTGGGGAGATTTAGGAATGGTCAGATCAAATGGCACGGGGACTGGAGAAGCCGAAGAAGGCGAGACGACCTCCGATGGTGAAAGCGGCAGAGCTGGGGAGGCAGGTGGGGGTGATCTCATTAAGGAGGAGAGCACTTGGAATATGTTCCGCTGCTCGTGGCTTTCCTCTCTGCCATCAGGCTCGGGTGATTTTGCCGTCGTGGAATTCTGTACAGACTCTGCGTTCAGATGCATTCTTGAGGTAAGGTGAGCTTCCACTTGATTTGTATCTTGCTTGGGGAGTGAAATACGCCCATCCTTTTGCTCTGGTTGGCTGCTTGATGAATGCACTGCATCAGGACGGGCACTTGAACTCGAGAGGGAAAGGTCAAATATGCACCTCTCGGTGTTACGAGCTGTACCAGACCTGGATGTGGAGTCATGTTGTGATGAACGTCTCACTGCCTCCTTCAGAGGACTGACTTTATGGTGCTGCGGTGAGAGGTCAAGCGGCTCTGGGGAGCAAGACAGGGCTGGTGATTTTGGCAGAGGCGGGGACTGAGAATTCGGAGAGGATTGTGTAGAAGGGGGCGAGTGTGTCGGGTGTGGGGATATCCTCTGGGGGAAGGACAGGGGAGTTGGTTTGGACTGATTGGCAGGTGTTGAGAGTTGAGATGGGGAGGTACTCAGGTCAGGAAATGAAATTTGAGGAATTGCACTTTCTTTTGGTGTGTTATCACTCGCACCTTCCTCCTTTTGTTTCAATTGAGACAAAGCAGCTGTAAGTATCTGTTCTGAATCCAATGATGTGGCAGCGTCCACTTGCTTCATCAGGGTACACGATTCCTGGTGAATAGGAAGAGTCTGATTTGAGGATTGTGGACAAGAGTCTGCTCGGGCGACAGAAGCAATCTGCCCTGACACTGCAAGGGAGGGTGGTGACATCTGCGACACTGACTCTGATTCAGTCCAAGATTGGGATAGTGACTGGATCTGTGATTCACCCGACTGTGATGCATCTACACGAGGCTGAGGAGTAAGTTGGGGTGGACTCAAGGCAGAACTGGCCGCTTCTGCATGGGTTGAAATCTGGATGTCCGATAGATTTGGAAGCGTTTCTGACACACTTGTCCTTTGGGAATCAGTTGCAACCTTAGACACTGTACTTGGAGACTGTTGAGCTGGTGCATTTGTTAATGTTTCCCTGTCTGATTGTGTGCTTATTAATGAACCTTGTGCTGCCTGGGGTGATGCTTTGGTGAGGGTAGGTGCCAGCTTTTCAACTGGGGCACCACGAGGTACAGTTGCATCTGGAACTGTCAGCGTGAGCAACTGTTTGACACCGTTAGTGGTGCTTTGGTGCTGACTGGGTGTTGGCATATTGACAGGGGCATCCTGAGTGGTTTGTACTGCTGTCTGGGGCTGGTGCTGGGGCTGGGCCGTGTGCTGGTGAGACACGGGGACAACAGAAATCGAAACTGGTGTCTGAGACGGGCCTTGAGATGTAGATGGCAGGTGTGTTGGAGCCGGGAAATTCTGTGGGGCCAGAGTCTGGGCTAAAGCTTGTGCTATGGTTTGTGGCCTGGACTGTGGCTGGGTCTGGGACTGCAACTTGGTCTGGGATTGGGACTGCAACTGTAACAAAATCTGGGGATTTATCACTGGAGCCTGTATCCGAACAGGGTGTGGCATTCGCTGCAGTGGTACCTTTTGTCGAGCCACTGCTGTCCTTGAATCAGCTAACTGTAAACCGGTCAGGAGCTCAGAGCTGCCTCTGCTCTGTAACTGAGGTTGCCTTACTGGCAAGACTTCTAGACGAGCCAAAATTGGCTGACCCTGTTGCCTTGGCTGAGATTGCATGATGGATGATGAACGTAGACGGGCTGCCCCTAGAATCTGCTGGTGTGCTAGCAACTGCCTCTGGGCCATTTGCAGCTGTGGTCTTGACAGAGAAAGACGGAGAGTAGGGGTCTGAGACGGAGAAGCCATTCTGGGTTGAGTGAGCATCTGGAGGCGTGCCAAGACTGGCATTTGTGATTGGGACTGTGGCTGTGGCTGGGGTGATGATGACATCTGATGTGAGGATGCAGCTGCCACCTGCGACTGTTGCTGTTGAACTTGTAGCCGATATTGCTGCTGAAGCAATGTAGCATGCTGTGCTTGTGGACGAAGATGTTGTTGATGCGGCATTGGCTGTAAAGGTGGAGGATTGCGGAGCATCTGAGATTGAGTGGGCAAACCAAACCGTGGTGGAATCCCGGGAGTATCAGGCTGCACAAGCTGCAGGGGGCTCAAGTTTGGTCGGGACATGCCCAGCGAAAGAAGCTGGGCAGCGGTTAGTGACTGTACACCAGTTGCTGACGAAACAACCACATTCAGATTTCGTTGGAGAATAGACTCTAGACTAGATGAAGTTGAACTAGGATGGCTGTTGGGATTAGAGGCCCGGATTGAGGGAGTCTCTGTCAGCACGGTAGGAGTAGACGAGTAATGAGATGACAGCGGATGCCTTGGAAGCAGTAGAGGAATGGAGGGGAGATTTGGATTGGGTGGAGGAGGACTACCACTACCTGTCAAGCTGGATACCAAGCCAGGCATAGGAGGCAAGTCAGAATTCGTTGGGTGTTGGGGCTGCTTGGATCGAGGAGATAGGTTTAGCGGCTGGACATTGAAGCTATTAGGTGGGGATGTAGTCACAGTGGGGTTGCTTGATGGCTCACTGGTAACACTTGTTGGTGTGTGTTTGACCATGACCTCCTGTTGCTTGTTGTCTTTTCTAGGGCTCATGGACAAGTCCATTGGTGTTGTTGCTGACACTGTGGCATTAGGACCACCGACAGATAGATCCATGGGTGAACTACAGCTGCGTGACGTTTCTTCTCCAAGCTGCCTTACTGCTGATTCTGAGCTCTGCTTACTCTCTGGCTCTTTAGGCATACTGGACTTCTGTCCTTTTGACTTCTGCTTGGACTTGGCAGTGTCCGTCTTCTCAGGAGGTGATTTTGCAGACCCTGTTTTCTTGGCAGATGGTTTGGTTGGAGCTAACCGGGCCAAGGGGGATCTTGGTGAGAGGACTGCAGTTGTGGGAGGGGGCGGGGACTTGGTGGCACCTGATCTCGTTACAGGTGACCTCGGACCCGAATCGTCTGCCGCGGGATCTGGTTTTGGATTGCGCCGCGTGCTGCGTCCGGTACTAGCCGGAGGGTTACGCTTTGGTCGCTCTGCGCTACCTGAGCGGCTGCTTGCCCGACTACTTTTCTGGCTGCCGGCCCGCGAGCTACCACCCTGGGTCTGCCTAGACTTAGATCTACTCTTATGCACCTTATTTTTAGCTTCCTCATCACAGTAGGTAAAGAAGATCTCGTCCTCTTCTTGTTCCGCCTTGCGTTCCTCCTCCTCCTTCAGGGCCTGCAGACGCTCCAGTTCCCATTCCTTCTTTGCCAACTGGATCTGCTCCTGATTAAACATTTGAAAAACCACAAACCATGAATGTTAAAGAGCGTAGTTTCATTTCAAGCCTTGTCGGCGTCAAATAGTTTGCGCTTTGGGACCCAATTCACAGCAAGTCAAATCAGAAAGTAGTCAGTGTCTCTTCACGTTGATTGATCAGAGACCTCAACTAAATGTCATCACGATGCTGTGTTCAAGATAAAACACGGCACTGTAACCTGCATACATTATATGACACTAAAGACAAGAATTATAATTCCTTTTTTTTGGCACAAGAGCGCCACAGGTATTTCTACGAATGAGCTCTTATCTGAGTGAGATCTTTTGTTCAGGTGTGAGATTGGGGGGAAATGAAAATCCATGGAATAATCAGCAGAGGGTGTGAGGATGGCCAAGGGCCCCGGAGCAATGTAGGGTCTATGGTGTATGTTTCTGTTTGCCTAAAGACATCCCTTAAAATAAACCATTTCTTTTGTCTTACATAAACTTTTATAAGTAAAAACACTTTTACAGTAAAACAGAAGGTATTTCAGATTTCAAAAGGGATGATTTCAAAATCCTAAAATCAGGTGGAAAAAATTCTGAAATCGGGAAGAAAAAATTGACAAAGGTCACCCCTGTTTTGATAAATTTTCATACGGCATATCACCGTTTTGAGATGATGTGAGAACAGGGTCTGCTTTTTTAAGTTCCTTACACAGAAAGATAGCTAAATAATGCACACCATGATCAAAAATCAAGTGGAGACTCTTATTAGTATCAGTGCATTTGGGTGCTTGACAGATCTAAGCATTGGTCTTACAGTTACTAACCTCTGCTTCCAGGACATCGTCCATTGGTGCCGGTTCCATGTTGGACTCCAGGTACCTCATGGCATACTTCTCGATGTTGGTCAGCTGTGATTAAGGCGATATTGAGAAGACGTTATTCATTAAAACCCTCACCTCTTTGGCTTGCAAGTTCAACACAGCGATCCCAACAGTAAAAATAAATCAAGTGACTGTTTTAAACAGTCGAGTTCTCCCTGCCTTCATAACGCAGGATTGACTGGCTGTGACTATTATGTAACTTGAAACAGCAAAACTTTGACTGTAGGAGATTGATATGCCAGCTACCAGTTATCTGTTAATGAAATTTGGCTAGTCGTGTATAAAGGTATGACAGGGAAGGAGGATTGATTTTTTTGTTACTGTCTTTGACTGCTCAGACAGCAGCAACAAAAGAGAGATCAAATTTGGTTTCAATCTGCTCAACCCAACAATATCCCACAGTTGCTATACCAGCTCAGTCTGACAAAATCGATCATGTCAACTATCAAGGGCAAGCCAAAAGATCCAGCGCTGACACTATTCAAGGAGCTACCTTCCACTGAGTTACAACCGAGTTTATGGTGCTTCTGTTGACTTCTCAACGATAGGAGGTCCCACAGAATTTCTTACACCTCGTTGCATTGAGCAAGATTAGAAAAATGCTGAAGTTGACCAGTCAGATGACATGATCGATTTTGGGTGGTGCACATCTGATGAACTGTGCTTCCATGCAAGTTACCTGGTCATCCAGCTGGGCCAGCTCTATCTCGATCTTGGACACCTCCTCTTTGGCCTTAGTCTCCTCCCCCTCGTAGGGAATGGTCTCATCAAACTCCGCCAGCTCTGCATCCTGCTCAGCCAGGGCCTTGGAGGTCGCCTTGACGTCCGTCTCATCCTCCGTCTTGGCCAGGGCCTGAGGAAAGGAGACAGGAGAATCACGATTATTGGCACTTTTTTGAGCTTTTTGTCTCAAGTGGGTTCACAATTAAACCCTGTTCATTGGGAAATAAGATAAGTTTTTATGTTTTTTTTTTTGGTCTCGAAAAAAGAGAATTGAAAGAAGCAGTTCCACTTCTTGCCAAGCCACTGCGAACCTGCTCTATAAATTAAAACAATCTGAGTAAGCTTGTTCTGTACCTTTAGACAAGGGCAATTCCAACATTATGTAAACAAAAGTAATGTTCGTGACAGAGCCAATTAACCATGATATCTAATTAATGATTCAGAGAAATGATCCGAAACTCCTAGTCTGTAATCTATTTGACCATTGCTAGACAATGGATTCATGAAATTTGAAGAAGAAAAAAATACATTTTCAAGTTTATTCACTGAGCTCTAAAAAGTTCCGTCACTGACGTTACGTTACACTGGAATTGCCCACTGATTGTCTCAAGATTGAATGTTATTTTCTTGGGTCCTTGTCTCACCTGTTCCAACTGATTCTGCGTGATTGCTTCCTTCTCCTCGGCAGCCTGCTGCGTCTTGCTCGGTGTCTGCTCAGGTCTGCTGTTGATGACCAGATCCTCGATGGCGACAGGTTGGGCATTGCGCCGATTGGACATGTCAAACAGGTCCTTGATGGTGTTCTGGAAATACAAAGATTAAGGAAACTTCTTTGAATAGCAAAGTGACACAACCATGAAGATATCAAATGCAAAATCTCATTAAACATCTTACACTTCCGGGGCCAGAAATGCTTGGCACCAGAAGGGAAAAGGACTGTTTTGAATAGTTACAAAAAGAAATTTCGAAGAACTGTGGTTTGCTAACTGGTGGCCAAAAGACACTTAAAGTTTAATGGGAAGTAGAAATGCATAAACAAGCACAGGAACACCAAACAGGTCATAAGGTTAGGTTTATATATTTAACTGTAAACTTCAGGTTTTACAGTAACTTTGAAAAAACTTCTGGATGGTCCAAATATAATTTTCACCCCAACTCTCCTCGATTCCTCCAAAATCAACCGGGCCTTAATAAAGGATTTTGAATGATTGAGGTTGAACGCCTTTGAAGTGCCGCTTGATTTTGGAAGGTGTATACGTCTTAAGTTGTACCTTGCATTGTTTTATGTTCAGCCTTACATATATGTAGACCTACATCATACTGGGTATCATCCGCACTGCTTCATGACTTAAAAGAGAGTTGGAGGATTTCAAGGAATTGCGGCAAAATCCATATTTTTACATGGTGGCAATCTGAAGATTTTGCAGGACTGAGGCTGCATCCTAGCTAAAAGGGTAATGTTGGAGAAAAAAATGTTCAAGCAAACAAGGTTTAAAATAAAAGAGGACTTTTTAGTCTTCTATATTTTGTAATGCTGTGTTACTGCACTGAAACATGATGACTAGTACAGCAAGATTTTCAGAAGTTAATCTAACCGTTTTGAAGAACGCTGTGGTGAAGTTTCCTCCCTCGATGGAGACATCCACCAGCAGTCTCTTCTGATTGGCCTTCTTCAGGATGTTCTCCTCCACCGTCATCTCACTGATCAATCTAAAATGTCAGACAAAAAAATCGAGGGTTACTATTACAAAATGTTTACGTAATTCTGAGGGTAAAAACCTCTTATCAATAAAGCATATGTTACAATTTCCAGAAAACATGGCAATAAATTGTGGACCGTGATCAGTAAAATACACTTCTTGGCGTCATGAAATTTGCTTTGCTTTAGCATGGACTACAAAACTATTCTAACCATGCGCAATGCTCTTCTCACCAGAATTAGTCTCCATTTAAGACTACAAAGAAGAAATCAGCGGAGTGAAGTGCTCAGACAAATGTGAGATTTTGCTCAGCAGCACCCGTACAGGCTCAGAGACTCTAGTCTGATATCAATCTCAATGTCATCATAGCAGGAGTGTCACTTCTCTATTCAGAGCTAAGCCCTGGAAGGCCCAGTGATCAACGCTTAAATATATCTTTATAAAGATTACATTCACGTAAGTAGTTCCCGCCGGGATTATTTTGACAAGAATGGAACGAGGCACGCGATTACGTTTCACTCGACCTCAGGCCAGGCGGGTTGAAGCCATCACCCTCGGGCAGCACACTCATATTTCCGGCCTCGCTCGCTGCGAGCGGGTCGCTGACAGATATTTTTGGTCTCGCTTCCTGTGTGTTTATCTGTCATCCGTTCCAGATACCGCACAATTTTTGCGCGTGTACAAGGCCTCCGGCGCGAACTGGTTAAGTAGCAAAAGCTTGCCGATGTAAGTATCTCTTCAACCCAACCGTACAATATGGCTCTTTCAACAACAACACCGTTGTTTACACAAGTCTATGACAAAATAATCCAGTCTCGAGTTAATTCAAATTAAATTCAAGTGAACTGTGGCAAAGGCATTCCTTTGTCATTGTTCACCCCCCGTTACTTGTGACTGGACTTGCGTAAGAACATGTGAGTTACTGTGATCCAACTTGTGATGGGCTCGACTACAATGCTGTAGTCAAGTCATCACACGTAAATTGAAAGTTCTTTCACAAGTAAGACGAATTAACAAAGAAATCGTTTTGTAACACCTGTGACTTCACTTGCAATTAATCTGTAATGGATCTGTAAGGACTACTGATTGACTCCACAACACTATCATATCCGCACTTGATACTTGTACACACCTGTATATATGGACGTCCCTGGTTTGTCCAATCCTGTGGCAGCGGTCCTGCGCCTGGGCATCCATGGTGGGGTTCCAGTCGCTGTCGTAGAACACCACGGTGTCAGCGCCGGTGAGATTGATACCCAGACCTCCGCTGCGCGTGGATAAGATGAAGCAGAAGATGCGCTTGTCCATGTTGAAGCGGTCCATCAGAAACTAGATGATGAAAAAGGAAATATAAAGAAATAAAGTCTGTAACACTACATGTTGCTTTGCATAGGGCTCTACGGCCCAATTTTTTCCAAGTCCAAGGAATGTGCACAGATTTACTTCTCACTGACCATTCAGATTTGGTAGGGTTATGTACTCGGTGCGCAAGTACCTCCCTACTGGTGACAATGACAGACACTTGAATGCTTTTTTTAATCCTTTCTTTACCACATTGTTTATTGACTTGGCTCTCCCCAGAATCACTGCGTGAAAACTCGCTATTTTTCAACCCAGACTGCCAAGGAGTGATTAAAATCAAAGTGTTGTGTGTAAAGTTGTTTCTTGAACCTTACTCTTTTATGTGATGTAAAAAGCAAGGCCACCAATAAAAAGGCAAGTATGTTTTTTTTTTTTTCTGGTCCTAGTTATCAAACGGAAAGCCTTTTTCCCACATGACCAACTGGTTGATGTATGGGAAGCAATATATACCAATATGCCAGCTTGTTGAAAAGCAGTGAATAAATCTGTGTTGTGGGTGTTGTGTGAGTGGTTTCCTGGTCGACTAAAGTCGCCCATGGTAAGGAAAGGGTCAATGCGCACCTTGTGCTGATGTTAAAACACTATGGCCTCGTGCACATCCAGATGAACAGTAGTCATATGACTCCATGCAATATGAGCAAAACAACCGAGTGCACAAAACCGTAGCCTACACACAGTCCTTCTGATTTGAAAATCACAGGCGTGTGGAAAAAGGCACACCTGGATTTTTCTAGGTGTGTGTTTTTCTAGGTGTGTGTTTTTCTAGGTGTGCGGTCTGTGGTCCAGGGAAATTCAGGCGTGCAATTATTCACACTTCTCTGGAAGCTTTTAGGTGTGCAATGGTGTGGGGGTGTGATCGCACGCCTCAAATCAGAAGGACTGTACACAAGAATGCTCTCACGAGTAGGCTGCACGCATGCCGCCTACTGTTCCAGTAATCATCACTGTGTCTCAGACATGAATTCTGCATGGCATTATTTGTATTGAGCCACCAGAACAGACCTTGAAGCTGAGAGATTGTTGTCTAGCCACAGGACATGTACAGATGGGCAATGATATGCCCATCCCATCACAGAACCATGTGGCTGCCTGATGTCAAATCAACTTGAATATTATCCAAATAATGAATGTTTATGAGTGCAATGGTAAGAATGAATTCATGAGGTGACACATGGAATGTTCCATTCCACGACGCGAAGCGGAGTGAAATTATTGTATTGCAACGTTATACTTGTCACTTATTTCTTAACTGCTTTTATGAGAATATTTACAAATAAACCTAAATTGAAATTGAAGCCACTGGGAGAGACATTTGAACTCACTGCCGTCAAAATCTAAAGCATGCAGTAAGACACCGAGGGTTTGCCCATATTCAGAGTATCAGTCTTGCATACTTCGTACTATACACGCACGAACCAGTACGAACATCTACAGGGTTCCTTATGGGGTAGAAGACACAGTAGAACAATAGACCCCATAAGGAAGTCTTAAGAAATCAATCTACCCCCTTAAGGGAATGGCTATGGAGTTTGAGATTTCAAATCGGAACAAATGAGAATAAAGAAGGGAAACAAAGGTCTTCCCGTAAGTATATGTAAGGCTGTGTGTGCACGTAGTGTGTCAAGTCCTGTCCACTGGGCTCTTGAAAGTTGTAAAAAAAACACCCTCTCTTGTTTGCTCACGGAGCCCATATTTTACCTGTCTCTGCTCCACCTTGGTGGTGCCGTCCAGTCGGACGTAGATGTGGCCGTGGTAGTTGAGGAAGGCCTCTAGGACATCCAGCATGCGGGTCATCTGGGTGAAGATCAGGACTCGGTGGTCGCCAGCCTTCAGCTTACGCAGCAGAACGTCTAATGCCTGTAGCTTACCTGTCATATTCAAATTACAGATTATCATATGTATCAGCTGTAAAGTGAACTTTGTAAAAAATAAAAAAAAAATAAAAAAAAATTTAAAAAGTGAGGGGGCTGTGACATTTTTTTGTAGGAAATCTGAGGTATACAAGAAAAGCATGTTACCTGCACTTTTAAATCAAGTACGAAATCCTGTAATTGCCAGAGGATTTAAATCTCTAAGGATGAAAAGGTTCAAAGCATATGGTGCTTACAATAGTGAAATGATTTGAAGCCAAATCCTCTGCCAGATTCCACTAAAGAAGGATTTAAGCAACTAAGGCTCCTTCTGTCATGTCAGATTTTACCCCAATGAAAAAGAAATATACCCTGATACATCAGCTCGTAGCAGGTGGACTTATGTTCTCATCTCCAAATTTTAACACGATTACAAATATGTTTCAGCGAGCCTATAAAATGTCAAGTCAGGCACTTCAACAATTTCAAACTACAGTCGACTCTTGTTAGTACAAACTCTGTTAATACAAAATTCTGGTTATAACAAACATAAGGCTTTGGTCCCGACTGTGCATTATGTGCACAATGAATGGGACTGATGTTCCTCTTAATACAAAATTCTGATATAACAAACAATTTGGCTAGGTCCGAACGAGTTTGTATAAACGAGACTCGACTGTAATTCTTGGAGCATCTGAACCTACCGCAATCATACTGGATGAGCCGGAGCTCAGGGAACTGGAATTTCATGCCAGTCTGGATGGGGTGCAGGCAGGCAGTGGTAGGCGTCAACTCTCGACGGAGGGTCTCACGGAGTAGCCTGTGCTGATTGGCTGCCGAGGGTGCTGGGTGGTACGTGTGCATGCTGATGGGTGGCGACGTGGCCAGGGGCACTACCATCACAAATCTGCACATGGACCACAGGAATATTACTAATCATGAAGCTATTTGGAGTCAAATCACAGCTTAGGTAACAAGTAGGGTCTACTACAATTTCGTCACAAGTTTCGTCAAACTTAACCCTTACCATACTCAATTCAACAAGATTCTGCAACATTCAAATGAACCCCTGAAAGTCAAGGCTTTTAAATTACAAGTTCACAAGTTCAGTCACACGAAACAGGAGATGAACAAAAGAAACTTAATGTTTTTGATATAGTTCATTTGAATAGCTTCTGACCGACTTGAAAAAGCTGTAATGGATTGTGATGAACTTGGTAGTGAATTGTGAGGACATGTGATGGACTTGTGAGACTTGTGATGGACCTGTGATGGACCTGTGATTGACCTGTGATGGTCATGTGATGGACCTGTGATGGATTTGTGATGGACTTGTGATGGATTTGTGATGGACTTGTGATGACTTGTGATTGACTCAACTACAAAACTGGCTCGGAGGTACACTTTTGTCACATTTCATTTGAGAAGCTTGTTATTACTCAAGACTAGAAGACTAAGTCATGACTTGTGACTTAATACCGAGGACTTGATTGTAGTGGAGGCTTCTTGTGGGGAAAACATGCTCAGACAAATGAGATTTTGCTCTACAGTGCTTTGGTCAAGACTCAGAGACTCTAGTCTGATTAAATCTCAATGTCATCATTGCCATCAGCAAAAACTGCATTTTTTTTCCTCGCTCAGAGCAGTTAGGTTCAAAAATGTAAAAAAAGCGGATGGGGAAAAAAAAAAGGATAAAATTACTTTAATTGGGGTTGCTGAACTTTCTATTTAGAACTAACCTCTTGATGATTTCCTTCAACTCTACCAGTATGTCCTCCGGCGTTCGGATGACTTTTCTGAGGGTGTCCGTCTGCGACAATCTGGCCTCATACCCGTGGGGGAACGGCAGGCCGTGCACCTCCCGACAATGGAACATCCCCGTGCAGCTGGCGTAAGGCCGGTCCTTCCCGGCTGGGTTGGGGCTGTTCAGGATGGAGACCACTGAGCGCAGGTCGCTTCCGTAGACAGGCTTGGCCGCACAGCGGTGCTGGTTCAGGTCGGCTATCCTGGCTAGCGTGGCTTTGCGCTCATCCACCTCAGCCTTGTGCATCGATTCCTACCAATCAGAATGGGAAATACAGGCATTAGAATGGATTTCAATGAAAAAAAAATAGGACAAAAAGATGTGAAATCAACCCCCCCCCCCAAAAAAAAATCAGGCTCAAAATAAATTTAAAAAAAAAAACGTGGCAATTTGGGCAACAAAAAACAGGAATTCCTGTTGCATGCTGAAAATAGTTCAGATTTGAATCTGTGGCTAACTTCCAAGAGTAGAAGAACAAATCTTTGAAAATCTCAAAAAAACCTTGCACTCCCAGATCCCACAAAATCCAAAACAAGGTTTTGAAGGATTTGCACAAATGAGAAAGAAAGATCCCAATTACCATTCCTTTACATTGTAATCTTAACAGTTCAAAGAACAAGACATTGGTTTACTGTTGGATTTAGAATGATTACGAGTTCAGGAATGTTTCTCAGAAAACCGTTCAAGCAGTTGTTTTGTAATATTTGGATGTCTGCAGATGACTCGGATCCCACAATAAAACCCAATTTTGTGAACAAGTCTGTGAAACCCAGCACAACAGGAGAAATATTGAGAAATATGATTTTGAAACAAAATGACCTGATTCTCTGTGACACCACAGCTATAAAGCTCCAGTTTTTGCAGCATTGCACTATCAGCTGGGTTTCCTCAGACTTCGTCAAGTTTCTAAGGTTTTAAGAATGTCCCCGAGGCTCGGGGACCGTGAGGGTACAGGGTGAGACCCTCACAGCTCGATGCCAAGGAGATTTGATCTAGGCCAAGCTAAAGAATTGTCAAGGTTGGCATTGGCTGCCGACTGACAAGCCAAAATGGAATGTGCATGGCCAGAATGATGATATAGACAAGCATGGTACGTTACAGCAGGCAGACAAGCACTGCCTAAAAGCAAGTCAAGGTTTCATGAGTTCATTAACCCTCCTAGTCTTCTGCACTTCACAACCCTTCATGTGTTGCAAAACCACTTTTGCCTAATAAAGTTAGCACCCACACTTCAAATTCCTTTGTGGTAATTGTCTGTGGAGTATGGATAAACACTTCAAATCCCTGCACAATTCTTTTGTGTTGTTAACCCTAACCCACCTCACTCCTCCAAAATCCTACTGGCGGTTTTGGAGGATGCTAGAGGATTGAGGATGAATGGTGATTGAAGCACATGAGGATTTTCAAGGATTGAGGATGAATGCATTTTGAGGCAGGACTGTCTGACAATTTTGAAAAATTTAGGCGGAGTTGCAAAATATTGGAGGATTGAGGATGGTTGTAAGCAACAAGGGCCTAGGGGTTAGGGTTAAGCTCAGAGCAAGCAGGCAGGCTTGGTCACCCTTCACTGCTCTTCAGTGCTGTTTTTCTTTCTGTGCAGTGGCTCTGTGGGACACAGTGAACTGCAGGTTTTTAAGTGTTTTACATATTGCTCTGAATATTGATTACCCACTAGTAGGGTTAATTGGAACAAGGAAAGTGTGTACTATTACTTTACACTTACCAAGAAGAAAGGCGAGTCTTTATTATGCTTGCTTTTGTGGCTGCGTTGAGGTGTTGCGGTCACCGCCGGTCGGCTCCCTGACGTTGTTACTGAAACTAGGGAAGAAAATTTTAAAAAAATAATTTCTTGTGACATTTGCAAACAGCACTTGTTAAGTCGGTGCTTTCAAAAATACAACGTATAAGGTGCATGTGCAACATTTTAATGTCAAAGTTTCTATTTTAGTCTTGTATGTTAATTGCGATATTGCAAGTGAACAGATGCTTAAACCTAACCCTGCTCAATCAACCAAAATCAACCAGGCGGTTGTGGAGGATTTTGGAGGATTGAGGCTGCATGCCAAAAAAGTGTCAGTTGATTATGTAGAAGGCCTTATGCTGTGCCCTGCATTATTTACGTTAGTCACGCTTAATTTACACTGGACAAAACATCCACACTGCTTCTGGATATCATCCGCACCTCCTGAATGTATTACATTGATTATTGGAGGGTTTTGAAGGATTGAGGCAGTGGTCACCCCTCCACTAAACATATTCAAGAAATAATGGACGATTTTGGAGGACTGAGGCTGTTTCTTATTCAAATATAAAACGAAGCACATGCATTAATCTAAATAGGAATCGTCTCCTGACTGGTTGATCATAATACTGGGCCAATTAACCAACACTGAACAATGAAATAATGTACATGTGTGACATGCATCATACATGCAATAAATGTACACTTCCTGATTCTTGCAAAGCTTTTTAGTTCACCAAAAAAAAAAAGCAACAGAAAAGTGCAATGGTTAGTCACGAGTGCAAGCAAAATGTAATTAACTTCTGGTTTTCAAGGCAACACCTATTGTTTGATCTGTCGGTCAAAAATTTCCACTTCCTCTCAGATCACATTCATGTTAACACTCTCGACTAGTCAAATTCTATCAACAGACAAAAGAGGTAACTGGTTGGTACAGCTATCGTATCAATCACCTCCATTTATAGCATGGCTATTTCAAATTAACAAGGTACTTCTTCATTGTTAAAACATTGATCTTGCTGTGATGACGTAGCTGAATTTGCCAGCCAGGGTGGGAGGGTTAATTCAATTAATAGTGTCAGTTTGGAAAGTTAGTACAAGACAATCTTCTTAATTTGTGACAAAATATTGATAAACAAGGGAAAACTGCCAAGGCACACATGAAAATAGACACTCTCAGAAAGTTGCATCCACATCTAGATTTGGACAACCAAAAAACCCAGTTTTTGACCCCATTGACCCTAAGACAACAGTTTGGTCATGTGACATGTTGGGTCTGGGCTACTGATACTTCAGACAAAGTTTGGTTGAAATCGGTCAAAATATGTTGGAGCAATAGACAATGTCAACGTTTGTTACTAACTAACGGAGAGAAATGATGATTTGTTGTGCTGCTATCCCACAGCTAAAAAACCAATAAGGTCCATTTTCTGAAGAATGTGAGTCCCAGAGAACTCTCGATCTCACTGGGAACGTTTATTAAAATTGACAAATGTCTCCATGCAAATTATTCATGTTCAAATCATTTTTTAACCTCATAAAGCGCAATAACTTCCAACATCGTAAAAACACAAACACAATACTTGAAGGTGCAACTTGAAAACGGTGGCTTTGGATTAATTTGCACAAGTAATGAGTAGAAAAGAAACCCTACGGAATATAGTAATTTGCTGTACCCTCAACCTTCTTCGATACAACACAAGGGTGTTAGTAGAAACTTCTTACGCAATAAGTTAATGAAAAGGAAAACAAAATGAGAATGTTTCGAAAGATGAATGCCAAAAAAATTTCCGTTTCTGGAATACAATCTACCTTTGGGACTTCCCGTAGCCTTGGCTATGCTAACACTGCTCAGGGGCCGAATTTTTAGGACCGGCTGCATGAGGGGGGCCGGGGTGGGCTTGGTCTCCCCCACACTACTAGGGATACTACCCCCTATCCCCCGAGGAGTGGGTGGGACCTGATTGGGGGCGTGGTGGGGACGGATGGCTATGAGGGGCGGTGGTGAGGTCACGGCGGCAGTGGGCATTGCTGAATGGTGAACAGAAGGGGGAATAAGTCAAAACGTTTTGAGTACAGAATGTTGCGTTAATTCGATGAGGAAGAACGGAGCACTTTTATGAGGAAGAAGAAAATCCAACATGTTCACTTTTTTTCAGGGGGGGGGGGGGGACAGCAATGAAAGTGGACTCAATACTTGTGTAGGAAATTGAAAATATTCATGTAACACAAGACACCAATGTGTTACTGGGAATCCAAAAAAAAAAAAAAAAAAAGAGGTCCTGTCACTGCAGGAGGGTGTTCTAGAGAAGCTGAAATCGTTGAAAAAAAAAAAGGATAAAAAAAAAAACACAGGTACCAAATCAAGATGTTTTGTCCAGCACGAAAAACTACCACCTCGAATGTGATGGATGCAGAGGATACACAGCACATAACCAATCAAAGAAAGAAATCACCAAACACCATGCACAAGCTGTGAGCAATGCAAAGCATGTATGGCACAAAACACAGTACATTAAGTTGTGGTTTTTGGCCAAGGCAGATGATAAAACAACCTAGTGTGTGAAACTGTCGATGAATGATTATTCTAATCATTTCAAAGATTAGAATAATAAACCAGTTGCAAATTCCTCTAGAGATTGCTGGATTTCGTTTTTCACATGAAATAAAAAAAAAATACCGTGGAGAAGAAATATTCCACTGACGTACCTGTTGTCGTCTTGGCAATCCCTTCCTTCACCTCAAGTTTCTTGGTGCCCGGCGTCTCTGAGGAGTCTTTTAATTTAGTGGGCGTTTCCGGTCGTTTCGGGAGACTTGAAAGTGCGGAGGTCACCACAGTTTTAACCGCATTGGTCAGATTGACCGTCACATTAACCATGGGCGCAACGGAGGCAATCGGTTTAGAAACCGTTTTCGAAGTGGTGGTGAAAGCCTGGGACGATGTGACTGAGGCGGACGTCGTAGTTGCGGCTTGGGAAGCCGCGACTTGCAGTTTTTGTTGCTGCAGCTGACGTTGCTCCAACTGCTGCCGCTGGAACTGCGCGAGTACTGACTGAAGCTGCTGCGACTGGCTGGACATGACCACGCCCGTGGACGATGACGGCGACGCCTGCGTCACCGCCTGCGCCAGGGCCTGTATGACAGTCTGCGCCTGGCTCTGTGCCAGGGTGGTGGTCTGGTTCCCGGACACCGCCCCTTGCTGGAGGATGCTGCGGGGGATCTGCGGGGAGGTGGCCTGTAGGGTCATCTGGATGGGGACCGGGCTGGCGCGTGACTGGTTCTGCTGCTGCTGTTGTTGCTGTGAGGTGGAAGGTGATGATAGTCTCACGGCAGGTCTCAATACTTGGTGGCCGCTTGGTGTCTGAACAATTTGGACTATACCACCTGGACAAAAAAAAATGAACGCAATCCATGTTCAACGTCATTCGACAATAAGGAATACCAGTTGTATCATGGGAAAACCAAAATGTTTTTTGAGCAAAATCTGAGAAAAATACTGGGAAATTAAAAGGCACTTTACACATTTCTGAAGACTGTTTGTGATATGGAATAATTTACAGTGGAATAATTTACAGTGTATAAAGATACAACAGTTACTTCTCAAACATTGAGTGCGCACAGTTTAATCAGTTCAACAAATGTATCAACACTTCTATGCATAAATAAATACCGTACAGAAAAAGTGAAGCATTTCCGTTATTCAAATACTTTAACACTCCTATGTCAACATACATTCTGTGCCAAGTTGTCCGTGCAGTCAAAATTAATCAAGTGCCTGTTTTCAACCCTTAAGAATGCCCAGCTCACATAAAGCACACATAAAGCAGGATTGACTGCCTTGGACTGTTTAAGTAACTTGATACAGCTATGCTTTGACTCTGGGTGAGTGATAAAGCAGCTGTGACCACAACTTGCCTGCTTTGTCTGTTGACCCAGTTTGACTAGACACAGTGCTTGCTTGATATATGATCTGACTGCTGGTGACTAGCCTTTGTAAAAAGGATGGCAGGGGCAGTGGAAGTGAATTTTGACTGTCTGTGACTGCTTAAATAGCAGTAGGGTTAATCTGAATTCCAGAAACATAAACTTACTCTGTGACATCTGTCTGATTTGTCCCGCCGGTAACCTGATGGTTGTTCCTGGTCCCCCTGATGCACCTTGTAGCTGGACTGTGATGGGTTGCGTGGTGATAAACTGACCCCGTCCAGCACCAGACGTCTGAAATGACAGAAAAGAAGTGGCAAGTCAGGGTTCATGTGCTTAATAAAGTTCAGTTTCTTTGGAAGCCATTCACATTAAAAAAAAAAAGATCTACGTTGAGATCTCTGGTTTTTGTAAAAACGAAGAAAGGCATTATTAATAGAATGAAAAATTCATTGCTGCATCTGAGCCCTTTGCTTTGAAGTGCGGCATGTCCTTGTATAAATGGCTTAGCATACTGTATGTGATACAGGGAAATCCCCCACAGCAGTACCATCTCCAGCCAGGGAGACTGCTCTTGTCTAGGGGCCCTGTTTCATAAGGCTACTAAGCTGAAAACACTGCTTAGCAATTTTACACGCTAGGCATAAATAAGCAGAGATTGAACACACAGAGCATGGAATTTTGACCAATTAACTTTATTTCTCTATTTAGAAAAATATTTTCCATGCAAATTTCTACAGTCAAAATACAATAAGGTTAACTAAAACTCCTTTGTGTTCTGTTAACCGTTCAGGATTCCCCATGAAATTGGTCCCCGATCACTCTTGTTTTTTCGCTCAACTCAGCTCACCTGCTGCTGGAGATAGAACCGCTGCTGGCCTGCCGGCGAGCCTGCCGAGGAGATCACTACCCCTGTGTACCCCGGCAGCTGCTGTAAGGGGGTGCTGCTTGGCACCGAGGGGTGCGAGACCAGGGTGAGCGAGGGTACACCCGTGGAGGACGTGGTGGTGGTAGTCAGAGCCAGGGAAACGCTAGGGGAGCTCCTTCCATCTAGGACCAGACCTGTTGGTAAAGGAGCGTCTGAAAATTAATCTGTAATAACTCAAACTTAATGGGATGTCTTCCAAGAAGATAATGTGTGGAATAGCACACTCTTCGTCTGAAACATTATCAGGACTTCAAGCCACTTGTAAACTAATCGAGTGTAGGTCCCAGAGTATTAAAAACGTAAGACTTCACAGAATTGGAATTTGTTGCCTGTGTACTGTTGTGGAACCCTTGGGTTTCTTTTCCAGAAACACTTTATGCTAAGCCTGCCCGACACACCAAGATACAACATGAGTAAATGTCTGTAGGATCTTGTTTGATTGGGTAGTTGAGAACACTAGTCAGACCACTCATTCTCACAACTGTTGTATGTTGTTCACTCAAGCAGGTTTCTTGTAAAATCCGTGGAGGGTTAGGGTTAACGTGAGTAAAATACCTTGCTGGGTTGAGCCCGTCTGCCTCAGCAACTGAACACCCGTGGACGACCTCACTAGCACGTGGCTCACGCTGGGCGAAGCCCGCCCCCCAGTGGCTGCGGCCAGACCCTGCGAAGCCACCACGACCGGTGAAGCCCTGCCTGGCACTGTAGCAGACACCGACGATGTGGCACTTGCTACGGCAGGCTTCGGCTCCTTGGGGGCTTGGCTCATTGGGGGTGGGAACAGTTTCCCCGGCTTGATCTTCATGGGCTGCGGGCGGGGCGGCGGCTCAGGGGCGGAGTCGATCTCCTCGATTAAGGGGCGTGGAGTCTGCAGCTGTTTGATGCGGTGGGCTGCGTAGGCCGGCAGGAAGAGCTCCAGGCTGGCTACGCACAGGTTGAGGCTGTTCAGACTGACGTGCTGTAGAGTAGTCAATCAAGAGGAAAAAACCAAACAAAACATTTGTTACTTTGTACTTTGCTAACAGCAGCAAGATGCAATTCAATAGCTTGTCACTGAAAATACGCCACTAAAATTTAATCTGGCTATCTGTGTAATGTACCCATCGTTTGCATAGTGTTAAGTAATTTTGGTTGCTTTTTCATAATGGATGCAGGCAACATGATGCAGGCAACATGATGCAGGCATCATGACTCTGGCAACATGCAACTTTTGTCACTTGGTCTATGGCAGGGTTCTACCGCATAAAAGATTGTTTATTGAAGTACATCGAGTACTATTTCCACAATTTAAACAATGCTGTGGATACAAAGATGATACAATTTTTGTGGCCCTTCTAATGTAAAATTGTCACATGTACTAAAACCTCATACACAGGCAGAAACCTGAATGAGCATGTGATTTCTCTCACTGGCTCTCACGAGTACGCCACACAACGCCATCTACAACTCCCTACACAAAATTCAACGTATTGATCTCTCGATCTCTCACCTTGAACGGATCATGCTCCAGAACCTTGGTGATCAGCGAGGCTGCGTAGTATTGGATACCTTCCATCTGGAAGGGAGACTGGATGGGACGTAGCTCAAACAGATCTGGGTGGTTACACACCTTGCGCAGCTGCATCAGGACGTTGATGACGCTCATGAAGTGGCCAGAGGAGAGCGTCTCTCTGGTTCTGGAGGCGAAAAAAGTCAACGCCCAATGTGAACAAAATGTTGCTAGTCTATTGAATCTCAGGGGGTACTTGCACAAGTACCCCCTCAACGGTAACAAAGGGAGAGTTAAGGGAGACCACTGGGAGAGACATTCAAACACATTTGGAGAATTTACTGTACTCCCCACAAAAATATTGTTGATGTACCCCAACGTGGCGCGACCCCTAACATGGCACACTCTCATTTTTCGCCTCCAGGGCTTGCTAGAGCAAACTTTTTACCTTAAATTTCACAGAAAGTGAAATTTCATCAAGCACAAAACATTCTCGTTTATAAATCTTGATTTCACTTTCCCGCTACAAAGGTTCCAGAGAAATTCTATTTTTTTTATATGAACCCTTTTATAATGCGTCCAAAAATCAGAAACTAATTTTCTGACAAACTTGTAGTTGGGTATACCAGTAGAGATAATATAACACATGTATCCGCACTCGCATATAACACATGTATCTGGCTAATCTATTTTCCCCTGCCATGGAAAGGGCAGGCGAGGCATTCAGTTGCCAGAAGATGGCTTTGATCTTCGAGGTGGATAGCACCATTACGCTACAGGTACAAGCAAAGAGTGCGCGATCCTCGGTAGCAAAAATACCCACTATGCACTGTAAGCATGAAAAACCACACTCCAGCACGACTTAATGCTTTATCAAAATTTTTCAATTTTAACGAAATTCGTAAATGTTAACTTCAGGCATGCAACTTGGAATTTAGAAAACACGAGTAAACTCCAAACCACACATGACTTTGTACAGCATTTTTCAATTGATAATGGCATTCATGAGAAGTAAAAACCAAGGAAATCAGCCGATCTGAGGAAAAATTGCATGCCTGTAACTTGGGATTTTCTAAGATTTATTCAAGTGCTCCAAGTTAGGGAACACTCGGCCAATTTTGTGCCAGATTTCCAGACGCCACCATTTTTTAATTTCGGATTAAATTTCATGACACTGAAATTGTTCACAAAGGCTCAACAGCAAGCATTATTAATGTAAAAGCACCAGTATTTAACTGAATGAATTTGAAGTTTGTCAACAAAGGATTTTGGCGACACTGCATGACGAAAGTCAGAACTTTGAAGTGCGCCACGTTAGGGAACACCATTATACCAGCAAATGGGCAGGAAATTGTCTGCAGTTTAACACATATGAAAAGTTTTGCCGGCACAGTGTTCACTGCTGTGAGGGATTAAGTATGGCATTGATGGAACATACTGTGAAATGTACATACTTGGATTGTGACATGAAGTCGTCGTAGAGAAACCGTTGTCTCCTTGACAGACGACATCTCACCAGATGCTCGTACTTCTGAGGAAGTTGCCGCTCTACCTCAATCTTCAGACGGCGAAGAAGGAACGGTCTTAAGACCTACACACAAGAGGGAAAGAATCAAGAAGCCTGTGATGAACAATTAAAAACATATTTGGCAGGACTTGGGTTAGTAAAAAACATATTTACTCAGTTTTAAAATCTGTGACAAATATGTCCTAGTCTTTCATCAAAAAGTACCCCGAAGCAAGGGCTTGAGCCAGTGACAAGAGTTCTCTGTACATAATTAACACAATCTATGTTGTTGAGAGCATCAACAAATGGGGGGGGGGGGGGGGGGGAATGGTATCACTAGAAGTTATCTGATTTTTTTTTTGTTTTTCAAATTTTCTGATCTAAAGAGACACTTTGAAATTTTTTGTAATATTAAAAATATAGAGTTTGGGCTTGAAACAGTGTGTTCAATACCAAGATTGGAGAATGTCAGAATAAACTATACATTGTATATGCACCAAACTAAATGTGCATTAATGTGTCCTCAGTAAAACCTTGTAATTCATGTTGTCACCACCCATGGGTCACTATGTGCCCATAAACAATGTGGTCAATATTTGAAATTCTACCACAAGCTGAAAGAAGGTATCAACTCAATTTTACGACCTAAATTGCACAAACAGCCTCAACAATGTGGTAAAAGCACTTGGAATTCTTACAAAAGCTGAAACTTGATATCAACGTATTTAGTGGCCTCAACAACAAAGCCTTTACTGAGCTCGCACAACACTCACGCACAGGTCTCACTCTTTCATCTAAAGCTCCTCCCCCAACCGGGTCCCTGAAATGCATATGCACCTCAATTTTGACCTAATGTTTGGCATACACATGAGCCTGGTACAAAGTCAGTTGTCTGGGTTTTTGGAAATTACAATTATGCGGGCGCATACTGACAATAGACACAGCTGTAGCTTTTAATTGCTGTTTCAGACACAGCCAAGTTTATGAAAATCCCAGTGTGCACGTCTACCTTATGTAATCTCCTGATCAGCCCCTCGTTGTACTCCTGCGTGCCTTCAATCATCCCACTCAGCGGGTTGGAGAACCACTCCCTGAACTCCCGATGCGAGGCAAAGACGTGAGGCATCAGGAAGTGCATCAGGGACCACAGCTCCATCAGGTTGTTCTGCAGCGGGGTACCGGTCAGGAGGAGACGACGCTGGCTGTTGAAGTTGAGTAGGGTTTGCCACCTGGGAACCGAGGAAGAATTTGAAATCAGTGATTTCCCTGCGCTATGGACTAGTCTTAAAAACCTCATCACGTCAATGACATGTTTATTGATAACAGGAATGTAGTCGAGTCCATCACAAGTACCTGCAAGCCCATCACAAGCCCAACGCAAGCCCATCACAAGCCCATCACAAGCCCATCACAAGTCCATCACAAGTCCATCACAAGTCCCAATTCAAGTCACAAGCTATTCAAATGAACTCTGACAAAGGCATTCCTTTGTTATTGTTCATCCACTGTTTCTTGTGATTGGACTTGTGACTGGACTTGTGATTTACTTGTACCAGACTTGTGATGGACTCGACTGTCAACACAAATCATCTAATCTTGAGGTAGTAAGCTTTTCAATTGAACTGTGACTACGACATTCTGAATTTTCAGTCATTATTCAAGTGCTACTACTTAAAACATTAGTTGCGATTTCAAAAGTTACCAACTTGTGATTGAAGTTGTGACCAACTTGTCATGGACTTGACAACTCTGTGGATGAAACCCACCAAGTCACTGCTCGCGCGTAAACCGATTATTCAACACAACTCCCGCCTCTTTAGACTGGTTCCCACCGCCACAGTCATGACCAATTATGGATTGGGAACCTGTATTTCTGCCTCCCGTGGCATACATCGATTGTAAAAATCAAAGAACAGAAAGTGCGGGTGTCCTTCCATTGGACACTATTTGGCCCTCTCTTGTTCATACACGGAATCCTTAAACAGAGTTCTCAAAACTAAAACTAATATCAATGCTGTGATTTTTGTATATGAGTGATCGCTCAGGTTTTTTCCGTTTTCCTACCTCTGTGACTTGAAGTTCTTGATGTTCTGGGCTTCGTCCAGCACCAGGTACTTCCACTTTTTCCTCCTGAAGGACTGGTGGTCCTGAATGACCAACTTGTAGGAGGTGATGCAGACATGGAAGGCATTGCTCTTGGTCCAACCCTGGAAGAGAAAGAGGTGCAACGGGTCAAGGTTGGTGAATGCAATGTAAAGAATCAGAAAGCCAAATGCAAAAAACTGTAACCACAGCCATAACAGAACAGTCTGAGCGTTAATGTTTAATCCTAACCTTCCCAAATCCTCCAAAATCCTCCTTACATAGGTGGAGGATGTCAAAGGATTGATTGAGGCCGTATGGCAAAACTATGTGGCTGATTTTGCAGGATGCACTGTGTCAAGGTCTTAGGCCTGACCTAGTGATGTTCATGCTCAGCCATGCATAAATTTAGGCCTAGATTAGACTTGAAATCCTCCCCACTGCTCCAGGGTGTCACTGGCTCTGCCTCAACATATTGACAGTGATTGCTGGAGGATTTTGCAGGATTGAGGCAGTGATCAGCTCTCCAAGGACCACTTCAAGAAATAACAGAATATTTTGGATGATCGAGGCTGTATCCAATGTTTACATGGAGGCGGTTGGAGCATTTTGCAGGATTGAGGTTGCATCCTAGTAAGAAGGCCTAAGGAGTTAGAGTTAAAAGGCTTGTATGAGAGGAATACAACTTTAGTGTGAATGCCTGAAGCCTGTTTATGCTTAATAGGAATGTGAGCACTCAGCCAAATTGAACATCACAGCTGACATCTGTTCAACTTATACAAATTTGCAGTGCAAAAGCTTGCCGTAACATCACAAATTCAATTTTGTGTTTGCATTCACGCTAAGAATGAACTAACCCTAAGTAATCTTACGCAGTTACATTGATTAGTATTAAAGTTAGCATTTTGCACTCACATATAACACATGTATCTGGCTAATCTAATTTCCCCTGCCATGGAAAGGGCAGGCGAGGCATTCAGTTGCCAGAAGATGGCTTTGATCTTCGAGGTGGATAGCACCATTACGCTACAGGTACAAGCAAAGAGTGCGCGATCCTCGATAGCAAAAATACCTACAATACACTGTAAGCATGAAAAACCACACTCCAGTACAACTTGTTTGAATTTTGAAGGAATGGTGATTTTTAATTCACTTAACCTAAGTATGAATCCCCCAACAAAATTATCTGACTAGAAAATTGAAATGAAGAATACCTGTCTTTTCAGCTTGCGTTCCTTCTGATTGCCAAAGTAGGTCAGGATCTTGAAGCCTGGACACCACTTCTTGAACTCCATCTCCCAGTTCAGCATGACGCTGGTTGGTACCACGATCAGGTGTGGACCCCAATTACCTGTATGGGGGAAGATAAACATTAGATAATCGTTGAATGATCCAACGTTGAGAGAAAATCTTTTCACTTGGGAAAAAAATGGTCGTGGAGCTTGAAATAAAAATGGAGGCTGGGCTGTATGGTACATCATCAAATAATCCCTTACCCAGACCCTGCCAAAAATACACATCTGTGGGTTTGGAGAATTTAAGGAAGGTGGGGCCTGATCAATATTATTGAACACTGTGCTCGACACCCTAAAAGGTACAAGGTTGATTTAAAACGATTACAAGAGGTTCTTTCTTTGTGATTCTGAACAAATTACACTACCATTCGACAAAACTTTAATCCTTCGAATTAGTTGTCTACCCCGACAGGAGCCATAGGATAGGAGGTAGCTATCTCATGGGTTTTATGAGGTAGTGTTGTTCTTCCCCTCAAAAAAATAAACCATGGTGAAAGATGGACAGCTTGTACCATGGGCGTTGAAGGGGATTCACACTTAAAAAGAATAACTCATGGTGAAATTTCAAACACTGTTATGAAAAATATTCAATGAGATTTCATTTTTCGGATTTGTGGGACAAAAAGTGGGAAAAAGTAGGAATTTCAACAAAAATAGGAGGAAAAGTAGGAGCAAGTTAAAAAAAAATAGGAAAAAGTAGTAATACTTGAAGCCTGCATTTAGTGTTGTCAGGACTGCTTACCCGTTTCACATGCCAGGTGAGCCAGCAGGGCAATGGTCTGGATGGTCTTGCCTAGACCCATCTCGTCAGCCAGGATGCCGTTCAGTCTCTTGTCGTTCATGGTGACCAGCCAGTCCAGACCGATGTGCTGGTACTCGCGCAGCTTGTGGCGGAGGAGGAACGGCACGGGGGTCTTGACCTTAAAAAAAAAACACATAGAAAATCAAGGGTAAACAACTTGGTTGATGACTGATGCTTTTCATAATTAACTAAAGTTGTGTTCATTTACATACTAGCTTGGAGGAGACCAACTCCACAACCTCCTGTTTATTAGTGCATCTTAACCCTCCTTTTGTTTGATCAGTCACAGACAGTTAAAAATTTCAATCCTGTTCCCCTGCCATGCCTTTTACACACGCTAGTCACCAACACTCAGATCATATTTCTTGTAGGCACTGTGACTAGTCGTATTCCATCAACAGACAAAAGCAGGTGACTAGTAGGCACAGCTGGCTTATCAGTCACCTACAGTCAAAGCATAGCTGTATCAGGTTTCATAACAATCACAGCTAGCCATAGCCAATCCTGCTCTACGTAGTCAGGGAGCTCTCAATTGTTAAAAACAGTCACTTGATTTATTTTGACTGCTGGGCTGGCCTTGTTGAAATTGCCATCAAGAGAGGGAGAGTTAATGACAAGAATGTGAACATACTAGTCTCCAAGGGCGAACCCAATAGTTTTCACCTTTTTTTTTTTAATGGGAACCTTCATGAATCCTCTCAATCAACCACTGTGCGTTAAACCAATGGCACTTTCTCAAGTCGCATGTGAAGTAAAACTAGCTGGGATTTACCCTCCGCAACCTCATGGAGGATTTTTGAAGGAATTTGGGAGGATTAGGGTTTCAGGATTCAACGGCACCTTCGCATTGACGACATCTTGATTAAACTGAGTCTCAAGCACTGGGGGAAACGTACACAAACCAGAGCTGGGCAGGGCTTAATAACAGATATGGAACCATCCATTTTAATGACTCTTTTACTGACCTGCGTAGTGGACAGCGTGTAGCCTGTTGGCTGCAGGCTCTGCGCTGCTGCCGCTATGTCCGTGATCTCTTTGTTGGGTCCTCCGTCCTGTGACTGCCCTCCGGAGGCTTTTGCGGTGGAGGCTGTTGGAGCCTCATTCTCTTTGTCTGGATTGATGAGGTACTCCATCCCGACGTCTGTTAATTCAGCTTCCTCATCGGTTGCCGAGTCTTCATCTTCTTCTTCTAGATGTAGATGAAAGACATATTGACACTTGTAACTCTACCAAAATTCTTCTCAATTTTTCTTCTACACTGATGCAACTGCCATCATGAGCTCTTGTTAATTTTGCCTTCAGAATTCTTGCGGATTCATGCAACTGTAGAAGTTGGTAAGCAGTTAACAAAAGGTACTTTGCAGTGCTGCATATTCCCTAGAAATAAACTCACTTAAAGTTTTTCTAAATGCACTATCTTTAAAAAAATGTCTGCCATAACGTAATTCACTTAAAAATTACAGCTTTGATGATGGACTTCTCTTTCAAAATGTTGCTACAGGAAGATTCCAGTGAAAATACTTCAAAACAAAACATTTGAAATTTTTTGGTTGCAATTTGTGGTTTAAAAAGTTTAAAATTGACTTTTAATCCACTTACTTCACCAAAATTTTAATTTAATTTGTTGACGGCAACAAAGAAAAAATTGTGCCACACCCTTTAACCTTCTGCTATAAAATTCTGCATACCAGACACTTACAACTGAAGTATGTTCACAAAATACAAATGTCGTCACATGTGACCTACCTTCTGTTTCCTCCTCTTCTTCCTCTTCATCATCTTCTTCCTCCTCCTCGGATACAGGCATCTCAAAGTCTTCATCATACGCCCCGCTGTACTTCTTAAGCAGTTCCTCCATGGTCATCTCTCCCTCCGCCTCCAGCTCAGCAACCTCGGCTGTGTGGTCCATGGTGCCCTCGGCTGCCTCCTGTTCCTCCAGCGTCTCTTCGTCATCTGGCACTGGGGAGGTGAATAAAATTCAATACATTCAAGGTTTCGAATTGCCTTCCCCTTGCTCTTCAACAAATTTGATGTTTTTCTATTTATTAATTTTTAACTTGTATGTTTTATTCCAACCCAAAACTTTCCTTTTTTTCCTGTTTTGGATGTCTGCAAACCTTTTTGTTTTGGGCACAAACAGATCCATTTTGTGAGCAGACTGGCTCCCGGTCCGTCCATTATCGATACTGATTGTGGTGCGGGAACTAACTGACCCACAAGAAGAAAAAGTATTGTCTGGTAGTAAAAAATTGGAAATGTAAATGGAACAACTAAGCGAAGCTGAGTTTTTCGTTCAATGTCTCATTCAAAAGAGACTAACTTTTGTATTGCCAGAAAAACAGCAATGTAGAAAAAATAAATATCAATTTTTCTGGATGAAAAAAGCACGGGGAACGAACGGATCTTTAAGCTTCAACCCTATAAGTAACGTCCAAACTTGGAATCATTTCAAAAAGATACTCTCAGCATGCACTAGAGTTCAGTCTGAATATTTTTTTAGTTCAAGTTTAGAATCTTGTACCAGAGACCAAGTGACATTTTACACACTTTATAAAATGTTGGTGGTTGTCACAATATTTTTTATTTTGTTAACCAAATCTATTTAAATTCCTACCATGAAACCCTTTTTTATTTTTAATCCAATTATACTTTCAACAAAATCATTTTATTTTATGAAAGTTTCAGGAGACATTCCTTGTTTCCCGTTCTGAGGATTGCTATATTAAGAAAGGTAGGGCCTGGTCAAAACTTGACACCCTAGAAGGTTCAAGGTGGATTTCAAATGATTGCGGGAGGGTCTTTTTGTGATTTCATACAAATGTTAATACCACACCTAAGAATTAATTGTGTACCCCGACAGGAGCCATGGGGATAGGAGGTAGCTACCCCATGGGTTTTATGAGGTAATGATGCTCTTCCCCTCGAAAAAATAAACCATGGTGAAAGATGGACAGCTATTACCATGGGCGTTGAAGGGGATTCACAATTAAAAAGAATAACTCATGGTTAAATGATGACGTTATTTCAACTTGAGATTGGTTAGGAGGTACATTATCGATATTGACTGTGGGACGGAGACTAGCCAGATTTTATCAACATTGGGGACGGTTTTGAATCATGCTTACTTTCTTCATCTTCATCGTCTGTTGAAGGCACAAACTCTTCATCAGCTTTGGCTACCTTGTCAGGACTTTCCTCTGCTTCTTTGGTCTAGACACAAATAAAAAGTACCAAACAAAATCAAATAACGCTGACAACTATTTCTGGCTCTGGCACCTTGACTTAACATATTATTCCACATTAGGAAAATGTGTAATGAGCTGTAGTATACTTATACATTTGGTTCGGGAATTTGATTTTGTAATTGGGTTTTTTTTTTCAATCTTGTCAGTTTTTACTAATTTCACAAACTTGTGTCCTATTATTTTCTTGAGGACCTACGTGCCATGGAAGCAGCTTTTGCGGGGAATGAATCCCTTCGATCCGGAAAAAAATCCTCCTGAAATCCTCAAAAATCCTCTTTGCTTAATAATGGAGGATTTTGAAGGATTGAGGCTGTATGGCAAAATGTGTCAGTTTATTTTGGAGGATGCACTGTGTCAAGGTCTTAGGGTGTTTATGCTTTGCCGTGCATACACTTAGGTCCAGATTATTCTTAAATTCATCCGCACTGCTTCTGAAAATCATCCGCACTGCTTCTGAAAATCATCTGCACTGCATCATTGTATTAACAGTGATTGTTGGAGGATTTTGTAGGATTGAGGCAGTGGTCACCCCTCCAATGAACAAATTCAAGAAACGACCGAAGATTTTGAAGGATTGAAGCTGTATCCAATTTTTACAAGGAGGCAGCTGGACGATTTTGAAGAACCGAGGTCGCATCCTAGCAAAAGGGCCTGGGGGTTAGGGTTAACCCGAGTTTACAACTTGTGTAGCAGTCCATCCACTCACCACTTCACTCAATCCCGCCTCTTCTTCATCCTTCCTATCCTCCTCCCCGACCGTCACATCAACCTTCACCTCCTCACCAGTCTCCGCAGCGCCTGCCTCCACCCCCTGCTCGCCCTTCCCTTCAAGGATCTCAGACGGCAGGGAGCCTATCAGGTCCTCCAGGGGCACCTCGCTGTCCTTCTGTAGGAGTTCCAGCTCCTTCTGGTGGGCGTCCTGGTCATGCTCCGCCTCCCGCTCTTCCACGTCGATGGTCTCCTCATCGTCGGTGTCGTCCCCGTCGGGCTGGAAGTCTACATCTGAGAGACAAGATAGGTTTCAGACATTTGTAAGTCTTGGCTTTTCAAGAAAACAGTGAAAATGCATGCACAACCTTTTCATCTATAAACACATCTCGTGGATAGCACTCTTATTTCAAAAACATCAGTCAATTGACTGATCGTTGGAAAAACACATTTCTTGATTTCTTCTAAATAACAGCAAACCAGAAAGAATAATTTCGCAGGGAGTTTATTAATACCAGAATGATCTTTAATCCAAGTAGGTTTTTGGTAATAACCCGGTAGGTTATTTTTGGGATAAATGCAAATGATCCTACATGCCTTTAAAGCTAATGCACCGGTTATCTTCTAGGCGTTTCATTCAATAAAGGGCATTCTATCCATTGCACTCATTGTCACGCACAGCGAAATAGAACAGATAACTTGTACAAGTGTATTAATATTGGAGTGCCGTCCCATCTTTACCTGAGTTTGCAATCACATTGTGAACATGTGTGCCCAGTGAGATCATCGTATCAAAGTGGTGCTTAAAAAGCATGATTTTGACAACAAACTAGAAGGGTGTAATATTCGATAACTGTGCAGAAATTCTGGGATGTAGAAATGATTTAGATAACGTAGAAATGACTCAGTAGAAATGACCTAGAAATGACTTGGAGAAATTGCAGTGGATATTTAACATCAGGAAATGCTGACAAACCAAACTTTTGAAACTCACCTTCCCCTGTGGCTAATAACCCTGGGTCTGATCTCGGACTGGAAGCCACCGAGCCCTGGGCTGAGGAGCCAGCAGCGTTGAGGTTGAGTCCCTCCGTTAGCCACGACGAGTACTTCTCAGTCTGGCCCACGATGTAGTCCAGCTGCATGTCCATGGCTTTCCTGCGCCGCTCCTCCAGCCGGCTCTGCTGCTTGTATTGCACTACCTGCGTACCCATAAAAGAAACAGTCAGGGAACCAGACTCTTAAACTACCAGTTAAACTACCATGAACTACTTTAGCAACAAATCCTACAAATCCGTGCCACCCTAAAGTCAATAAACCCATTCTTGGATATGACAGGTAACAACACACTCTAACATGTACCTAAGGTATGTGGGATTAGGGGGTCAACTGTGTGTGGCGTTCATGGAACCAACAGGGATTAACCCTCCTGGTCACAAATGGTCAAAATTTCCTTCCACTCCCCCTGGCTTACTTTTAACAAACCAATGGGTGATTTGACCAATATTGACCCCAGAAACAGCATGGCTCAGAATGCAGGTTTCCATAGGAGGGTTAAAGCATTTAAAAATGCCTTTAATACATTTTTCAACCTATAATACATTGTACAGGCAAAAATTACCATATTTAAAAATACACATATTTCACTTTCAATGAATTTAATCTGCAAATTTCCTAAGGAGTTCATGTGGGAAACTGTAACAACATAAATTTGTTCTAATCTTTCCAAAGCCCGAAAATTCGGAACTGAACATACCTATAACTCTGTCAAATTTTGTCCAATTCCCATACTCTATACATATTTGGAAAGCTTATTCAATGTCCTTTCCAATGAGCCCAACATCCCAGTTTTCAAAAATTGGTTCAAGTGACTGGTTTTGTGTTGGAGGGTCACATAATTATGGTCAACATTGTGACTCTGCACTCACTTTTTCAATATTTGACCAGAATGTCTTGATCTCCTTAGCCATGTTGGCTGCGATCCTTCTCAGTTTCTGTGTCTCTTCCCTCTCTGCCTTCACCTCCTTGGCATGCTTCTCCTGGTGGTGTCTGGCCACAGCTCGCACCAACTACAAGGTCGAAAATCAATAACACATATAAGAGCAAGTTCGGGTGCCAACTATAGTTAACCATAGTTTGACTAACTTCGCTCTAACAAAGAATAGTTGGACTATTTGCATTTGCACATTGGACAATGCAAGTAAAATGCAACGACTTTCAAACTGACTGTTGCAAAGTCATTTTTGATGCATGAAAACTGTCGGAAATGCGTAATTCAAGTTGTGCATGGAACATTGCGCAACCCAAGAATGAGTCATTTCACATTGCTTTCTGAAGTAACATACGGGCCGGTAGATGGAGGAAAACATTTACTGACCCCTGCCAAGCACTTCAGTGGGAAGTCAATATCCATAACAATATGTAAAAACCTTTCAGGTCAGTTTCAATTAAAGGGTTATGAAGTGCTAACCCTAACCTTCCAGGGTATTCTGGCTAGAAACCCCGACAAACACACACACACTTGTTTCACATGACTAGTGTGGACTTTCCATTGCTTTCGTGTAGTTAAGAAAAACCAGTGAAAAAACTCATTTTTCTCAAACTGTGAAAACTCTTTCAACCCAATTTTTTTTCTATGATTCCCTTTAGTGTTTCTCTTCATTCTGCTACAGATAAACCTAACCCAAAAATGCCTCTAAACCTGTTTTCCAGAAATGGGGAAACACTGTGTGGACGTGGGGTAAGTCCACACAACGTCGGTGCTACCTACATTATGTGGACGTCTTTTGTTCGGAAGTCCACACTGCGTATGTAAGACAAACTCAGCAACATGCAACATTTGTCCAAATCAGCAACATGCAACACTTGTCCAAATCAGCAACATGCAACACTTGTCTAAATCAGCAACATGCAACACTTGTCTAAATCAGCAACATGCAACACTTGTCTAAATCAGCAACATGCAACACTTGTCTAAAAGACAAGCCTGCTCAGTGTAGCAAGATCCAACAGGTCAAAAATCTCAAAGTCAAACTGCCAAACTGAGGGACCAAAGCCAAAGTGTGGGACGTTGCTGCTTTGAAAACACACCACCAGTGCATAAACTGCCAATTCTGAGACTATGAGAGCTAGTCTCATTGAACAATGCCAGAGCTGTATCCTGCTGCGGCCAATGACCACAGACTCTGAGGCAGTTAAGCCTCGAGATTTGTGACCTGATGGATCTTGCTACAATGAGCAGGCTTGTCATTTAGACAAGCCTTGCATGTTGTGGCATTTAGCAGGGTTTCTTGCCAAAACGCCCTGGAGGGTTAGGGTTAGAAGAAATCAGCAGACAACAAAATCTGTTCACACAGGGGTCAAAACGGAATTCACGAATATGATCTGGGAGGATTCCAGTTAACCTCATTGAACTTTCATTCCAAGGATTCTTTAAAAAAAAAATTAAAACCACATTAACTGTGCCGGCAAATTACGCAGCAACTGTTGAGAAGACATTTTTTCAAGTTGACATAGAAGGTGACTGCTGATTTTAAGCCCAAACTCAATGCGAAGGGCTGTACAGCAAAACGTGAATACAAATATTTGTAGTTTTTTTACCTTGCGAGCAGCAGCTTTCTTCCACCTTCTCTCTTGGACAAAGTCCGTAGCCAGCCACTGGGCTTCCTCCAGCAGGTACTCCCAATGGGTTTTGTGCCTGGGAGGCTCCTGGACCTTGGGCAGGCGTCGGACTGACCACAGACCTTCCTTACGTAGTTCAGCTATCCTCTGCATTACCTGGGCTTCCTGTAATGGGGATAATAAAGGGGGTTAAATGAGCCAAGTGAATTATCAAAAAACTTGTTTTACAGTTTTTAGGTAGAGGTGTTACCATAAATCGTGTCCAAGAACTCGATCTGATATTTTGAGGAGAAAAAAAGGAGTTAGGAAAAGTAATTAGTTTGTTGGGTTCTTGGCTAGTTTTGCTCTATCCAGAATGAAGAATTGGGACAAATTACAAAACTTTTATTACAAAACAAAATTATGAATAGTTTGGTATTGGTACCTGCTGCTATATCAGATTTGAACCAGACCCCGGCAAGCTCGGTGGTCGATTGGTAAGACATCTGCACTAGTAAGCATAAGATCGCGGGTTCGAGTCCCACCCGAGTATTTTGTGAATTTTTTTATCACAATCACTTGGGACAACACTGAGAATACAGTGTTTATAAAAAATATGACGATGAAGGGCAAAACACAATACTGAATTTACATCACCCCTGACACAGATTCCATCTTATAAATAGACGGATTACCCTACACTTAGAGAAGCTTTCTACTGATTTGTCTTTACTTTATGTTGTGTGCAGTTTACAGAAACAGTTTTGAAGACAATTCAACTGCAGTTTTGTACTCAGTTATGAGTACATAATGAAGACAACTGTTCCTACCTGTTTTGCTCTTTCAACAATCATCTCCTGTGACCCTATCGTGTAGTCATACACTGCCGATAACGAATGTTGCCTGGTTGCCAGTCGCTGGTGCGCATTGGGCGATATGGGCGACTTGGGCAGCTTCTGAGGCAGTGGTGGCGCTCCGGTGGTGGAGCCCCCAGAGAGGTGGCGTCTGGGGGACGTGCTGCCCACGACGGTTGCGGCGGCGGTAGTCACGTCGGCGCCGGTCGTGGTGTTGACGGTGAGGGGTCGGGAGGTGGGCAACTTGAGCTGGTGCAGGGAATGCTTGGCAGCTGATGAAGGAAAGGGCATTTACGAGGAAAATTGAAATCCCGCGCTTCACAACGACAATGAGCTGCCTCAAGCAAATTGCATCCAGCATTGGGCAATTTGGCCAATAAGTAGTAGACAAAAAACAATACGTACTTGTTTGATTTAACAAGTATCAGCAAGTTTCAAATATGATACTCAGTAGTGTCAGTTTCAGCATGGTACAAAAAAATAACTAATTCTCTACCTGGTGGTGATTTTGGTTCTCTCCGCGGATGTGGGACACTGAGTGATGTCCGCACATGAGACAACCCAGGCGCAGTTGCTGAGGAAACGGTACTTGGGACGCGGTTCAAAGTACCCTGCTGCTGTTGTTGCTGCTGCTGCTGGCCAGCTGCAAGTTGCTTGTGCTGCTGCTGCTGCTGCTGTTTGTACAACAAGGATGGCTGACTGCCAGGTAATGCTACAAAAACAAACAAATTAAACAAAGTGAAATCATTGATGCAACAACTTTTAAATGGACTGTTGCAAAGTTATTTTTATACGTAACAAAATGTCGGAAATGTGTAATTCAAGTTGTGCATGGAACACTGCGCAACCCGAGAATGAGTCATTTCACATTGCTTTCTGAAGTAACATACGGGCCGGTAGATGGAGGAGAACATCTACTGACCCCTGCCAAGCACTTCAGTTTAACCCCGCCTAGTGGGATGTCAATATCCAAAATATGTAAAACCCTTTATCCCTAACCCTCCTCAATCCTCCAAAGTCCTTCAAGCAGTTTTGGAGGATTTTGGAGGATTGAGGATGAATGCAATATACAAGTTTGGAGGATTGAGGAGGATTGAGGGCACATGGACATTCAGGATCGGTTGATTTTGGAGGATTGAAGATGAATGGTGTTTGAAGAAGAGGAGGATTTCGGGTATTAAGGCTGAATGCAATTTGAGAGGCAGGGCTGTTGGAGGATTTTGAAGGATTGAGGCAGTGGGTATCCTTCATTTGAACATACATGCAAGTGCACATTTTTGGAGGGTTGGGGATGGTTCCCAGCAAAAAGGGCATAGGAAGTTAAGGTAAAAGGTTTAGGAAGCCTTACCTGGTATAGGAGTGATTGTCTTGGGACTGAGGGTGACGTTGGGCTCGTGTGTGGATGGGAACCCTAGCGGTTTTCTCTCAGAGGTACTGCTGCCATCGAGACCTGTAATAAAAATAAAATAACTTCCTTGAAAAAGGTCCATAGGCCCACTCAGTTCTTTCAAAGGTGAAATCTGGAGTGGATGACATGAAATTGACCAGCAATAGTGTAAACCAAAAATAGCACCACTTTTTTTGGTGCTTAAATCTTAAGGTTTCATATATCATCAGGCATCTATGTCGTCATATTGTCGGCTATCTGCTAAAAGATGAAGAGGGGTATATGAACTATTGTTAAATAGTCAAAACCTTAGGAAGCTGGCATAAATTCTAGAAGGATGGACACACTACTGGAAAATACTTCTGTATCACTTCTGGGTTTTTTTACCTAACAATCGGGGACATATAGGGCAATCAACAGTAATGGTGGCTGGGGTTTACAGAACTCTATCCATTGAAATCAAGCAAAGCCCAGTGTTAATTATGTGCATGTCATTACCGGCTTGGCTGTAGGTCCGTTTCCGGTCCAAGTCGGGACTTGCGGTGGGCAGGGCGCCGGGGAAACTCTTGCGCAGTTCCTTGGCTTTGATCTGGGACGACAAGGCCGACACAGCAGGTGGGAGCTGTGTGGAGATGGCCACCGGCGTTCCCAGCGGTATGTTGCTACCACTGTTGGTGATCACTTTCACCTACAGGAAAGCAAAGTGGTTCGTTGTAAATGCGTCAGGTGGAATAGTAACCCTAACCCTGCTGAATGCAACAGAAAAGCCACAATGGCAAAAGTTGTTGCAGTCTGTTGCACTTAGCAGTCAGGTTCCATGTTACACATTGCATCTTGTTGCATTTAGCAGGGTATATGCCCATAGTGCCACGGCTGATACGACAGAATCCACTGTTGCAATCTGGTTTTTGAGGAAGGTAAAAAGTGTCAGAAATGTGTAATCCAAGTTGAGCATGGAATGTTGCACAACCCAAGAATGAGTCATTTCACATTGCTTTCTGAAGTAACATACGGGCCGGTAGATGGAGGAAAACATCTACTGACCCCTGCCAAGCACTTCAGTTTAACCTCGCCTAGTGGGATGTCAATATCCGTAACAACATGTAAACCCTTTTGAAACCCTGCAGGTTAGTTTCAGTTGAAAGCTTATGAAGTGTTCAAGTAACTGTGTCACAGAGATACGGTGCACAAAAACAGCACTGTGGAGTGTAGAGAAACATGATCGAATCTGCCTGCTTGCCCCGAGCTTAAAGAGGTTGTGGAATGCTCGAAGACATTTCCGTCATTCTTTGGGTATATGTAGCCTAAGGTGTGATGAAATAAAAACGACTATTGTGTCTGTCATGAAATGAGTGCAAAGGGTACTTTTGAGAGCTATTTTTCAGGTCCTGTTTCGACCCGAACGTGCAATTTGTGTAAAAGTCGTCGTTGCGGGCAGCAAACAAAACACAGTAAATCGTGACGTAATAAACAGGACTCGTTTATGCTACTCTGCATCGGGAGTCAAAATCCTCTATAATATTGTAAGATACTTTTGCAAGAATCATGAAATACTGTAACATGAACCATCAGCAGATTCTCTGTTTAAGCAAAGAATACTGTTAAAATACCAAGTTGAAATAATAGAGGCTTGAAAGTGGGAATTTAGACAAGAAAACGAGGAAATTCCAAACCATACGAGACTTTGTACCATATTTTTTCAATTTGTAATGGCATTCATGAAAAGGAAAAAAAAACCCAAAACAAAGAAATCAGCGGATCCAAAAATGTTGCATGCCTGATAACAGTGTGTAAGCCTTCCAGTCCAAAACAGGCATTGGATTTTTTGGGGGGGGGGGGGTGGGGGTGGGTTAAAGGTTAAGCAAAATGTGAACATTTACCTCATCATTGATAGTTATCTCCTCTTCTTGTCCTTCAAGTTTGCGACTAGTCATGAAGTTGTTAAGTGTGGCGCTTGGTCGCTTCTTCCAGGCCAAGAAATCCATCATATTGTAACCATTCTCCAAGAAAAACAACTCGGCTAGTTTATCTTTGTAGCCGTCTTGCAGGTCATGGAGGTCTTTTAGTTTGTGCTCGAGCAATCGAGTCCTGAGTTCAGCCACCTCATTGGTGGCTGGGGGACGGTCTGTTTCAGAGGCCATCACTGGGGATTTGCGCATACGCGATGGACTGGACGGTACAGGGTTGGCCCGTGCCGGGCTGCTCAGACTTCTGTTGTAGGTGCTTCCCCCGGCCGCAGCAGTGGGGCTCTTGCGGTGGTCGGGGGTGCCACGTGTGGGGCTGTGGCTGCTCAGTCTCCTTGCCACCCCAAAGCCGAGGGGCGGCATGGTAGACCTGGGCGAGCCCTGACCATGATGGTGGATGGTCCCCACGGGTTGGTGGTGGCTGGGCAGAAGCAAGGACTGCAGGTGAATTTGCTCTGGCGATATCTGGAGCTCCTCTCCTTGTGGAAATATTTTGGGGGTGTCGTTGAACACATACGGGTTGTTGGCGGCACTGACGCTGGTCTGCGGAGTGTTGATGCTCATCTGGTGCACGGGAATGCCGATGGTGGGGTCACCGTAGCCGGGGCTCAACTGTAGACTGACCACCTGGCTGGACGTTCGTGCGACCAGTTGACTCTGCAAGCCGGCCAGTTGCATTAGTGCCTGCTGCCTGGCAACATCCTGCTGACTCAACTGCTGCTGCTGCTGATGGCGGTGCAGCTGCTGCTGCTGCTGCTGTAAGATTACAGCAGCAGGCAAGCCTTGGGCGTGCTGAGCCGGCACCCGTATGGGTGACGTCGGGACCGGGCGACTGGTGGTGATAATGTGCGAGCCCTGGGCACCAGCAACAGGATTGATGATGTACTGCTGCATGGGATGCTGCGGGGCGCCATACCCGGATGTGTGTGGGAGACCTTGGGGCAGGTCCGCTGATTGTTGGATGGGTTGTTGTTGGGGTTGTGTTGCTTGAGACCCTAGCTTGTGGTTGACCCCGCTCTGGCTTTCGTTGCCACTGCTTCCCCTATGCATGGTTACCACAAGCTCCTAGGGTCCTACAGAAAAATAAATAAATAGGAATTCATAGAATTACCAACCAAAACAATTTATAAACTCAAATATACTTTAACCCCAACCCCGCAACATCTAGTATCAAGCTCCGACACAAATATTTAAAATATAGTGACATCTCGATAAGTCAAATCTCAATGGAATTGATAGATAGAAAATTTGAGATATCCGAAGGTAAAGTTACGCAATATTTCCATTTTTTTTTCTACGATCATGTACATAATATGCATGTACAATGCACATGAATGGCTTTCCATGCCTCGATTGCCTTGGTGGCTCACTTTCCTTCTCTGCATTGATTTTAATGATGTATTTTTTAAAATCACAATCACAATGAGTTGGACTTTACCAAGTTTCCGGTCCAAAATTTGAGTTAGCATGGGCAAGTTTACACATGATTTTCTATTCTTTTGACGGGAATAAGTTTCTGACTTTGAGTTTACCGGGTTTTGGGGTTAAACAGTTTTAACTTATCAAGATTTTTTTTCAACTAAGCAGATCAACAGTCATACAATGATAATAGCTATGAATGTGGTCCTTATCAAATATCTAGTGAATGGTCATACATAAAAAAAAAACATACACACATGTGAAAGTACCAACTGACCCACAACAAAAGTCACATATTTCTTTCTTCCAATACTTTTTTTCATCTCACTTCATAATTAGCGCTACCACAGAAACAAACTAAAATTCGCCGAACATAGCAATTCCGAACCGAACTAAACCGAAACAAACCGAACTGAAATGATCAGCTCAGATGCTCAGAAAAATGTCATTTTTAGCGCCACGTATTTTTATTTGTGCAATAAAAATAATACACATTTGTACCATAAAATTATCAAATATTACTGCTAATTAGAAGAAAACAATGTTTTAGGTTGACAGAACCGACTTAAAATGAAAGGAAATTCATGTATAGGGCTACATTTACGTGCAGTCATCAGTGCACGCACAAAAAACAACGGCAACATTATCCTGGACTGAGTGACCACGGTGGACACACATCACGCTCCGCCGGCGCTACTCAAACATTACTAATCCAAGGAATAATGCTTGGAATAAAAACAGAAGAAACAGAAAAAAATATGTACACAGAAAACATATCTTCCAGTTTTGTGAAATTACAAGCTGAAATCTTCAGTTTTAGATCGCTTCAAAAATGTTTGCTTGACATAATTTCAAGGTGTCGTTACTGTTACCCAGTTAAGCTTGTTCCTGTCCTTATACGGTTCCAGTTTATCGTTATTTGGCGGGAACCAGTCTATGTGCAAAGAATTCAATATCTTGCAAGGCGGCAAAACTCTTGCGGTTCATGTGGCATTGTCGTTGAAACAAAATTTGTTTGACATGAGCTTCATGCGCTCTCAATCACCATCGATGTGAACAAGTATGAATGAAAGGGGCAACATAAGATAGTTTTTGGCGGCAAAATTTTGCTAAGATGCAATTTTTGGCAAGACAAAATGGGCAACATGGAATTGGATACATGTTTTGTTTTTCACATACAAATCTCAAATTTCATTTCAAATTGTGCACTTCGAGCACTTATAAAATATGCTTTTTTTTAATTGGCGCTGTAAAGCAGCGGCAATGTGACGTGGCTGGGTTTATTCTGGCACAGGACTGGGTCCTACAAAGGGCCTCTAAAGCAGGTTTATTATGCAAGAAGACGATTAACAAGTATACTCCGACAGCAATGTTCTAATTTGTTGCCAAACCCAAACCAATGTTCAGATAAAAATTGCTGAACCAAACCCGACGGTTCACTTTCAGCACTATTCATAGTTCACCTTGGAAAATGCCATTCGCGAGGCACATAACATCTGGTCTTCCAAGATATAAATATATATGCGCATTTAATTACATTTCTTCAATAAGTACACTAGAACAATGTCTATGCCAGGAACCAGTGTTTCCTCTGGGTTGGTGGAAGGTGTGAGGTGGTAAAATAAATTTGGTCGAAAACAGACCCCGCGAGCGCGAAGCCTTTGCGGCGTGGGGTTCGGGGCCCGCTTAAGGGCCCTGAAAAATTTTGCGTTCTAGACGCTCTGTGGTGCAATGTGAGGCATTTAAGGTCACTTTCTTCTTACTTTTTTGGGCAGTATATGTGAATAAAATATTGATATAAATTATTGAAGTTTTTTTTCAAAAAATCCTACATAGGCCCCTATTTATTTGTGAAAATGTAGGCCTACCACCAGGGAGTTGAGCACTTTTTGGATTTTTTTTACAACCCTGGAAAATTTGGTATAATTGGAAAGAGAATCACACGACAAAATCACTAACGTTTAAATTAGTTTCATTTGAGCTTGCATTCTGGAGAAATAATAGTTAAAATAAAAAAAATTCAATGAAATTGAAAACATGCTGAAATTTTTAGTGTCAAAATATTATTATTATTTTAACACCTCTAAATTTTCGAATCCATCAAAATGTTTAATCAGGCTTTTTATCACTCGTTACAGAAAAGTTATGATTTTTTCCCCCGTAACACTAACACCGCGCGGCACGATTGTACGGACAGACATATCTGACTCTGGGCCCACACCGCAATGCGACCACACAGCCCGCCGTAACACACGGGTAAAATACAGCTCCATCACGGTACACACAACGCGGCAACACGGAACATGCACGTGTACGCGTAATCACGCGTTGCGGCATGCCGATAACATCGGCTGCCGGAACGGGCCGGCATTATTTTTTTTGACAAAAAAAACAACTTTCGTGTTCTCCTGAAAGTCCAAGCTTCCGAATAAACCCCCTTTCGTGGACTTCTTATGCATGTATTTTGAGGATTTTTGATTGGAAAACCGTTACTTGGTACCGTTTTGTAGCCTTCGGAAAACCATGGAGAAATGAAAACGAACAAATTGCATTCACCGATCGCTTGGCAGGCTGAGCAGGGTACCAGGTCATACATAATGTACGCACGCGTGCTGTGCAACCAACGATCGTCGCATCACTTGCCCAATTGCACATGAGGAGCTCACTGCGAATCAGCCGGAACGTGCGCAGCATTCTGGGACTATCTGCCTTGTTAAGCACGGAGGATATGCGTTCATTTTAGGATTGCGCAGTGTATCCATAAATGGGATCATTGTCACTTCGTCACTCAGTCGAAAATCTCGAGTCGACATGCACCCAGACTCGACCAGTAATATACACACGTACACGGACGTTGAAAAGGCTCCATACTAGCTAGAGAATTGCAGGTACATCGACTTCGTTTACGCATGGAGAAATTTCTCCATGGTTTACGGTACGAATGACGATCTCAAAGATCACTAACATTAGTCCGGAGAATTCGAAGGTGAAATACAAAGACACACACATAAAATGCACAGGTTTGATTATAATATTTTTTTATTCCTTTTTCGTACCCGTGAGGCGGCAACATTGGCCAAAAAAGGCCGAGGCGGCCTCAAAAAGTCCCGAGGCGGGCCACCTCACAAAAGAATGGGCAGGGGAAACACTGCCAGGAACGTCTACATTAACCCTAACCTTCTCATATACTTCAAACTTTTCTTTGCAAAATGGAGGATTTTGCAGGATTAAGGCTCTTATGCATGCAACTAGGAATTTAGAAAAAAACAAGGAAAATTCCAAACCACACAAGACTTTGTTTTCAATTTGTAATGGCATTCATGAGTAGTAAAAAACGTGGATATCAGCAGGTCCGAGGAAAAGTTGCATACCTGGGATTTATGGCAAAAAAAATGTGTGGCTGATTTAGGAGGATGCACTGTGTCAAGGTCTTTGGGCTGGACCTTGTGTTGTTTATGCTCAGCCGTGCATAAATTTAGGTCTAGATTATACTTGAAATCCTCCGCACTTCTCCAGGATGTCAATGGCTCTGCCTCAACATATTGACAGTGATTGCAGGAATATTTTGCAGGATTGAGGCAGTGGGTTACCCCTCCAAGGATCATATTCCAGAAATAACAGAGGATTTGCAGGATTGAGGCTGTATGCAAGTTTTACATGCAAACATTTGGAGGATTTTGTAGGATTGAGGTTTCATTCTAGCAAAAATGCCTAGGGAGTAAGGGTTAATTCATTTATACTCTGTAAAGACCACATGATAATGGAGCTTGAGCTTTTTTTCTTGGAACTTTTTGAATCCTTGGAAAGAAAGGGAACGAATGTTGCATCCTGACACCAATTTTTTGCACCATATATTATCTCAATGAAGTTCAGTCCAGACAGTCATCACAAAAATTAATCTGGGACTGAGAAACATTTGGAATTTTGTCAAAAAAATAGGCCTACTTCACGAATGCATGAACTCTCCACAGACTTTGTACACAACCAAAGACGTGACGTCAGCAGTCTGGATACGACATTCTTTCCGAATCCTTTTATTTCTATACTAGTTTAGAAGGTAAGGGTAAATGAGAATAACATTTGACAGAATCTCACCCAAAGACAAAATCCAACTCAAATTGACCGATTTAACTATCCAAAACTGGGGTATTATTAAGTAGAATGATGTACTAGTAGTAGGCCAATCCTGATGCAAGTTTGGTGGTTAGGCAAAAAAAAAAAATAGTTCTGCTTCCGGTTTCCCTACCTTCCCTATTCTAACAGCCCCTACCCTAATTTTTTTATTAGAAAAATGAGGGGAAAAAAACCAAAACCATCAATTTCTACCTTTTACCCTTGACTACTCGCAGACACCTCCATATGATTGTACACAAAAAAAATTGGCCCCCCCCCCAAAAAAAATCCCTACCTACCTACCCTATTTTCAAATGTCATGTAATCGGAAGCAGAACTAATTTTTTTTGGCCTTATGTACAACGACAAAGGCTGCAAGTACTTCTCTAAGCATTTTTTATAACAAAAATATCCAAGCAAGATTGGAAGAAAACATTAATCTACATGTACGTACATCATGCACAACAACTCGTGATCAAGAGACAACAAAAACAAACAATACCAATAAAAGGGAACCCAAAAGTTACAAACACTGCAAAATAGTTGCTCTTTAAAACTGCAAAATAGTTGCCCTTTGTTTGCAGATTTTTATTGCTTTCCATCCTTGAAGAACACTGGTCATCTATTTTTTGCAGAACACAGCTGAACCACTCTGCAATATTGCGCAACACATGCTGTTTTATTCCCTGTTTTGTTTACAATCATGACGATGAGGACGGATTTTTGTAGTTGGCAGAACTAGATTTGATAGGGCCTAGATGTCTGTGTTTGTGCATCTGCATTCGTTCCAAATTAACAGTGCACACTCCTGTTGTGAAAAATTTTCAACTCTCAAAACTGATTTGTTGTGCCGCAACTTATTTATGTGCAGAAACATATAACCAAAAGTTATGTCAAGGCGTTGAGTCCTGCATTGGGCCTGGGAAAAGAAAGAAATCTATTCAGACTTTAAGTCTTTTTACAATCATTTTGGAAAGAATGTTGCATCCCGACACAGTGACACCACTTTTTTTCATCTCATGGTCAGTCATTGCAAAATGTTGAAAAGACGTGAATCTGGGACTGAGAAACATTTCTAATGTTGCATGTTTTGTTAGAAAATACTTCGAAAATGCACTTAACACTTTGTACACAACCAAACAAGTGGCCTCTGGATATTGTACATAGTTATTTTACTACATTCCTTCCATAATTTTATTTGTACCGGGATGGTGGTTCTAGTAAAAAGACATCCCGCGAACGTTACGTATGCCCTGTGCGTAGGCCCTAGTTGGCAATGCATCATTGAAACAGCGCATTCATGATATCACGCGGTCCGGTACGTACGTCCACGTCTGCCAGCACAGTGCACTGCGCAATGACAAAACGTGTACATAATGTACACGTACACGGTACATTGTACAAGTACATGTAAATGAGCGAGTCCCGCTCAACCATCTCGGCGAGGCTGAAAGAACTTACTTTTCATCAGAGATATCGCGGCGAATTACAGCCCATCGGCGGGCTTGAACCCTCCATCCAGGTCGCCTGCACAACTACGGAGACACTTCTGCCATTTTGGCAGGCTATTTGGCGTTTACAATATAAAAACTGGAGATCAATCTACAGAATCGCTCACTTTCGTCGTTGGTGAAATGGCCTCGCGAATAATGGCGGCTTTCTCTTGCGCAGGTCTGTGCATAAATTATGTAAAATAGCCTCGCCCGTTATGTGTCACCATCGCTGATTGGCTGGTGGACCTCCGGGGTAACCCACTTGTGGCGGGAAATGGTGGAAATGTGAAAAGCAATATGCAGTTGCAGGTGTAATCTAGAGCATTTCTGTCTGCATTTGGTACCCATATTTTTGTTTGAGATGGGGACTGTAATATGATGCAGAGGTAAATGCCAGAAAGCTTGGTAAAATGTTCTTCCTAGTGTTTTCCACATTCAAAATGCAATGAACAAATTGTGAATGCACAAATAACCATCCAAGTATGCATGGCTTTCTTGATGAATCACATTTCAAAGTTATTGTTTAAATTATGTAAATATCATGGATATTATCCACGAGTACTATAATTGAAAGCTTCAATTACAAGCTGCAGACACAATTCAACTGCAAGGAAAATAAAATTTAAAAAAATCCTGATCCTGCTTAGTGATTCTTGTGAATTTTTTTAAAAAGTATCCAAAATGTACCCGCCTTCAATTGTCCAATGATACAAAATTTATCATTTTATCTTTCAAGCATTGATTTGTCCAATACTAGAGTTGGTCCTAAACAGTGTTTTGTTTCTAAAATTCTCAGATGCTCAACATCTGAAAATAAAGCTCCCCTTTTTTTGACCCACACAAACAGTGATTTTTATGTACTCTTTCAGTGAACTTTAATCACTTCTCTTCTGTCAACAATTCACAATTCTTTTTTCCAAGTTTATGCAACAGCATGTTTTTTTTGTGCACACTTAACTCTGCATCATTTGAATTTGCTCTCCCCAAGTCAGGTTGGTACGTGTAGCAGTATATATAGGCCTATTTCCTCACCTTCCACAGCTGTGACCCAGGTTGGAATCCCGCCCGGGCCAACGTGGATTGGGTTTTCAGTCCCTACCTGATTCCGTGGGTTTTCCCCTAGAATATTCTGATGTTTTCCTCCCACCTCTAAATAAAACTGTATTTCTTCTCATTGTCTTTTTTTTCTACAGGTTTCTTCTAGTGGGGCAGATAGGGGAAATATTTGGGGGATTGTTCATTTGATGATAAAAGCATGGAATATGGCACACAGTCAGATTATGTCCCGAGAACAATATTTGACTATAGGGCCATCACAGATTAGTCCTTTGAAAAAAATGTAGGTAGAATAACAAGCAAATTTCAAAATTTTCAAAATGGCTGCCATTACTTGTTGTTCTACCTGTATTTTTTTCAAAGGACAAATCTGCGATGGCCCTATATAGCCAAATATCTTTCTCAAGACATACAGTGTGTGCCAAATTCCATGATTTTATCATCAAATGAACAATCCCATCACCAATCTGCCATCATACTATATTCAGGCTTAATTGCAAGCTACAGTGCCCCAGTGGCACTTTTGAGGAATTCTTGGTTTCAATTATAAGTACATTATTAAATAAATATTAAATAGACTTCAAGGATGCTTTGCTGTATAAGATAATAGGTGATATATTGAGGCTCATCATATGCACGGTTCATTTGTCCCAAGAGGATATTTCACAATAATCTTTGCCATGGTGATATAGCATATTGCATACCTAATATCCGTGATTGAATGCAAATGATTTGTGGAAAAAAGTTTATAGCTCCATATGGTGCAACTTATGCAAATCAGTATCACATGTACTGTACCCCGGCCTGTAGGGCCACAACGTGTGGACTTAATGAGGCGTGTTGTCTCTGGCCTGTTGCTAAGCAACTGGGCAATTTGATCCGGATCATTTCATAAACCGTAAATCATGAAGAATGATTTCTTTACTTATGACATGATCAAAATAAACATATACTTATCACAGGGAAACAACACCCCCCCCCCTCCCACAGATTCTTGCCAAGAGCTCTATTCGGAATCGAGTCCCTCCCCCCCCCCCCCCCCCCCCCCGTCAAATTAATTTGTCTTGCAAATTTTACATATTGAAAAGAATGTTCCACAAATTCTCCAAAATAAATAGCACAGTGGATATGATGTGTGTCTTAATTCTCGAGTGGAAAATAAATTCTTATAAATAAAACCAAATTTTATATAAATTATATTTCATAAAATACAGCACAGCATGTATAAGTCTCCCCACAGAGAAAATTAATTAATGTGCTTATACATATATACAAATCCATATCAGGCTCATGTTTACCATGTGGTTTTGTTTTGACTAATTAACAAAACCTTCACACATAGATTAAAACGAGTAAAACACCAAAAAAACTCAACTGTTCCAAAACCTCTTTATCTTTTGAATAACTGGCACAGTAAAATGGCGGCAAACAACAGTATTCACAAACAAATTTCAAGTTTAATAAATAAGTTTTATTTCAAATCCCTGATCAATACACAAAACCTTCCATCGATTGAAAATGTGACTGCTCCAAAATGTAATGATCTTTTGAACAACTTGCATTGTAAAGTGGTGATGAAAAACAGTATAACAGTATTCATACAGATTTCATTCTTGTCTAAATTATGACAGGATATGAATTGTAATATTTCAAACAAACAACCATAAATCAGGCTGTGATTATATTTCCACTGACGAGTTCTCTTTAAAAGAGAATTTACTTCTAAGAATCAGTCTAAATACTGCCAGCATGTAAACACAATTTTGAAGCATCATTAGAAACAACATGGGAACTGGCTTCTTTTTTAAATACCGAACTACTCAACAATTTTTTTCGACAGGAAGTGCACACAGTGGTTCAGAAGAGCCTTTCACACTGTCTACAATCTCTGGGCAAGTTCGGGCAAGAACTATTGTTGACCATTGGTTTACCCTAGTTCGACTAAAGTTCGCCCGAACTCTGTCTAGTCGAAGATGGTTGACTACGCTAGTCGAATATTTGGAACCAACCTACAAGGGACTGGTTGCATCGCTGGTAACCAATAGCCGCGCGCATTCATAACGTACAGCAGGGAGCCAGGATCCAGAAGTTTTGCAATGACATTGACCAGCTTTTGACTAGAGACGTTCGCACGTTGCTATTAGTGCGCAGGCGTAAGGTACATCAGAAATCAACCACTAGTCAACTAATGGTCCTTGCCTGAACTTCGCATCTGTTGGACCCAGGTCCAACTTGGAGATTTCTTGAGCCCCTTTCGCACTGACAAGAACCCAACATGGCTTTTACATGGGTCATCAGGCACTCTACATGGTTAAAATCCAACCCTGATCGGGTACAGGATTGAGACAGTCTACGTGGGTGGAAAATCTCAAATCTACAGCCGATCTGTTTTACACTAGCAAGAATCGAACATGGCTTTCACACAGGTCAGCAGGCGCTCAACATGGGTGAAATCCAACCCTGATCGGGTACAGGATTGAGAGATTCTACCCGGGTGTAAATTCTCAAATCTACAGCTAACCCCTTTCACACTAGAAAGAGTCCAACATGGCTTGTACACAGGGCCCAATTTCATAGCACTGCTTAACAGTAAGCAGAAAAGTTGTGCTTACTATAGCAGAAAATCATGCTGCTGCTTAAGCACTATTTCATGTTAACGGTTGCGCGCGCATGGAGATTTCTATTGTTACGTCACTGATTTAAGCAAAGTTTTCTTCTGGGGTTAAACGTGCTTTTGCTGTGCTTACTGCTTAACGGTCCCTATGAAATAGATGGAGGCTCGGTAAGCACAATGTCGGCTGTTAAGCAGCGCTATGAAATTGGGCCCTGGTCAACAGGCTCTCTACACGGGTAAAACTTAACCCTGATTGGGTACAGGATTGATTTCTACCCAGATGGAAATTCTCAAATCTACAGCCGATCTGTTTCACACGAGCAAGCATCCAACATGGCTTGTACACAGGTCAACAGGCCCTCTACACGGGTAAAACCCAACCCTGATTGGTTACAGGATTGATTTCTACCCGGATGGAAATTCTCAAGTCTACAGCCGATCTGTTTCACACTGGCAAGAATCCAACATGGCTTTTACACCGGTCATCAGGCGCTCTACATGGGTGAAATCCAACCCCGTTTGGGTACAGGTTTGAGAGATTCTAACTAAGTGGAAAATATCAAATGCACAGCTGACTTGTTTCACACTAGCATCTTTTTCAGAAATATCTTTCATAGACAAAAAAGGATGATGCAAATACTTTTATTTTTGTAAATGTCAACAAAACGTCACAGCACCATATCCCATGCATGCACCATGCTACTGACCATTACATCAGCATATCCAGGTTTTGGGGGTGGGATGGGGCGTGTGTAGGGGAGGGGCAAAATAGATAATTTTTCAAGAAAAGTTGCCCCCACTGTTTTGTGATCATCAAATTTGTCGACAGACCATCTTGTGCTGGAAGGTAGCCTGGGATTTTGTGCTGGTTTTCTGGGTTTGTATTCTAAATGTGCTTTCCTCAAACACAGGAAAATTCAACAGCTGAAAAATTTGAAAATACAATAAATTTAAGGGTCTCAAAATAACTTTTCCTGCTTTTTCTGGGAACAGGTCAAAGGTTAGTTTGTACAATCGGATCCCATTGTTACTTGCGTTGCCGGTGTCTAAACAGGTGGTGGTTGTTATTTTAATTGATTGACAATGGATGCACAAAAGGTTTACTCATTCTTATCCAAGCTCAACAAAACTATTGCCCTCTGACCCCGCCTTAACGCATAAGGTCTATTTCTGAAAACTTTATCAAGAGACTTTAAGGCAACACACTGTTAAGCCCGGTTCATACTTCACGTGAAAGTGAAAGCGAAGCGAAATTCGTGACGTCAACAATACATTCGAAGCGCGTCCACCATTGTTGACGACATGAATTTCGTGTGAACCGGGCTTTACAAGATGTTTTCTCGTTGTTTTTGGAAAGAATGTAGTATCCAAACGCCACTTCAGTGGTTGTGTACAAAGTCTATGGAGTCAAGAATTTTTTCCCAACGAAATTGGAAATGTTTGTCAGTCCCAGATTCATGTCTTTTCAACATTTTTGCAATGACTGACCTTCATTGAGATGATATATGAAGGAGCAAGTGGCATCAGGTTGCAACATTCTTTCCTGTTTTTTTCATTGAAGAATTTTTTTTTCAGATAGGGGCAATTCCATAACTTCGGACTTGCATGTCTGACACTTTAATGAGCTGCTGTTGGAAAAGTGAATGTGATACATCACTAATAATGTGACATCTAATGAGTAGAAAACAATTACAGACCAGACTAAGGTACACCATCACCTTGAAGGGAATGTACAACATTTGCTTTTGCTGCAATTTTCAGAAATAAATGGATTTGGAGGATTGGAACGTTATGGCAAGTATTGTTAAACTGACTTATTTCACGTTTTGGCTTTGTAGATGCTGGAAAAAACAAGAAAACCATTATGTTCTTGTAGTATGGTTCCCTGACCCCACTCAAAATGAAACGCAGCAATTTGTAGACTTTGGGGAATTGTAAGGTCAGATAATCAGTCTGGCAGGCTTTTACCCCTTCACAGGTGTGGAACCAATTGCAAAGAAAATGTGGAATAACTAAATATGAAAAATTAGAAGCAGTTTCTGAAAAAAAGCTGGTTTTCTCCGACCAGCGTTGCAAAAATACAAGTTTTCTTGAATATGTCAGCACAACAAGAGCCAAAAGTTTACAGGATGCTTTGGACTGTCATTCCCTGACAATCCAGTAAGGTATTTCGTGATAATTTGATCTTCTTATTTTTTGATGTTTGCAAATGTTGTATCTTCCCTTTAACGACCTTGTACATGTACATCATGTGGTGAGACATACGTTGGATTTTTACGGAATTGCCCGTTAGCGTTTTGAAATTTTGAAATTAATCTGATAAATAAGACTAAAATGTGAATATTACAGATGATGGAGGGGAAAAAATCCCTATTTCTTCTTGATCCTTCGGATGAATCTTTTGGGGTCTTGCAGTGTCAAGATCTCAGGTAGGGTTGTGTAGTCAATCCAACCGTCGTTTTCAAGTTCCGCCGTTATTCTCCTTATGCTTAAAATGGAAAAAAAAAAGAACAAGAAACAATGTTACATTCACAGATCTGAAATTGAAAGATGAAGGCTTATCATTGTACATGTAGTGGGGCAGATAGGGGAAATACTTGGGGGATTTGTGCTTTTGATGATACAAATTTTCAAAATGACTGCCATTGCTTGTTATTCTACCTAAATTATTTCAAAGGACAAATCCGCGATGGCCCTATAGCCAAATATGTTTCTCATGACATACTCTGACTGTGTGACAAATGCCATGCTTGTATCATCAAAGGCACAATCCCATCACCTATCTGCCGACCTAATGTGTTTCAAAACCACAGTGTACTATGTTCCAATTATAAGTGAGTGTGACACCCCTTTCGGGACTCCTAAAATGGAGTACTTTTGTACAGGGCGAGTCAAAAAGAAAGTGACCCAAATTAATTATTGTTAAGCTCTGGCAGGAGCTTCTACATGTCACTTGGTGGTCGGTCGGTCTGTCTGTCTGTCCCAAGCCTTTCACCAAGGCCATTGTGGCTTAACTTGCCTGCATTAGACAAAGCGGCGAAAACGCGAAGCGACCGGAGATGGAGACCACACACGCGAGTTACAAAGCCACGAGGGCCTTTTCTAACTTGTCCAGAAATTCTTATGTTTTTCTTTATAATCTCGATTTTTGCTACCCCAAAAGGGTAGCAAAATTCCAACCAATCATCAGCCTTTTAGTGCGCGCGTGGCTACTACCCGGACGCGTCGACGCGCCCGGATGCTTGCACAAAATTTTAAAACACAAAATGCAAGTCTAGTTTTCCACGAGATCATGACCGCGTAATTGTTCTTACATTATCTTATTTTACTTATAAAAGTATTTCAAGAAATTATTTGAGTGTATATTATTCATCTGACTTTACAGTTATTTGTTCTAATGTTTTCCTTACTCACCCCTGTTTTAAAAATGGAAGCGACTAGGCAAAATCCGTGTTGTGATTGGTTAACCTTCAGCACCCTTCTTATTTGCATACAAAAATTTGAATAATTCAACAAAATCAAGTTGGGAAAGGCCTCGTGGCGTTGCCACTCGTGCGTGCTGACTTAATCTTTGCTCCAGTCGCTTTGGGTCTTCGCAACTCCGCCGCTCTAAGCCACGATGGCCTTAGCGAAAGGCTAGTCTGTCCCCAGAAAATTGACCGAAAGTATGTTGTTCCATATGTGCCATTGGCATCGCATTTTTCAGCTTTGCATTTTTCAGCTCTGGCCATGCAAGACTGTCATGTAAGACTTCATGCAACACGGCCAGAGCTTATTGTGCACTCCTATTTTTTTATTTTATTAAAAAGCAATCAAATCTGAAACACCAACGAAGTTTATCTTAAATCAGCATGTTCTTCCACTCATGTAAAAAATGGAATTGCTGAAATTGATCCATGCTATCAGAAGTTATGCACGTTTTACTAAAAGAATCCATTTTTATAGCTATCCACGGAATGCCATTGGAAGCTTTTGAGCCGAGTTAGAATGACAGATTACACACAAGCATTCAAATACAAATGAGATTTTAATCATTTAAATCAAGACTAAAACATCAGTTTTACGGTCAGATTTTGTGTTTTGAACATGAGTCATGTATTTTCTTCTGAAATATTATTATCTAAAAGTGGTGGGCAGCCGTTATAATCAGGCAAAATCCAAATTTACCAGAGTGAAACTGTGCATAAGCTTTCGAAGCTACAACTACTTTATCAGATACAATGAAGAGGGGCATCATTGGCTTAGACCAAATTTTGAGTACCTAATTTAAGACCTTTTGAGGAGTTAAGGAAAATATCCTCCAAAACAGAAACCAGAATTTGCTACAAATTTGGACCTATTATTTCATATTATCAGACAGGTTTTGGAATGCAAAAAAAATTAATATTTCCGGTTTTCTATACAACTTTAACCCCTGGCTGGCCTGATGTTTTGACCATGGCAGGGTCTTATACAAACGTCTTGCCAGGGTCGAAATGTAAGGGTCAAAATGTCAAGGAGTGACTGCATTTGAACCATGATTCCTTGCACACATACATGTACCACCTTGCAATAAATTCAATTAAACGGATGATAAAGACCGGCTGGCTGGTCTTTAAACACTTTTTCAGTGTCACATGAAATTTGGACTCATGTGAAATCCAGTGCCTTTTTAACCGTTTTATTGGTTGGTTGAACATTCACAATCCTCACGTAGGCATGCGCAATACTACCAGTGAGTCAGTATTTCATAGTCATACATTCACAACACACCACCACAGCTGCATTCTGCACAACATCGCGCACATAAAAGGAGTTGTTTACGACTTACTCGCCAGTTGGACACTCCATTATATAGCTAGAGGGGTGTTTCGAAAAACATGAAATGAAATTTTTTAATTTTTGACTTGTTTTGACTTTTGGACCGAATTTTATGAATGGGAATAGATATGTGTTTGGTCGGTATTAAACACTATGTTTAAGACCAGTTGGATTCTGGGTGCTGATAATCAGCATCCAGACTCCTACCGGTCTTAAACTGAATGTTTAAAACCTCATCAAATACCTATTTTGATGATTTTCAGCCTGTTGCTTCTTCTTGTTCGATCGCTTCTGGGGATGCCGATGGGTCTGGTGCGTTTCCTTCGCCTGTTTTGACAGTAGTTTAAAGAATCTGTCCTGCAGATACTGCCGATGCATTTGCTGCTGCATGCCGGGCACCAGAGGGTCTTCCCATTCCACAGGGAAGGAAGGCACTATTCTCTGGCAGCTTTCCCCTGTGGACATTAATCAGCAAGAAAAGGGAAAACAGGTTAGCACTTCTATCCTGTTGGTTAGTGACTTTGTCATACACACGCACACACCACTGATTACAACCACCCATTGGCTAATCACTCAAGTTCCGGTTCCAATGGTTCCAATGTACAGTGACCGTGGTTTAAACACTAACGAATATCACTAGGGATAGCGATGAGAAACTCCTGCGCTAACACCATATTTCACCGGTTAGCATGAACCTTTTGATTCTGGGCTTACAGGGTTTCTTGCAGAACTACTGTGCCAACACTGCAAACACAGAATGGTGATAGGCACAGAATTCTATGCTTAGAAGAGCAATGAAATTGTTAAGCGAAATTAACGTTAATAATCACTGTAATGAAAGAAGGCTGATGGAGGTGAGAGACCCTCAAACTCTACTTACTGTTGTCCTGGATTCTCGGGGAATGTTGTTCCTCTTGCACTGCATGAATTGCATCACTCCATGTTGCCAGCAATGTTGGTGTCTTCTTCCCATCTCCGTCTGTCTTAGAGTTCTTCAATTTGGCATCTCTGGAACAACGCTTTCTGGTAGCAGTATTTCTTGCAATTTTCTCAGCTGTTTTTTGCTTTCTGTATTTATTTTTTCGCCGGCTCAATCGATTTTTGAGATCCACCAGAAGCCCTTCTTCCTTTGCAGTTCTTGTCGTCATTGCTTCATCTTGTTTTTCAATGTTTGGCTCGGTCTGCTTGGTACGAGTCTTTTTGGTCAATTTCTTCCCTTTTGGGGCTCGTTTCTTTGAGTTTCTTAACTCTTGTTGGGTCAGTCCATTTTGAGGTTTTGTTTTGAATGCCGGCTGATTCTGCTCAGTTGCTTTGAATGACTGCTTGGATTTCTGACAGCTAGGGTCTTCTTTAAGTTCTTCACTAGGATTTTCCTCTGCATTATTTTCAACACTTGTGTTATCAATTTCAACAACATCCAGTGCACAACTGTCGACTACGCTGCCCTCATCTTCAAATATGAAACCCTGACGGCCAAGATCATTGCAATCAGCAGCAACTTCTTTATCCCCTAAGTCTGGATTCTCACGGAGGAACTCCTGACTGGCTGCCCTTGCACTGGCCACGTCCTGATCAGTCTCTTCGCTGCTTGAGAAGAGACGCTCCAGCATGATAGTTTCCTTTCTTCTCACCAATGGTCTGCGTGCACTTCGGGTGAACCTGATGAACCCAAAAGGCTGTGAAGCAGGCAAGGGTTTTGCTGCAGGTGAGACACTTGGCGATTGTCGTTGGGAAGGTCTACCATCTACAGAAGGCACATCAACCAAGTCGCTGACTGTCTGTTTCTTGGATTCTGATGATGAAACGCGAGTGTCTCTTTTTCTTCTGTGATGCTTCCTGTGTACAGTTTTGGCATGCAATGCTTGGACAGCACCAATCAAGGAAGACTTGAACGAATCTGAGGGGACGGTTAATCTTGTACAATCTGTGGATTCCACAGGAGGCGATTGTTGGGCAGTTTGATCCACGCAAGATTGAGCGGGTGATGTGAGTTTCTTGGCTACATCACTGGATGAATGACTAAGTGCTGAACTTGTATCTGACTCTGAGAAAGATCCCCCACTATTTTGCCTTCTCCTGTTATGACTTCTGCGAAGAAGCTTGGTGCTTCTTGCAATATATCCTCCTTGGTTAATACTCATGACAAGTGGAGATCGAAGTGACTGGGGGGCAACAGCTGTTTTGTCTTCACAATCTGAGCAGAATGACTCTGCTGCATTTCTTTGGTGTACTTGAGATTCATGATGACTTCTGTCGTGGTTACTCTTTGATGTGACGATGGTAAGGTCGTCTGTTTCTCTTGTGGGTTTGTTCTTGATCAGGATTGGGCTTTCCAAATCATCAGGATTCGTGAAAGTGGATGTTGCGGCATGCTGATCGGCATCTGGAGTTACTTGCTGACTGCAATCCGTGGAGCTATTTAATCCCTGATGTGTGCTTGGATCTTTACCATTCTTGAGACGTTTCCTTTTGGGCCTGTTGTTGCATCTTTGTTGCTTCTCCTCAAACGCAGCAATACGTGCTTTTACTCCGTGAAACCCTGGTGGGTTGAATGTATGGTTTTGTTCAGGAGTTGGTTGTTGATCAACACAAGGCATCGGATCCTGAGAATTAGGTTCTGAAATTCTGGTCGCTTCACGCTTACTTGCTGACACATTACAGTCTACTTGTGCTGTACTATCGTCTTGGTCAGAGCTGTGCTGCCTTGTGCTTTTGCGTGAAAATCGTCTCTCACGGATGCGCTTTTGTCGTTTTGCACTGAAATCGGCAATGCGCTCCTGTACACTGCAATACCTTGCCGGTGTAGGCGTGACATGTGGCTTCAACGAGTCAACACAATGTGTTGAACACTCCACATCGGATACTGCAGTTGAGGTAGTTAAATTTTTGCTCGGAAAACGATGTCTGAAACTGGTTTCTTGTTCCTGTGTTTCTGCGCAATTAACTACGATTCTTGAACTCTTACAGGAAGTCCTCTTCGCATGGATGCGCTGCATTCGCTTTGCCTCAAACCTAGCTATCAGCGCACCGGCTCTCGGGAAGCCTGTTGACTTTGCTGCTTGTTGTGGATCGAAGCTTCTTGGTGTCTTAAGTTGTGAGATTGCTTGTTGTCTTCGTAACGACTCTCTCAAACTACGTTTCCCCCCCTTCGTTTTGGTGTTATGATTTTCTGAGCCCTCCAGGGTTTTCTGTCGCTTAGGCTGAAAGGTGTTCTGTTCTGTCGCTGCCATCTTGAGCGTTCCTGAGTTAGTAGATTGATGGGGATCCACAGCGGTTCTTTGTGAATCAGCTCCATCTACAGGAACAGTCTCACCTTGCTCTACTACTGGTTCCTCATTTCCTTTCTCAGGGTCGCTACTGAATTTACCTGAGAATGCACTTTCATTTTCTTCTCCATCACTATCCACTAATTTATCTGATTTACTCGACTCATTTTCAGCTGCATGTTTTCTTCTTTTACGCCTTCTCTTCCTTTTCTTGCATAGTTGTGTTCCCTGAGTATTGTCTATTCTTACAACATCTCCATTTGCACTGACTGATTGTGGACCCCTGAATGGAACTGGCTTGTCTGTCATGGTCTTCCGATTTTTGCGTGGCCGCTTTTTTGGGCGCACATCCGACTTGGGAGCTTCGGACATTCGCAGTGGTGATATGCAACGCAGCAGGTTGGCCCCCTCTTTCTCCACATCCTCCCAAAAGTCTGATTCCAGGTTCCGTGCGCAGGTTCCATTCCTGGAAACTGTTTGTCTTCGAGGCATCGTTACGGAGGCTGATTCTTCATCAACGTTCTGCTTACAAGGATGCTCTCTGACATCAGTTGGTTGATGTTCGAGTTTACCACTGTTGGACAAATACTCCAAGTATGCATCAAGGAAAGAAAAACACTTCTCCGGCGTTTGCTCCAACTTTCTTCCTTCTGGCATTTCTGAGAAAAACCTGATAGCTTTTGACAGGATTCCTCCTCTGTCGTTTCACTTGGCTTGTTCAGCTTTGGTTCCATATCTTGTTTTTAAGCTCATGCTTCGATCTAGTGGGTCCAGGCAAATCAGTCTGTTCAGGCGCTAAAAGGAAGATAATAAATACCATCAATTACATTGTGCATTTTAATACTCCCTGTCTTTTTTTGCCAGAAATCCTAAATCCTAATAACTACCAGAACATGCAGGGTGAAGATCTGAAGGGCGCTTTTTCAAAAGTGAGTACCGGAGCACCAGCAGCTTAAAATCGGTATACCGAACGATCGCTATTACGAACAATTTCTGTGGATCCCTCTTCGACCCTAGATGTTCGTTATAGCGGCATTCCACTGTAGTCCAATGTTTTACCAACCAGGCTACCAAAGCACTCTGGCTGGAAGGGCAGTTATAAATGTCCAAGCGGTATGGACGTCATCGCGTGACACAATACAAATGACCAAACAAAAACATCAGATTTCACCCTCAAAACGGCCACAAAATTACTAGATACTTCTTCTTCCAGTGAGTACATCCCTCCATAGTGGAGTATAGTCGTACTTGGGTGCAAAGGGTGCTCGGTCACGGGAACAAATATCAACGAAAAGTGCAGAGGTAGTGGTACAAGTACAGAACAACGATTAAGATCAAGGTACTAAGGCTTTTAGGATCTGGATGACAAGTGAAATTCCCCGTTTATCGGCGATGGCTCTGTTGCGAATAGCCGCATGGTACTTGCGACGGAGCCCTCGCCGGTAAACGGTAAATTTCACTTTTCATCCAGATCGAAATTTTATCACCATCTTAAACCTCGAACTTTCTTTGTATTTCAGGCTGTGTAATTAGTATTTTTGTGGCATTTTGAGGGGGAAATCTGGTATTTCTGTTGGATTGTTTCTATTTTGTCACGTGATGGTGGCCATGCTGTTTGGACCCTACTAATCGCCAGACCACGTCACAATTTTTAAAAAGGCGATAAGTAGGGTCCAAGTTACTCGGACTTCTGATTCTGTGGGTTTTCCCAAGAATATCATTCTGGGATTTTCCTCCCACCACTGAAACTGGAATTTCTCTGCCACATCTTTCTACCAAGGAACCCCACTGACACTGGAAATAAGTCGAGAGACTTTCTTGGGGTATCCTGGCCAATTGCCGAATATTTACATAAAAACAAACAAACAAACAAACAAACAAACAAACAAACGAACGTAGTCTTGTAAATATAGTCAAAGATCCTGACATTGAAAATTGCCAGGTCAGGGAACCAGACGTTCAACTGCCATAATGATAGCCAACGTGTAGGCAAATGGCAGGTACGTACAGTCAGTGTGAAAGTTCTGGATCACTTTTATACCAACTGCTGTACACCATTTCATAGTAAAATTTCTCCTCTTCCAAGTTAAAACCAAATATGTTCACAAAGACTCAACTTAAAGGGAAATAAATCATGGCTTTTGTACAGGACTGAACCTGACAGTTAGGAATCACTTTTGACAGTTCTGGATCACGCACGCTAGAACTATGATCAGGAATAGTCAGAATCTTTTGGTCTGGGAACCGGACTACCACTGGGCCTGCGGCGTGCGTCCTGCACGCGTGATTGACAGGTGAACGATCTGCGCGAGGGCATTGTTCAGTTGGACCATGGAGATAGCTCCATGGTTGGACCAAGTTGCCAAGAAGGATCCAGAAAATGTCGTAAATTACGCAGCAGCTGGGCAACTGACACTGGCAGCAGGTTCTAATTTTGTTATTAAGAGGGTGAGTGTATTTTTAAAGCATAAATGAACTTAGCCCCACTAGTGTGGCCGTCGGTATGCTGCGCTGAACCTTTGGCCACACACCGTGGTACCGCGCGCTACTGAGGACGAAGTTTTCATAAAAATTCAGGGCAGTTTCTTACATTCTCAGTTTCTTACTTTCTTATGGTTGTATTCTATGTCTCACCTGTCACTTCTGGGATGCTTAGGTCTAATGATGTTCCATTTTCCGAGATATTCTTCAATCTTTCTGGAGCCCATATGCACTCGTGAAACGTCTGGTGGTGGCAGCCATTTTGAATGTGACAAGAGATGACCTCAAGCTGTGACGTCGCGTTTATGCAAATTGCTTGTCGAGCGCGCGAGGGCGCGAGTTGCAAATGCGACGGCTGTTTTCTGTGCCGTAGATCCTGAATAGAGATCGGTGCACGTGGCCCCCTGACGATAAATGCATGGTACAGGAAACAGCCGTCGCATTTGCAACTCGCGCCCTCGCGCGCTCGACAAGCAATTTGCATACACGCGACGTCACAGCTTGAGGTCATCTCTTGTCCCATTCAAAATGGCTGCCATCACCAGACGTTTCACGAGTGCATATGGACTCCAGAAAGATTGAAGAATATCTCGGAAAATGGAACATCATTAGACCTAAGCATCCCAGAAGTGACAGGTGAGACATCATAGAATACAACCATAAGAAAGTAAGAAACTGAGAATGTAAGAAACTGCCCTGAATTTTTATGAAAACTTCGTCCTCAGTAGCGCGCGGTACCACGGTGTGTGGCCAAAGGTTCAGCGCAGCATACCGACGGCCACACTAGTGGGGCTAAAATGAACTGGGTTTGAAGTCGCAATGTGGAAATCACTTTCAAAAATTCGGCGAGTCAGATTCCAAGATGGTGGACGTGTGGCCTATGTTTACGGAGGCAGTCCAGTAAACGGAGCAACTATAGAATGCAGGGCCACGCCGAAGCAAGGTTTTTTATTTTGCCTGGAGGCGTGGATGGAATAGGAGTAATAGATATGCAAACCTGCAAAAAAGTGCTAAGTACAGCGAAGGAATGCACTGCACTTGTCTTCAAAGCTTCTCATGAAGGATCGGAAGGGAGGGCGTGCTTGTAAATGTGTTGGAGGCACTGTCTGGAGTGGCGGAGGCGCGGAGTCTTGGAGTCGCAGAATCGCGGAGACGCGGGGCACTGGAGTGGCGGAGGCGCGGAGTCGCAGAGACGCGTACCGATAGAGGGCGCAATTCTCGGCGGAATCTTTTTGAGAACGAAGCATCCATATCCATTTTAAATGGGCGGGCCAATTAGGAAGGGGGGGGGAGGGCGACGGGGCACTGTCTGGAGTCGCGGAGGCGCGGAGTCGGGGAGTCGCAGAGTCACTTTAATTGGGCGGGCCAATTAGGAAGGGGGGGGGGAGGGCGACGGGGCACTGTCTGGAGTCGCGGAGGCGCGGAGTCGGGGAGTCGCAGAGTCACTTTAATTGGGCGGGCCAATTAGGAAGGGGGGGAGGGCGACGGGGCACTGTCTGGAGTCGCGGAGGCGCGGAGTCGGGGAGTCGCAGAGTCACTTTAATTGGGCGGGCCAATTAGGAAGGGGGGAGGGCGACGGGGCACTGTCTGGAGTCGCGGAGGCGCGGAGTCGGGGAGTCGCAGAGTCACTTTAATTGGGCGGGCCAATTAGGAAGGGGGGGGGGGGAGGGCGACGGGGCACTGTCTGGAGTCGCGGAGGCGCGGAGTCGGGGAGTCGCAGAGTCACTTTAATTGGGCGGGCCAATTAGGAAGGGGGGGGAGGGCGACGGGGCACTGTCTGGAGTCGCGGAGGCGCGGAGTCGGGGAGTCGCAGAGTCACTTTAATTTGGCGGGCCAATTAGGAAGGGGGGGAGGGCGACGGGGCACTGTCTGGAGTCGCGGAGGCGCGGAGTCGCAGAGTCGCTTTAATTGGGCGCGCAAATTAGGAAGGGGGGGGGAGGGCGACGGGGCACTGTCTCTCAGTGGTGGAGGCGCGGAGTCGCAGAGACGCGCACCGATAGAGGGCGCAATTTTCTGCGGCTCCACGACTCCACGATGATTTTCAGAGGTAGGTCGACTGCGGTTCCACGCCTCCACGCAGCCGTACGGAGGCGCGGATGTAGAGTAAAGTGGCCCTGCATTCTATAGTTGTACCCAGTAAACTGGCCACATTATGGGGCTACATCAGACCGTACAAAATGTGTGTGACAATATTTACCATGTAACGTCATGCATACGCACACATCATGACATGACATCTGAAACCGTCCGTTCGTGTTGCTACCACTGGCTTCTGTTTCACAACTGTCACATTGCTAGTGCTACACTTGTCTTCCTAATTTGACGGTGAACAATTATGGCAACGTGACTCATTGACTTAGGTGAAGACACACTTGGAAACCAGATTAGTTTCGTGTCTAGTAAGTATCGACTAGCGCTAGCGACTAGCGCGTGAAAATCAAAAATTGTCATGTGGATGGCAACAGACTGGTCTCGGCCATGCTGTCATATTTGTAGAATGCATTGTGACGTCTGGGATCTGCTCCACTGAACACATTTCAAAACATCACCGACGATTTTTCTTACGGGCATTTTCATTGGTCCGAAAAGTGACACTCGTCTATCTTACAGTTTAATACGCCGCGAAAAAGAGATGGCATTTTAGTTTGTACAAACAAAATTTGACATTTCTCAGAAAAGGTGACCATTTTTTACTTGAAACTGTGCGATAAATGCTGCAACTGTTGGAAATATGAACGTGCGTGCGTATAAGGTATATGAACAATGAGCCAGTTCTGAAGCACTTGAAAATATGTTGAATTTTGAGTCAAAATTGACAGTTATCGATTCGAGAAGTTAAAATGGACAGCTAAAAGTGCGTGGAACCATGTCGTAGCCGCAGGATGGGGGGGGGGGGGGGGGGGGGGGGGGGGGGGGGGGTCTTCTGACGCTAGAGGCGCTGGGGGGGGGGGGGCAATTTGGGGGGGGGGGGGGTTGCGGCACATGCCCCCAAGGCCCCCCCCCCCCCCCCCCCCCCCCCCCCCCATCCCGCCGGCTACGCCAATGTACGGTCCTGCGGAACCCTTTTTTAACGTTATAAATCATGTTTGACCAACTTGCTCGAGGTTGCTTGAAAATATCAATTTTATTACACATTTCGCTCATTTCCCTCACGTTAATGTTCGTTTAAAAAAGGGGGGGGGGGGGGGTCGGGAGAGAATGTCACAATTTTAAGTGGGCAGGCAGGCTCAATCAAAACTTTAAAAAAAAAATTCAGCCATCACATGCACAAACGGTGTACTCATGTCCCAGCGATAAACCATTTCCCTCTAGATCCGCCTTATTAACGTATAAGGTCTATGATATTCGAGCAAGCTTCGCTTGAGCCACTTTTTTTTTCGATCCCCCAAATAATCAGTCGAACAAAAAGGGAGAGGAAGTTTAAGAGAAGAACAAAATGAAACTATTCATAAGATGGAATTTGCGTCAGGTTGATACTTACAGATCTAAATCAATATTGGTTTTGCCCTCCCCCGACGTGTATAAACACGGTATATAACAGTGTTTATACACGTCGTTACCTCCCGAGTGAAAGTTGGAAAACAAATCACTCCGGGGTGAGACTTGAACTTCACCAGGGAGGTAACACACTGAGTATACCGTGTTTATACGTCGGTGAAGGGCAAAACCTAATATTGATAAACATGTAAATCTTTTGGGATTTATCATTCAATCTTGGGAATCCACTCCAGCAAGCTTATACAAGGAAGGTTGATCACTGTCATGGCCAAGGACGCACGCGCGGTCGGTCAATTTGTTTTGGTCATTCAATGACAAAAGGTTTGGTCACGTTTTAAGAAGAAGAGGATGAAAGAAGAAGTGAGATAGATACGATTTCAAAGGTTGAATAGGAGGTTAATTGGTTTCGGGGGAAGGGGTAGATGGGTGTGCCCCCCCCCCCCTTTCCAAGGAGTCTATGAATTGGTTTGTTTAAATAATTAAACCAGGAGAGTGACGTCGACTTTTTTTTTTAACCGATGTTGTATATTGTCTACTCTTCCCTCACGGATGAGTGAAATAATTAATAAACAGATAAAACACAATTAAAGAAAGTTAACTTTTGGGAACTACGTAAAATTCCTGGGACTCGAACCCGCAACTTGCAGAGTGATGCCACGCTTGCTACCGTGGAATCTAAACTGGGTGTATAAGTTATTTCAAATAACGTGCCAATTATTCAATCACCAGATTGTATACTAATGTCCGAAAATTGTAGGATTTTTGTCTTCGCCCCCACTCGTCGGATGAAACTTCAAACAATAGATGTGAATTGGCATGGCTTAGACAGTTACATCGAAGCCCGAAAGCTATACGTTTTGCATTTTGCTTTTCATAATAGGGTTCATAGTTCTGAGACCCCGATTCTCGGAATTTTAAGACATGTATATAAGCTCGTTAAGTCAATGTCAGAATAGCCTCTATGTATTTTGAACGATCCTTTGTGTGGAGTTAGCCTGTATAGAATTATTAACAAAAAACATGGTATATGAGCAATATTAAATACAGTGCTGAAAGAGCTCGTCAGTGCATAACACCAAACTAATGACTGATTAGACTGTGCTTGAAAACAAACCATAATATTGAACAATGATTATATTCGGTCAGATTGTGTTCGCTCCGATATTTGTAGCTGTAAACTTAGTTAATATTATGCCACTTCTACCGGTTTCAAAGACATTGACCTTTTGTAATTAGACCACGAGTGTGCACGGTTTCTACTTCGTGGGTTCAGATTAAGTTTAGCTAGCGACCACCGTTTCAGTCTGAAAGGAGCAACCAGCCGTTTGAACAGTGGTGGTGAGAGTCTTGTCATTACCGGCAGTTGCTCCGCGACCCGCAGCTACGGTAATGCGGGTACCTGTGTCATTACTTGTACCGTCCTCCGCAATGCCGACCCGGCGGGCAAGCCAGCGGTTCCCGCAAAACTCCTGCTTGAGTTTCTTACGAAAACGATCGTAAGCGAAACAGTAAATGAGAGGGTTGATGCACAGGTTGAGGACGACAATGACCGAGAACACTTGGTAGACCGGGTGCTCCACGAAGTTGTTGTGCACGTGGAGATTGTATAGAAGGTAGTAAATGTCAGTTGGAAGCCAACAGATGGCGAAGAAGGCAGCGACGACCACCAGGGTGATGGTCACGTTGCGATTGGCTTTGGAGAACATCTCCCGGGCAGCGTCGTTGTTCTCTCCCTCTCGGACCCTAGAGCGTCGACGGAGGGACCAGATGATCCGGGAGTAAGCAAAGAACATGACTGTGATAGGGACGATGATCTCGTGAACGAAGATGAGGGTGCCGGCCACGGCCTGCACCTCAAAGTTTGGCCAGGAGGCGCCGCAGTCGCGCACCTCGGCGTCGTAGTAGCAGATCAAAGTGAGGTGGGCAGCCGGGAGCCAGCCCGCGAGCCAGGCGGCGGCCATGACGAGTTTCAGACGGAACGGGGAGAAAGCGTTGCGATGCTTAATGGGATGGCAGGTAGCCACGTAACGCTCCGTAGATATGGCCACCAGATTGTAGGTAGAAGTGACGAACATACCGTACATTGGCCACTCGGACCACCAGACACGGCAGTAAAAGCCCCCAATGAAACCGTCAGCGATTGGGGGTACCGCGAGCGCAAACCTACGGACAAAAAAGATTGTGGAAGCCACGAGGTCAACAAAGGACTGGTGGATGATCAGCTTGTTGGTCGGTGAGTAGAACACCTTCCTGTGGCGCAACATGACAAAGCAAACCAGAGCGTTGCCGAGCATGCCCATGGAGCTCAGGATGACAGAGAAGAGCAACCCGAAGTCAACTTTGCCACCGAGAGCTGTTGCAGTGCTCGATACGGTAAAACTCTGCAGCAACGGCTGGCCTGACGTGACAGAGTCAGTCACATAGATCGTCGGTTGATTTGCCATAACTAACTGCAACTCAATTGAAGAAAGAGGTTAAGTGAAGAATTTGCTTCGGTGGCCCTTTGCTCAGTGTTCGTCTGAACGCAAGTTCAGGTACATCGAATATGAAAGTGATACAATCGCTTCAAGTGTGACGCTTGACTTTTTGGTAACTTTCTGGCAATGACAATGTGTTGTCCATAAATTGTTTTCTTCACAAGATAAAGAACGTTTGTATTTTTGTTTATTTACTGTACCCGAGGCCGATTGTCCTCTAAATGTGAGTCTCTGACTTACTGACTGACTGACATGGGCCGACTGACCGACTGAGTCACTCGGGATAAACTGAGACTTTCAGATCCATCTCTATTAAGCAAACCTCGTCTTTGTTTGCCTTACGGAATGAACCATGCACGCTTTCCTTATTAAAGGCCTGTGAAATCTTTCTTGACGTGTTCAAGCTTCTAGTGAAAGCTCCACACAGTGAAATCTTTGGTATAGCCACTGGAAAACCGACTGCGGGATGCTGACTGTAATCGAGGCCAGAGCTGATGCCCTTGTCTGCTAGAGTTGTCAGACAATTTTAGCGAGCAGCGAGACTTCCGGGGTAACAAAGGTCGCAGAACAGAGAACTTTAGAGTCTAATGACGAAGTTCAACATATACAGGCCGAACTTGTTTATCTCAAACTCGGTTTAAAATTTGACCGTTTGTTCACTCAATTACTCTCATCTGACCCTCGAAAGAAGGGGCACGTAGCAGTAGCTCCTAAACACAATTACACGTCCTCTGCTACCGTCACGCGATCTCCGTGCGATGGACCGAAAGATAGGATTTGGTGACCGTGGCAACAGTAATCCTCGGCAAAGACTCCTTGAAATTAAAGAGGAGAAAACACAATGTTAAGTTAAATTTTTAAGTGCAGGTGTTTTCCAGATATTGCATTCGTGATGGGATTATTTTTTTTGTTTGCAAGTGTTCACCTTCAATCCGAGATAGCCATCAATTACGTTAGATCTTCAGGATTTCAAGGATCACTTTTCCCCATTATCTACCCACGCTCAGTTCCTTAATACAAGTCCATCGCAATTAGGCAAGCTAGGCACGAAACATCTGTGGTTATGTCTCTAAGGAATAACGAAAGTTACTCTTCATTGGGGTCATCAATAAGGCAACGTCTCGCATGGGCAACACCCACATTTAAGATCCGTGTGTGGTCCGGACCATTATGCAGGTATACATGTATGTATGTGGTCATTTTTTTAAGACTGGAACTTGTTTCTTCGACGTTTTGGCCGAGAGTTAATATCGTCACATTTTTACCCTACGGGTCACAAACCTTTGGCCTGTGCAGGGTGTATCAAAAACGTAATCCAAAAATAATGGATTTGTATGTGAAAGTTATGAACTTGAACACTGTCAAAGTGGTTTCATCTTAAAGGATGAATCATTAGCTGGCCATTGATACTTTATTTGCATCTCTGCATTCACGGATGACAGAGTACCATTAATTTCAAAGCGAAGGCCAGAAACTCGTTTTCCAAGTGAGTTAAGCTGTCCCAAGATTCGCTGTCGCTTTGGACATTGCGTTGAAACGGGAGTTATTAGGGAGGTTTCGCAAGCGAACGGATACGCTTACACTTACGCTTAGCTATCCGTATCCGTTTTTTACTTACGTGTAGCGAGCGAGATATGCGTGTCGTCTGCACGTTTAGCGGATAGTGAGTGGCGTATGACGTCATACGTGGAGACCACATGCATATCTCGCTCGCTACACGTAAGTAAAAAACGGATACGGATAGCTAAACGTAAGTGTAAGCGTATGCGTTCGCTTGCGAAACCTCCCTATTGTGGATGTGTTAGTGCACACAATGTTAGGCCTGCATCATTATAATGTTGTTCCCCGAGTGTACATTAATCATTCCAAATTTATTTTCATCATCTCAAATGATCTAGTATTCCAAGTCACAATGCTTGGAAACATAACTTCTTGTGGGCATTGCCGAAACCTTGCGACGAAGTTCGGCTGATGCCCAGGCTATGCTTGAGTACATTTTGGCATCGGGTATAGTTATCATTTTAACGAATAAAGAAAAATATTTAATGTGATTTAGTTAATCATTAAACATGATATTTATACTCGAACATCTTCAACATATAATCCTCCTCATTCAACACATTGCTCCTACATATTTTGACCAATCATCCACCAATATTTTGACCAATCATCCACCAAACTTTGTCGAAAGTATCAGCAGCCAAGCCCCAACATGTCACATGACCAAACTGGGGTCAAAGGTCATCATGGGGTCACTAGGGTCAAAACCTGATTTTTCAGTTTTAAAACTCAAAACACTACTCCTTCCAGAAATTACATGGCACAATCACGTGACTCATGCATGAACACGAATTCGTTGTGTTCCATACTTTGTTGTCTACAACGCCTCAACTATACCCAAACCTTGCAAAACAGAAAAAAATAATGGATTTGCCACTCGGATAAGTAACCTGGCTGTCCGGAATCACGGGGCTTCTTTGCAAACCCCGTTCTCTACTGACCCGCGAACAGTGTTCTCGGGTTGCCCATCACGAACGCTCAAGTGCATGTGGATTGCGTGGAGCTGGCCGCGCAACTAAAAAGATGACATCCGCCATATTTAAACGCCGAATAAAAACAGAAAGGGAAAACTAGTGATCTTATGAAAATAATTCAAATACCGGAACAGCTTTGTTGTTTTCACGTACAATAAAAAAAAGGTCGCCTTACTACTCCTGCACTGAACGAGTGTTTTCAATTATATTATGCACAAAAAAATTAACGCAAGTTGCGGGAAGTCCGCCATCATTGTTCTTGACGTTCTTCATCTACTCCCCAATAAGTGGGGAGTGAAAATCCTGCTCGGGAACACCGTTCGCGAGTTGGTTGTCGTAAAATTGGAGCTCGAACCCGCAACCTGCAGCATTGTGGCCACCGACCTAGCGCAGCTTTTCGCACGCTTTTCGCCATGTATTCTAAATTATAACACCTCGCCCACAGATTCTGTATCTTGATTGGCCTAGAGCGAGGCACATGGCATTCGCTATTTTTTGCTATCTTGATGTGCACGGCAAAAGTACTATACCCATAGCAACCAAAGTACTATCCCCTTAGGAATGTCGGACACTTCGCCCCATTTCCACGTCGCCCCATGTCACTTCGCCCCTAACCACTTCGCCCAATCCCCACTTCGCCCTATTCCCACATCGCCCCATCCCCACTTCGCCCCATTTCCACTTCGCCCCATTCCCACTTCGCCCCATCCCCACTTCGCCCCATCCCCACTTCGCCCCAGCCGTTACATGTAAAAAAAAATCTCATCTATTTTTTTGGCTTAAAAAACAATTTCAACAGATTCACTAATTGCTAACCAACGGAAAGAATTAGCCCATCACCAAATGAACAATTCATAACCAACCTTTCAAGCTAGGCTCTCCCCTACCAAGAAAAAAGCTTGAAGTAAAAGATCCAACTTTGTTCCCAACCCGGCTATACCAACCCGTCTCCCACTTATCTGAGAACGACAATACCTTTGACATCCTAATTTCACTCTTGGAGGAACCAATCTCATCTAAATGAAGTTGTAAGTGTCACATATCAGACAAATTTTGACGGAACATTTTCCTCAAGGCAGTGAGTTCCTTTTAACTCACTGACCCATACCTACGGATTCTTTTGAATCCAGCCGCTTCCAGCGGCTGATGATTCACAAGCCAATAGGAGAGGCGTCTCTGAATGGGATAGAGCCATCATTTCTCTCATCTGTGTCTCGAGCACCTCATCAGAGAGTTTGTATTTTTCCTAAGTTTCTAGAATTGGGAGCATTTATTATCTGGGGTCTTTGGCAGTTTATTTGGTCTGCACCCCTAGCCTTCACCTTTTTCATACTACATGGGGCGAAGTGGGGATGGGGCGAAGTGGGGATGGGGCGAAGCGGGGATGGGGCGAAGTGGGGATGGGGCGAAGCGGAGATGGGGCGATGTGGGGATGGGGCGAAGTGGGGATGGGGCGAAGTGGTTAGGGGCGAAGTGACATGGGGCGACGTGGAAATGGGGCGAAGCGTCCGACACCCCCCCTTAGCAACCAGAGTGCTATGCACATCGACCGGTATTGTGTGCAAATGCATACGGTTTTGCGTGTATTGTTCCCAAAATGCTAGCGCTACAGAGCAGGGTTCAAACATTTCGTGAAGGGGCAGTGTTTAAAAGTGCAATTAAATTTTCAAGTAATTTCATATTCAAATTGATATACACTTTTGTTGTATTTAGATTAAATTACTTTTGTTGTATTTAGATTAAATTGACTGCTTTATATCGTAGTGTAGTAAAACTAGCCTCCCTGGGTGATCCATGGAGCATTCTATTTTCCCTCGGCTTCGCCTCGGGACAATAGAATGTCCATGGATCACCTCGGAAGGCTAGTTTTACTATATAAAACCACCACTCAGTGAAGCAGTCAATATTTGTAAACTATATGATGTAATTTCAAATCACATGATTATTCAATCACGTGATATGTTACTAATTTTACAAGCAAAGTAGCATGTAGAAGAGACATTTTCCGACCGCCGCGTCGCGCCATGTGCGTCCTATAGCACTCCAGCACAGGAATGGTTGTTCTTAACTTCCTCGACCCCAATAAACGTGTACTTTGTCTCTCATTAGACATGAAACCCAGCAGATTGTTATAACACAATTACACAGCGCCGTGGATATCGGTGGCGACAACGGACAAAAACGAGAGTCTAACGACTTGTAATCACGTCTATAGCTCTTTATAGACTACACATTTCGCTCGTTTGCAATTTGATGTTTGCGCTATGGCGTCAGGTAGTACTTTCAAATTCGTAATGCAATGAAGACGTCGTCCATAGCAACCTGGGCTATTCGACGACATGCCTTACATACAGCGTGCTGAAGTCTAGACTGGATGTAAGTACGGTAGAGGCACGAACATTGAATCTTAGACTGTTGGTCTGGTACCAACAATAGCAATTTTTCTATAAAGCTGGAGGAAGTAATTCACCGCACCGCATTGTGTATTAGTAAATTCAATTTATTTCAATTCGCATTCCCGCAGAAAGGTTTTTATTATTGGACTGAAAGTTTGGCATTCATTTTGTTTAAAGAGAAAAGGAATAGAAAATGGCATTAATTTAGTTTTCTTTTCGTTTTTTTCTTTCGTCCCCCCCATTATTTTGGCGTGGGGGGGGGGGGGGGGGTGTAGTGCAGTGGGTCAATCAGGGTTCGACCTTAACTTTTTTGTTCACTAGCCGCAGCCGGTCTACTCTTAACTAGCCCGCGGGCATTTTCACTAGCCCGCATTTTTTTCTTATCTCAAATACAAAATGGCGTATTTTCAGGCTCAATTCTGAGGCAATTTTGTCAATGTTTTTGATTAACAGATCTAATAATTTAACCCTTTCAAACAGTTGATAAAATTAGACACGAATTGATGGGGTTTTCTTTCAGAATTTGATGATTTATTCTTCCTGTACCTTCATCTTTGCCGTATCCCAATAATGTTTCACTCGCCAGCCGGGCTAGTTAAGTAAAAGTTTGACTAGCCCGCCGCTGTTTTGACTAGCATTTGGCTAGCGGGCTACAGCTAATTTCGAACCCCGTCAATATAGGTAGTACCCCACCCATTTTGTGAACACGTTCTATATGAAGGTTGTGGGGGAGGAAATGTGGAGGGAATGGAGGAATGTGGGCTGTCAATTAGATAAGATTATAAGGAATTTTAATTACAGTGCATTTTGAAAGGATTTTGTAAGAATTTGTGTATCGTACATGTAGGCCTACGGGTGCTTACACCTTTAGAAATGTCATTGTGGATAGCTTTACATCTTTTTTGTTCCGTATTATACCCGGGTCTCCACAGGGTAGCAGTTTTGGAATCACATGCACGTTTGTTTATCGAGGAAAATCGAGGATTTTCGTTTCCTTTGTTTGTACTTTTAACTTGTTCGCAACAGCTCTCACTGGTTTTGAACACGTTTTCTAATCGAGGTCGTCCTCGATTTGGTCCCTGTCCTCGATTCACCGATGATGTTTTACGTGTGTGTCCTCAATGTACACCAACAACAAACTCAAGCACACACTTACGATACGAAGTCACGAACTCGAGTCACACGTGTCAGGTCTTGTTGCTGGCACAATGTACACCACGAACGTGACAACCGCAGCTTTCAGACCTTGCTACAAAACAACACAACTAGACGTATTGCCGAACGTTATACTTGCCTAAACTGTACACGAACATGATATAATTATGTGACACTTAATTTTTACGATACCGCGTTTTATAATTGAGTTCTTCAAAAAATGCTTAGGCACTGGACCAGCTTAGGTTATCACGAAAGCGCCCATCAGGGTCGCGTATTAGTTGGGATATTTGTTTAAAGTAAAACTACATCTTGAAAAATTTGTTATTTTCGTGTATTAACCGCGTGAAAGAATTTCAGGACACAACATTTTGGTTGAAAAAAATTAAGCCGTTGGAGTACTTGTACTTGAAATTCCAGTCATGTTTCCGATCCTAAAGAAGCCTCAAACGCGTGGGCCGGAATTGGCACGTGTGTAAGTCTGTTACGAGTGTGGCAGCCGACATCAATCCTGACACTGTCACGAACGTGATATGCATTTTATGCGGCTTTTGACAGATTTGCCCAAATTCACTACTGACAAAATCGCTATACCGCGCGTGCTGGCTGTAAACAAGCCTCTTTTTGGGGGGTTTGAAAATTGTCTCCGCAAATGTAAGGTATTGTGTAGATTTTCTGTGCCCCAGACCTTATAGGTATTTGTCTAGCAAACACAATGAAACACTACAGTTTGGCGATCTCCGGACGAAAGTGTACTTATACGCGTCTGCCGAAATATGACGTGTAATTCGCAAAAATAATTATGCGTCATTAAAATAGTTGAAATCGCAAAACACGTACTTCACAAATAAAAAATCCAAATCACTCAACAGAATACTGTACTAAAAACCTTTAAAAAAAAAGCAAAGGGACTTTATGAAAAATCGGTTTCGAAAAAAAAAATTTGAAAGGATTTTTTTTATGGGGAGAGCGGGTAGGTTTTTGTCAAGGAAGGAAAGTTGCATAAAATAATTAGAGCTGGCATGCATCGTTGACGATGTGAACTAAAGGAGAGAATAAAGGATTGAATGGATTAGATTATCTCGCCAAATTGACTTACTAAAGTCGAGGTGACTGTGTTTCGATGTGATGACGTGCCCAGATAAATTATCTCACCAAGTCGAGGGGAACTAAAGTCGATATGATGAGACGACCGGCGGCCCGTGCATTAGTAACAACGCTCTACGGGTATACACTCGCACGTATGCTGGATGACACGTATCTTTGGAAGTCTCGTCCTGATACTAGTAAGCCGAGTCGATGACATAATTGTATTTTTGCAAATCATTCATGCGTATGTATAAAAGTTAGCTTTTGCTTTTACTACAAATTTTCAAACATTAACATGCGTCTGTTCGACTAAAAATGAAGCAAATACTGTTATTGGAATGCATTTGCTAAAAGCTAAAGGTACTGTCTTTTTACTAAAAGTATTTACCTTAGTAGCTTTTGCCAGACTGTAGGCATATTCTTTGTTTGGTACGAACAGAATGAGTAAATGCTTCAGATTTGGAGTGTTTTTACTGGTCGTTTTTCAAGGCTGGGTCGGGGCAAACTTGAAAAGAGAGAAGTAAATACTAGTATGCAGAGTGGCAGCTTGAATAAAATGTGGTCCGGCAGGCAAAGGTAATGTATGCATGGGGGAGAGAGTGTCTAAAATCAGAATACAAGCTGTACCGGTTTGAGGAAAGAAATATGGCAGGGAACATCCAGGGGAGGGAAAAGGGGGGGAGTACCGACTGCAAAGCAGCAACTTGATGTTCGTATCAATAAATAAAGCATGTTTAGCTTACGGGTTGCTCTGTGTGTGTGTCTGTATGCACACACAGACTGAAGACCATACACTGCTTGACGTTCACTCAACCACAATTATGAAGTATTTATTACCATTTCAATTAGAAAACGTAAAACAGTAAAAGTGAACTTTGATTCATACGAATTTAACCAATTGCTTTTCCTTATAATGCTTTTTCTTTATAGTAAACGCTTTTGCTGTTTGCTTAGACCTTCCAGCATTTGCTGGTTTTTACACATAATAGTTACGACCCCTTATCCTGCCACCAATTAGTTGACCTCATCACGGGATTATTTATCTTGGCAAGGTGTCATCCTGAGTTCATTTTGCCGACTTGGTAAAAATTGTGTGATCAAGCAAAACTCAACTGAAGTTGATGTGAGAATAAAATTAGGCCTAAATCTGTGTATATCTTAAGAGCGTATATTGTAGAACGAGAAAAGGAATTGGCTTCTTTCACTTATAAAAACGCGAAAACCCACCACTTGAGATAAAGAAATTGCAGTGGCAAAACAAAGGCATTCAAGAAGGTGGGGGAGGGGCGAAAACTCACGAAAATTCACTTACCAAATCCATAAGATCGCACTTCGAATGTCATATATATGCGGGACACGAAGAAGACGGCCGCAGAAGGCGTGGGAACCACCCAAACAGATGCTGCGCTCGGCATTCAGGCTGTCCAATTGTGAAGCACGGCTAGACTGAAGTCACCAGTCTTTAATACAACAGCCTGCCATGATTGAAAAAAATGCACTAATTCTGATTGGCTCGTCTTCAAGACAGGTGAGGCGACGCGCGTATAGACCACGCCCATTTACTAGTATCAAACTGACAGTCCCGAGCAATTATACAATGCAGAGAAATTATCAAAATTGATGGAGACTTGATATAAAAGTCTTTTAAAGATCAGCATGCCTTGTGTCAATGACCCTCACAACGGTCACTTTTTCGAAACGCTTGGTGGCAGCAGACACACTGGTAATTTTTCTATTGTTTGTGCGATTTTGAACATGCGTCAGTTACGAAGGGCTGTGTTTCTGACTTTACTTCCCCAATACAAAAGAAACCTTTCAACTCCAAAAAAATGGAGGTGAAAGAGGTTTCACAGTTTAAGTAAAGTAATTTTTTTGTACCGACGGTTTTCTTAACTACACGAAAACAAACGAATGTCCACATAGAGTATGTAAACAAACCTGAGTGTGTGCACGCGTGTACACGTATCACGATAAACGCCTATATTGGGTTACAGAAAAAAAAAAACGGTCGCGGCACCAAGGTGAAGGTTTATTTCCAAACAACTTTGTACTTTAGTATATGGGCCTGCATCACTTGATAATAATTGATCGATTCGCGGATGAAAGATTCTATTAAACGCATTTGTTAAGCTTCGAGTGCAGCTTTCGACTTTTAATGGCTCGAGGCTGTCACTCGCTGGCAGCAGGGCGGAAACTTAGCAACGCACGTACGAGACAAGACTACATCGGTTGCCAAGAAGTCACCCTACGCCGCTCTGGTTGGTCTTCATTCGTGCATGAAGTACACGCTCGATGGGGCGTTTAGTTCGATGCTGTGTGCAACTCGAGTAAAGGCTAGTTGCACGAGATTTCTGTTGACCATTGAAAATTGTAAATATTCAGTTCATAGTATGTAAACAGTGAGGAAAGGTAGAAACTATTACAACACCTCACCCACAGATTCTGTGTCTTGATTGGCCGAGAGCGAGTCACATGGTACTTTCTATTTTTGCCATCTTACAGTGCGCAGCCAAAAGTACTATACCCGTAGCAACCAAAGTACTATACGCACTGTGTGCAAAATGCATAGGGGTTTGTTGCGCGTTACGCGTATTGTTTCCAAGCGCGAGCGTACAGAGCTGGGGTCAAACATTTTGTTAAGAGGTAGTTAGAAAAAGTGCAAGATGATTTCCAACTAATTTCTTATTCAAATAGAATTGAGTTTGTATTGTATTCAGATTAAATTAATCACATCGCTTAAAATCAAGCAGAATCTGTGGGAGAGGTGTTATAAAACAAATATTGACTGCTTTATCTCTTGGTGTAGTAAAACCATCATCCCTCGGTGATCCATGGACCATTCTATTTTCCCTCGGCTTCGCCTCGGGAAAAATAGAATGCTTCATGGATCACCTCGGGAGGCCAGTTTTACTACACCACTCGAAGCATTCAATATTTGTATATACTATATTATATCTCCCCAACCGACACCCCCCCCCCCCCCAAAAAAAATACCCATAAACGACATAGCTCCCTCTCAATTATTTAGCTCTAAACCACAGATAACCGATGCACATGTATATACAACAACACTATGAAGTATTTAAGTTTTAGCTCCAAAATAAACTCTTGTTAGAAAAGAAAAATTAAAAAACAGTGCGTGCAAGAAACTGAAAACCTAACGTCCTGTCTGCAGTTAGGGAAAGCTTTAATGAAAAGTTTTTCAAAGTAAGCTAGCGAGACGTGTTTGGTCGGGATTTTCTTGTATTACCAGGTAAGTTGATTTCGAAACCATTGTGCAAATGATACAGGGCCTTCAGTAAAACGTGTTATTGATATTTACGACAATATTTGTGCATTATTTTAGGAAACGCCCAAATGATAGAGTTCTATACATAATTCTCTGTCGTTTTGCGATGTCACGTTCTAAACAGTGTTCACACTTCCTATGCGAACACGAAGCAGGAAATACTCAACATAAGAGTGATACAGTATTTCGCCAGACTTAAAAAATCAGGGCAAATTTGGGAGTAAACGTGGCACTCTGTGCAGGTATTCGCTTTCCGAAGACAAGAATGCATGTAGGTTAAGTAATTAGGCCGCCATTGTACAACACAATGGCTAGTCTGTGAAACGAAGAGCCCGATGATGAAGTCGCTATGGCAACGAATCGGGGTCCTCTGACTGACTTCACATCTACGGCGGCGAACAACTGGGATGTGAAGTTATCAAAGGTACATTGGAACATTTGCTTTTTGTGGATTTCTTTTCGTTTGAAGAAACAAAAATGCTCACAACCTTAGGAAAGACAGTTTCAGCTCAGTGGATACTATACAGTTTGAGAAACCAGAGTGATGCACAATTTCCGGGGGTCTCGGAAATGCAGCATAATTTCTCAGGGTATTTGGTACTACTTCACTTTGAATAAGGATTTTCTCGTTATGTTTCCGGGTAGCGATATTTTTTTCCGTACACATACATTCGTTATGGGTGTATTTCGAAGTACGTTGAGTTGCAAGTCAGGTTCTCGGACTTTATTTTCCCTTGAAACAAAAAAAATCCTCCTAACCACATATTGGTAAAAGAAAAATGATGCAAATGACTAACAAACCCTTTTAAGAGAAAAAAAAGAAGTAAAGAAGAAGAAATTAAAAAAAAAGCATCCAATGGGAATCGAACTCACACCATTGGATTTGTAATACAAAGTAGTATCCATGACACTATGGCAGCGACTCGATCAATGTGGTAGTTTTAAACATTATTCTATTGCATGTATAGGGCCCTCCAGCATAATTCTATAGTAGCGAATATGTGGTATGGAAAAATAAATCGCCCGCGACTGATCGCACAACGACTTATAGCTGGTTATCAATAGCAATTTCCATAGCATAGTGCAGAGGGGACCAACTTTCAACAAAAATGGCGGAAAACGAAACTTTGTGCGATAAATTTCACATTACACACTTTTTCCATGTTAGTTTACGTTACGATTATGTCACTTTTGTCACCATTGTACAATGATATTGTCGATAAGAAGTCCTAAGCCATACACAATTATTATTATTTGTGTAAATAAAGAGAAACAACCAGAGTTGAATAATTGTGCGACCGCCATTTTCTGACGGTCGATGGCATGCCAATAGCTCGACTAGAGTGGAGTCGTTCACACTTCAACTTCAGTGCGCATGCGCTAGGTACGTCACGAACCAACCACTATATAGTTAACCACTGGTCCTTGCTCAAACTTGCCCCATGTTTCCAGGTGTCAGAAAACTTCTGAGACGATTGGTGGCAACAGAAACAAGGGTGCTTTTACAAAAAATAAAGCAATGAAAAGGATGCAGAATGAGAAATTTGGAGGAAAGGATGAAATCACAGCAGAATTATTAAAACCGTACAGAGTCGCAACAGTGAAATGGTAAGAAAACCTATCATTTGATCAGTACAACGGCGAGCAGCCCGCTTCGTATGTAATGATTACAAGCGGAGATCCAGCGTTAACAGCATGCTGTCTTCTCTCAAATGGGACACCCTCGAACTCCGCAGAATCCGACTACGACTGACAACAATCTACAAGGAAGTCCACAATATCATACCATCAAACCTGCCGTCAAGCCAGAGTAACAACAATCATGCAACAAGACACAACCTCGGTCCTCATATCATTGTCCCGTCAAATTTCAACAAACTGTGCTATCAATATTTACTCTACCCAAGAACTTCAAGGGAATGGAACCTGCTACCACCAAACATTCGCTCTGCTCCCAATGTCAAAGCTTTCAAAGAGGGAATTGAGCACCTAGATCTCCTCAGCTTAGTTAATAAGGCCCACTTTAAAATTTAGTTCACTGCGCCAACCACTCCGACCTGTGCGAGATAACCACTTAAGAGGTGTTTGCACAGTAACAACCAGAACCAGAACCAGAACCAGGATGAAGTACCATAGACATAGAAGCAGGGGCAGATTGTCAAAATACCAAAGAAATATTGACCTAATGTGGAAATTGGAGAGGAATCACGTTAACATCTGTTTTCCGGTATTATTTGGAAGACTTCTTATCGACAGAATCAGAGATGGAGTGAACAGCAAGTCGAGAGATGAGCAAGCGGGTTTTAGAAGAGGCAGAAGTACTGTGGAGCAAATATTTGTAAATTACGCAACATAACAGAGCAAGCTGTGGAATGGCAGTCAACCTTATACATTACATTGCGTGGACTTTGAAAAAGCGTTCGACTCTGTACATAGAGAGAGCATTTTGGGCAATCATTGGCAGTTATGGAATCCCGCACAAAATAATGAAGATGGTTCAGATCATGCACGAGCTAGGACAGTGAATGTGCAGTGCTGGACGAAGTGGAGGGAGACGGAGTGGTGCAGGGTAAAGGCTGTAGTGAAGCAAGGCGATGTCATGTCTACGTCGTTCATCTTCTTGACTGTAGAGGATTGGGTAATGAAGAGAACAATAGAAGGAAACAACGCATGAATTAGGTGGAAATTCATGAGTAAATTGGAGAATCTGTATATACTTCGCTGACGACATTGCACTTTTGTAATCAAACTGTCAACATATGCAATCAAAGGCCACGCAACTAAATCAATCTGCGACAAAAACTGGACTCAAAATTAACAAGAAGAAGGTTGAAGTATTGAGAATAAACAGCAACAGCAACAGCAGAATGATGGCTGATGGACATCAGTTAAAAGAGGTTGACAAATACACGTACTTGAGAGCCCTTGTTAGCAAGCAAGGAGGAAAGGTGAAGACATTGCTAGCCGGATTTGTAAAGCAATGACATCATATATGAAACTAAAACAAGTTTGGAATTCAAACAAGTACTCATTGAAAACCAAAATTAGACTTATCAACTCAATCGTATGATCAGTGTTACTGTATGATTGCGAAACGTGGAAGATCAATGAAAGTGACAATAAGAAGCTGGACACATTTCAATTCAAACGCCTCAGAACAATCTTGAAAATCAGATGGACTTATGTCGTGTCAAACGAAGAAATACTCAATAGAACCAAATCAAAGAGAAGTGAAGGCTAGAAGAGGGACATGGATTGGTCACGTTCCACTGCAGGAGAGCAATGACATGGGTTGCTGAGGGCAGGAGGAAAGAAGGACGCCCGAGAACAACATGGAGGCGTACTGTAGGGAAAGAAAGGAAATAGCTAGGATAGAAGTCTTGGAATGAAGTTAAACCTGTGGCCAAAATCAGAGCAAACTGAGAGTGTACTGCAGCCTTCTAGGCCACTCGGCTCGAAGAGGATATGTGAGGTGCGGAACATGTACACGTGCATCGGCTTAAACATGACGTAAACAATTAGCGTCTTATAGTCTCCCATTGTAAATGCAAATGTTCCCACTAGCCTATAACAAATGCTGTTAAACTTTTCCTCGTGCAAATGTCGAGTTTAAAATTCTCAAAATAAATACATTTTCTAAATGCTGGTTCCCCCTCCCCTACAACAGTTAACTTTTGAATGAGACATCGATCGAAACCATCGGTCCTTGTTAAGTTATTATACATGTACGAGGTAATTTTAGTCAGAAGCCATGTTGCACTTCTCTACATTTTTTTTTTGCTTTTTACACGTGACGTACGCTTAGCGAGTTGTATCAGGCTGTTTTCTATACAGAGGGCGTTTAAAAAAAGGAAACCCAAATGGCGCCCCCTATTCAAGGGCGGATCCAGAACACAATTTTGGGAGGGGCCAAAAAAAGTTTTTGGTCCCCCAAAAAGGTGGGTCAAACAATTACGGCGTGGGGTTCGGGGCCCGCTTAAGGGCCCCGAAATTTTTTTGGTTTCTAGATGCTCTGTGGTGCGATCTGAGGCAATTTCTGACCACTTTAACCAATGTTTTTTTGAGGAAAAGATGGTGGTGTACTCATTGCCTGCCTTTATTGCGATGTCACAATAAAAAAAAAAAAAAATTGGTTTCGTTTTGGGGGGGGGGGGGGCCATGGCCCCCTTTGGCCCCCCCCCGGATCCGCCCTTGCCCCTATTTTGTAAAGAGGTTTTGCATGAAGCGCTTTTCAGATCTACGATATGAAAGCCCAATTAGTAAGCTTTCTTTTAGTACAAGAATCATTCAAATCACTGATGTACTTTCCGAGTAATGGAGTTTTGAACACAAGAGTTTTAAAATGTTGTCCACGGATCACATGTAAGGTACGTGATTTTTCAGTAAAATGAAACCATGTCGTAATTGTCGTAATGAATAACACTATCCAAACTTTTTGGATATAAACATGGGAGTGGTATATCTGTTTCGCGACTCAATAGGGAAGATCCTACCATGCTTTTCGATGGAAAATTTTGTTGTATAATTTGTTTTTAGATTACAGTACCTGGTCCTGTTTGAAATAGGTAGCAATTTGTTTTAGGGCTGTCCCGAATATACCGAATATTCGATCATCAACTGAATATTCGAATAGCTTTTTGCCAGTTGGAATATTCGGCGCTTTATTGTCAGGTGCCACTGTAGCATGAATTTAGGTTTTATGAAATACGGACCCATTGGTGGTATTGCACATGCTCATGCATAGATAAATAGGAGAGGGACCGGTCACGTGAGAGGGCTTAACCAATAATAGGGAAAAAGAGTCCGATTTTCATACAAGTCCGATTTTCATATGACACCACTTTTTGGGTTTAACGGTAACTTTTTTTTGTTCGATGGCGGTTCGTTGTTCTCATCCTTTTAGCAGGTTAAAGTCCCTGACAGTTGTAAATACTTACAGCAATACACTCCAGCGGCCCATAACGATTGCCGCATGCAAATTTTAACTGGCACTCTCTGCGTGCAACGTTTGACCGGCGCGGCACGCAGTTGCAGCTGGCAGTTTCGAATATCCGAATATTCGGTCAAACGCAGTTTCAAGTAATCGAATATTAAATTATTCGAAAATGAACAGCCCTAATTTTGTTTGCATGATGTACATGGCATACCAAGGAATAGCCACACGGGAGAACTTGTTCACGGGCGCGGCTATCTTGAACATTTCCGGTCTTAAAATCAAATGGGGAGGGAGGGAGTTTAACACTTCTCAGACACTGTTTTAATGTGAAAATACACCTGAAAATGTTTACTGCGAACCACTGCTTTAACCGCCCCTTTTTTTCTCTTCCTATTGTGGGGCACATGGGGGAGAAAACTCCCGAATCATCGACCGCTCAATCTCATCGATTCACCACCAAGGGAAAAAACATCATCATCAACCTTAATGGACCAAAGCCTTGAATTTTGTCCGAGTTATAAACTCATTTCGAAGCTTAAACTTCATCCACGTGGGACTTATAATTCATTTCACCTTTCTTCAAGAAATAAAAAATGTCTTTTATCATGCGCTGTAACGGGACATGTTGCAATTTAATTCCTTTTTTTTTTTTAAGCACAATGCATATCTCAATACCGAGGAAAAATTCAACCCCAATCGACTAAAAACCTTGAATTTTGTTCGAGTTAAGAGTGAATTACGGGCTTCATATATAAGAAATAAATTTTTACATATGCTCTTCAGGGCATCCATTAAATATGGTTCTATGTTTTTGGCTTTGAAGGAGGGTCGGTCGGTCGGGGGAAAATACTCGGAATAAAAAAAAATCCCCGTTGAACGCAGACACACGCTATTGCTATATAAAATGACGCAACGCCCTCAATGTATTATATGACGGAGTCTTGATCTAACTTTTAATTCCTTGACATTTCAATGAACAAAATAAAATAACAAAAAACAATTGGTTGGAATTCTTGTTACATTTTATGAATTCTCATATTTTACTTGTACTTCATTACCTGTCGTCGAAACATAGCGTGTAAAACAAAACAAAAAACTTCCAAAAGGGCGTTACCCGCGGACCAAAGCAAAAAACAAGTGTGTGTGCACTGTATGCAGGGACGGTACATCACTATCATAAAGTTTCGCACGTTATAAATTTTGCACAAACAGCTCAATTGTGAATGTACATGTACGTACAGGTACATCCAGGCCAGGTACAAAAAACAAATGAATCTACGGACCGGCTGATCAACTTAATGGCTGTAATCATGCTACAGGACGATACCAACATGTGAATGATATTATACACATGTTTTCCCCCGAAATTGAAACGATCTATTTCTTTGTTTTGGTTCCTTAGTATTTTTTTTCTTGTAGGCAATTCCAGACGGTCGGCAGCACAATAAAATGTTTTTTTTTCTTATAGGAAGCCAAAAATAGGGTTGGGCGGCAATGAGAACAATAGAAATACAAAGGGACGCCCTAATGAAAATCTTGCCATATATCTTTAAAATGTAGTTCCTGTTTACAGGAGTTGCATCATTGCATGTCGCAACTGAATCCGGTTCATAATAAGTGACTTCGTCATACACGCGCGCGCACCACTGATTACTAGTGCCCGATGGCTAAACATTGAAGTTGCGTTAACTTCCGGTGTAGCATGAATTTAAGTTTTATGAAATACGGACTCATTGGTGGTATTGCGCATGCTCATGCATAGACAATAAGGAGAGGGACCGGTCACGTGAGAGGGTTTAACCAATAAAAGGGAAAAAGAGTCCGATTTTCATACCAGTCCGATTTTCATATGACACCGGTTCCATTGGTGCAATGCTACACCGTGTGCAGTAAGCATGATTAAGTTGAGATGACGTCACACTTACGAACCGGTTACCAAGTAAACTCGAGATTAGTTTATTTAAGAGCTTCATCAAGATCCAGGTATAAGACTCGAGATTTGCTCGGTTTTGTAAAGAAATACAAAGTCCATATCATGCATTTTGGGCATTTTGCATATAATTTATTAATTCCTGTTTAACGTTAGTTACATATACACATACACCATACCGAGAAATTTTAACAAGATCCTAAAAAATCGGTTGCCTTCCAAATAACTTAATCAACCTTCCCATTGTTCAGTTTTTAAAGAAATCCGGTTAAGTCACCGAGTTTAGCAGTGCTAAAAATGCAACACCCACAAAGAATGGAGTCTGAAAGTGGCTTTGTTTTAATACCATAACAATAAGATGGTGGACCTACAGTAGTTATGTTTCGGTATGGATTATTTTTCTATAACCCGATTTGGTCACCGAATTTTTACTATTCTTTGCGATACATGACTTTTTACAGGTACTCAAAAAGTAAGCGAAGTCCCCATCCATTCCGTTGACAAAGACGCATGCGCGTTGTGGACGGTGACTTTACTTGACTGAAGAAAAAAAAGCTGCTTTCGGTTTTGCGAGTACCAAATTTCAGCGAATCAGATAGGGACTGAAAACCCAATTCACAGTTTTACAGTCAAAATAATGTACCTGCATTGTTTATTACGTATGACTAGGTGTTGGTTGATTTTTGCGTGAATAATCAACAATATTTCTGCTATGCATGTCTACGAAATTGGGCTATTTGTTACTGCAGACCCCCACCCTCTTGCAAAACACTTAAAAAAACTAAACTCTTAAATAAAAACAACAACCTGCATTAATTTTAACAGAATATCTTTAGTCAATAAAATTATTCTTGAATGCCTAGGCAGAAGTGATGTCGGCAGCTAGTTCTTCTAATTTTTCCATCAACTGTTGTTCCTCGGCCTCCGTCGATCGGGTCAACTCGTATTTGTGATAGGGTATAGATTTTCGATCTAGAACAAAATAGAATCTGAGGTTATAGAATTATAAGCATTAACGGCATCTACCCCGAAAACCTGTACCTTAATCTCTGCAACAGTTTCTCAGGCTGGCAATCTTTGCTTAATCAGTCCACGCCAATGAGACAACCACCAAATTTACTTAGGACAAAGTGAATGTTGGTGAATTCATATAAAACTTTGACATGTTTCTCAGACACCTTGGAGAGTTTTATTTTCCTCCAGCTGATTTGCAGCTAAGGCCACATTCTGGCAAGGACCATTAGTCGACTTGTGGTTCATTTGTGACGTACCTTACGCCTGCGCACTAATAGCAACGTGCGAACGTATCTAGTCAAACGCTGGTCAAAATGTCATCGCAAAACTTCTGGGTCCTGGTTTCCTGCTGTACGTTACGAATGCACTTGGCTATTGGTTACCAGCGATGCAACCAGCCCCAGTATATGGTTCCAAATAGTCGACTAGCGTAGTCAATCATCGTCGACAAGACAGAGTTCGGGCAAACGTTAGTCGAACTATGGTTAACCAATGGTCAACAAAAGTTTTTGCACAAACTTGCCCTCTGGTGTTTATCTTCTCTAAGTGGCAATAACACTTACCCAAATAAAACTGACCACTCGCTTCTTGAACAGCGCCCTCTGCGATGGCCAGCCACAAGACTGTATCAGCACCCTCGCCCGGCGTCCTCAACCGATCTTTCTTTTTCGCCTGTTCGTACAGGTGAGGTGGCAGGTAGGCCTGCAAAAGGGGCGTGTCGACTATCCCAGGATGCATCGCGGCAAAGTGGATCGCTGGGTGCGTGCGAGCCCACGTGGTCAGCATGATGAGCTGCTGACGCTGTTTTCGGAGGATCAAGTAAAAATGGTGAACATCCAGGAACTGAAAATGGTGAACATCAAGGAACTACAGGAGACTTCGAGACTTTTTGTGCGCACGTTATGCGCAGGCGGAAAGGTTGACCACTGTTATTGTTCATACAAATTCTGTCCAATGACAGCTCGAGGAAATTACGTCATGCATTCAGAAAAAAATAACCCTTCCAAGCGCCCTGCTTCGGGCGGGCGGCGGGTCCGAGCAAAGTGACAGAATGTGCATACGAATTGTGAAAATAACTTTTTTGGGGTGCAAATTATTACACACTTTCAGGGAGTGGTCAGGGAGGTTGCCGTTGGATCCAAATGAAAACCTCCCTGGCTGATGAGTTTACTTATAATGTCACGCGTTCCTCTTGGTGAGGTATTGACAAGAGATTCAAACAATGAATTTGGTGTAATATGGTTTAACCCTACATGGTCGCTGTTAAAAGTGGATCGCAACGTTTGTAAGGATAACTATTTCTTTCCAAAATGCATATTATGCTGCATTTCGACAAGTTCAGGCTTGGGTAGACCGCTACAGGTTTCGGTAATTTTTCACTGACTGAATCTTTGACAATTTCGAAAGTTCTCCCCGAAAATGGTCAATAAGATATCGAAGTAGCCTCTGTATTACATTTGGGATTTTTTTTTTTTACCGTGGTATGACATTCGATAAAATGTATCTACATTGGCACTGTTTTGGTTCTAACTATCTTTTCTTCCTGGTATACCATATAGACTTACTTTACTCTGAACATAGACTATCTTCTCTTTCTGGTCTACCATATAGACTTTACTCTGAGCAAAGACTATCTTCTCTTTCTGGTCTACCATATAGACTTTACTCTGAGCAAAGACTATCTTCTCTTTCTGGTATACCATATAGACTTACTTTGCTCTGAGCATAGACTTTGTGTCCGTCGAATGGCTCCAGCCTTTCTTGTCTGAGATCATCAAGGCTCTCCAGACGAAGCTTTTCCGTAAACATGCCTTGAGTAGATACTATTATCTAGGAGTATAATTGGTATACAAAAAAAAAAAACCACAGGCCTAATTGCAACACTTTGGCTTTGGTATTGCACGTGTTTCAAGGTAGATACTCGAATAATGCTGTAAACCTCCCTTTTCTAGGCCCGGTTTAGATGTGATACCACCAAAATTGAGAATTAATTTAATTAAAGCACACCCCTGCAATAGCAAGCCGTCAGAATGCCCATCAGAAGTAATTCTGAATTCAGTGTGTAGCGTGCTGCATCGTGAAAAAGCTACAGAACCGATACCGAGATTTGGACTATTTCTTTCAATAATACTGCATATATTGACAATATTCTTTTGATGCCGAACAATGTAATACCGAATAATGTTGTCGAAATACCGAAATACCCACGACCTATGGACATGCATCAATACCGCGATTTTCCCTCTTGAATGTGGCCAGATGTGTACAACAGCCCTTTAAAAAACGTGACAGACACGACTTGGCAAGATGTACAGTGTATACACGTATATGGAAAATTGGTTAACATTCCTTATGGTCAAGGTAGCTTGATATGAAGGTAAAAATTGTGCTTACAAGTCATCACGCCATTCTGCTCATCATGCTGCCTGTTTGCAGTTTCCCTAACACAACGTGTCTTATTTATTTTGATGACAAAATACTCTGTCCAGAAAATCACATAATACTGAATACCGCCACATTTTTGTGTGGCCTGCCGTGGACTCTTAAAATCTAAATTCCAATACCGCACAAGCCACTTCTACTTACAACTCTGGATCCAGGGGTTGTACGGAGCAGTGGTATCAGTGTTGTCGAGAGGATGTACACGCCCATGGTGTTCATGGCGTAATTCGTTTCATACCCATCCTCCGTTAGCCTTCGCTCGGGCAGTACACACGCTGCGCAGTTCACCTGCGTAAACAAGGGTAAAACAATCCTGCATTTTTACTGAAATCAGGAATGAACCACGATTCGTCACAAAATGTGTGACGTCATAGCACATTATTTAGCCGGCAGTGAAACCGTATAACCTATGGGTAGACCTTTACGTGTCACCATTCAGTCAGTGGTGTTAAACAAAATTGCATGTGAACACGGCAAGTGAGGTACTTCCCAACACGTATTGTTTCTGTATTCTAGAGTCATCATACCATAAGAAACAAACATTGTTTTCCCCGCATGTTTACGGAAGCATTTATTTTACCTTAAAAATAATTGATTTTGTTTTTAGAGTCAGGCCTTCAGTATAGTACACGATTAACCGAACCACGATCTGATAATTATGTCTGGGATCTAAACTTTCTTAAAATTATTATCATTTATTTGCTACCTCCATTCGACGAAAAGCACACGGAAATTACTTAGATGCACAATTAAAATATAGGTAGGCCTATAACAAAACATGAAAAGAAAACAATTATTTCTTATCACAATTATTTTTCTTTTTACAGCCAGTCCTCTACTTAAGGTATAAACAAGACAAACAAAAATTGATTCAGGTAGGGCCTACAGTTTGTTTTGACTTTTTATCCGAAAGATTTCTTGGAACTTTGGCGATTCATTGGTGTGCGTATGTCCTTTATAAAAAGCTCATGCGTAAACTATTGGAATAAGGTTGAAGTGCTTAGAATGAGCCGTTGTAGCTTTTGCCAAAATCATTTCTGCACATTCGACACATTTTATCCATTCAATGAAATTGCAAAAGCAAGGTACTCCTATATGGAAACACACTCAGATTTCCAAACAAAAAATCGGAAACTCACCAGCACATCCAGTGTCTTCCAAGTCTCAGCAAACTTCCGGGCGAAGTCGTGCACGCGTCTGGGCTGAGACAAGTCTAACACGTGGAGGTGAACATTCTATGAATACAAAGGACATAATTACTAAAAGGAATAAAGCGGTATTTGTAAACCACACCTCTGCTTTACTGTGGTCAATAATAGCAAAAGAAAAAAAACCTGTAAATGCCGGGCAGATCCCACTGATCTCTTAAAAAATGTATCCAGATAACCCATTGCTGCTAGAAGTGAAATAACCGCCCGCCATATTACCACTCCCATAACAATGGAATTGTGTAAAAAGCTATACCAATTTAACCCAAATCTTTGCCTTTTTATTAAATTAATATTTGCAAAAATGACTATTTGACTCAAGTATTATTTCATACAAAATTCTGTAAGGAAAAAAAAAGATTGTTTAATACTGGTACGGGAACCACTGTTAACCACTCCCATCGTATATATAATATTAAAGAATAAAAAGTATACTCGGAACCATCGCGTAGATTCAAGCAGGGGCGGCGGAACTTGGGGGGTGGGCAAACTGGGGGGTGGGCAAACTTGGGGGTGTCACTTGCCCCCCCCCCCCCCCCCAACCCCCCCCCCCCCCCCACCCCACCCCCCCGGATTTTCCCAGGCCAACAAAAGTGCCCCTCTCGCGGTTATAAATGTGCCCCCTCGGGAAGAAAACAAAACTGCCCCTCAAACGCACACGTATGAAAGTGAAGATTTGTGAAGACAGAAAAGACAACAAGCTTTTATTTTTATTTATTCAATCATTATTATTATTATTTTTTTGGAATTGCCGATACAATTTTTAGGGTCGCAGCCTAAAAATAGGGTCGGTCGGGTAACCGGAAGCAGAAGTATTATTTTTTTTGGTCTAACTCCTAGGTAGACCTTCAATTTTAGATGGTAGTTATAAGGCGCACAACCGCAGACACTAGGCCACCAGCATTTTGTAACCCATAAACTACTACTATACTACTGCTGGTGTGAAAGGTGCAACTTAATGGGTCTCATATTTCTCATAAAACTTCACTTACCTGCCTAGACATAATACATAGACATATTTACCAGCGCCTTGAGTACCTATTGTTGGTAGATACGTGCGCTATATGCTCTGGTATACTGCATTATTATTGATCTCCATTAGTCTTCCGTAAAGTTATGGATATCAACAAGAACTGTTATCCTACCTCGTTGCCGCTGCTAGTCACAATCTCCGTACGCGTCGCCTGATCCTCGTTCAAAGTCAACATGTGGACTCGACCGCCTTAAAAAAAAAATGCAATCGGTGTTATAAATATACCCATACAGTTATTTGGATGAGTAACTCCTGTTGTCAACACCCCATTTGCCCATTGGTTACGATTTATTGACATAGAAAATGAAAACATAGACGGAATTTTAAATTCCGGACGGTTTTAGAATCGTTTTGATTTGGTATTTTTGGTGGTAGTGGCGATGGCGACATACCTGATGCATAACGTATGGTACGAATATTTCGCATCGCTTTACGTACAATATGGTGCGTATATGCCATAAAGGCCGAAAATTAATGCTAGGCCAGAAGGTTAAGGCCCAAAGGGCCTTAAGCCCCCAAGGCGACAGCCCCTATATAAAGGCACAAATGCTAGTCACAAACTTAAAGACCTAAGGTCCTGCAAAGACCCACACCAATTCCCAACCCAAGTCCCAAAGCCCAGACGCCAAGCCCTTGCCGAAACCCTTGGTACGAAATTCTAAATAGTTATGATGGTCCAGGCCATAAAAGGTAAGGTCCAAAGACCCAACTTAGCCCGAGCCTTGGAGATAACATCCAACATCAACAGGCCAAAGACCTAAATAACAACAAAATCTGAAAGCATGAAAAGCACGCCGTTTTTTGGTCAGGTTTATACCTCTTTTTGCGAGTTCCAAGGTGATGCTTTTCCCGATCCCCGTATTGGCTCCAGTCACCATGTATGCTTTTCCCGTGAGGTCTACGTCCAGTGCTGCAGGGTCAAAACTCTTGGAAGCCTCCGCGAACCCGACCCTTGAAAGAAAGTATGAAAAAAGGAAAGTACAAATTCAGACCTCAGATGAATCAAAGTCAGCAATGGCTAAACGAGTTTTTGAAAGCCAACAAATTTGAGTTCTTAAATTAAGAAAAGGAGAAAATGTTCTCTCTAAATTCTAAAGATTGAAAATTTACTCCATTCGAGTGAAGATTCACTCCCACAGTCGGAAACTAGGGACTAGCCGTTTTAGAGTGAAATTTCTTCAATCGTAAAGATCGAGGTTTCACTCGAGCTTCGACTGAAGTGGTTCATTTTTCGGGTTTTTTTTGTCAATCGAAAATGAGAGTGATTTTCACTCTAAAACGTCTAGTCCCTAATTTCACTCTTTGGAATTTAGAGAGTTCTTTTTCTTTTTGTCTAATCAAATTCACAATTACCAACCTGGTGTAGTAAAATTATGTCCGGTAAATTCTTTGTGTTTGCTTTCTCTTTTTACAATCGCCAAAAATAAATATAGCCTTGGTATAATTGTAATCAACTGAAACTCACCTGAAGCATTCATCTCCTGGGAAGCCGAATTCTGGATTATTGAAATCCTTCATGTCTCTCCAACTTAAGTCTAAAACACAGAATAAAAATAAAACCCGCACTCAAACCATGATCACGAGATATGTCGCGTTTCCTATATTATCACGATATGTTTCTTTGTTGTTTTCAGTTATCCTTTAGACAGAACATTTCAGATATACTCAGAAGGATCGTGAGCTAGAATAAAAAGAAATACATTTTGTCTTCTTGATATTCTTTCCTAATTTTGTATTTCTCTCGTGATTTCAGATATTGCACTGAGGCTCGGGCCTCAGAGTCTTGTGAACAGAACTATATTGCACTGAGGTTCGAGCCTCATGAGCCTTGTGAACAGAGCTATATTGCACTGAGGTTCGAGCCTCGGAGTCTAGTGAACAGATCTATATTACACTGAGGTTCGAGCCTCAGAGTCAAATCAAATCAAATCAAATCAAATCAAATAATCTTTATTATATCCCACTGGGGTAATTTAAAATGCTCGCATACAATAACAACATCGACACATTATAAAACACAGTTACATATACAATTGCACGAACAATAAAAACGAACAATCAAAATGATAAAAATGTCCTTATATAATATCATATTAACGCTGGAACATAAGATTGTGATGTTTTATTGCACGAGGAATGAAGGAGGATGGATGTCGGTTTGTCGCAGCATAGGGCACCCGCATACGACCAGACCTTGGGATCAGCTGTTCAGCAAGCCTATCATGAAGTGGGTGATTTTTGTCATTCAGTAGCATAGTGAGCTTGCCGATCACCAGATCCTCATATGCTGTGTCCACTAACGGCCGCGACACCCCAAGAATCCTTCCTGCTTGTTTTATAATTCTATCTATGCGGTCTTTTTCACATTTCCCAACATTTCCACCCCAACATATCAGACAGTAGCCCCAAACACTAGCAACCACAGTGTCATAAAAAGTTGCCAGAATTTTACGATCAACATAGAACGAATTTAGTTTCCTAAGGCAGAACATGCGAGAATTAATTTTTTTCACAATGAAATCCACATGTTCATGCCAACTCAATTCATTGTCAATTACGACACCCAGATATTTGTAACATGTGACACGTTCTACAACACTGCCTTTCAAGGTAACAGGTTCTGGTAGGCGACGTGACTTCCTATAATCTATAACCATTTCTTTTGTTTTAGAGACATTTAATTTGAGATAATTCGAATCACAGTAGTTGACAAATTGTTGAAGTTGATTTTGATATAACTGATCATCATCCTTACTAACCAGTCCAATCATCGCAGTGTCGTCGGCAAATTTAATTAAAGGGCATGACATTTCAGAAGACCGACAATCTGATGTATACAACGAAAACAGGAAAGGAGCCAGAACCGTACCCTGTGGAGCGCCAGTATTTGAATAAATTGAACTAGATTGCGTGCCAGCAGCATTCATTTTAACATACTGCGAGCGATTTGTCAAGTAGTTTAAAATCCAAGACAAGAGCGACTTCGGTACTTCACAATGGTCCAGCAATTTTTGAATGAGCATGTGTGGCTGAATAGTATTAAATGCCGACGAAAAATCAAAGAACATCACTCTAGCAGAATTACCATATTGAGCTCGTTCTAAGTGAGCATATAACTTATCCAAAATGAGTAAGATAGCGTCACTACAACTACGATTTCTCTGATAGGCAAACTGCATAGGGTCTATAAAACTAGATACAAAACCACCCAGAACACTCTTAAACAATCGTTCACACACTTTCATTGGTATGGCTGTTAAGGCCACTGGTCTGAGATCATTCATGCATGTAATATTAAAATTCTTGGGGATAGGAATACTACATGAGCACTTCCAAAGTCTTGGAATGGACCGGGTACTAAAAGACAAGTTAAAAATTACAGTAAAAATTCTTGAAAGCTGACTCGAACATGATTTTAAAACCTTTGCAGAAATTCCATCTGGCCCAGCGGCCTTGGAAGTATTTAGTTTTAGAAACTGACGACGCACATCTTGTTCAGAAACAATCAACTCATAAGGATCGGAATCATTTTGTAATATTTCATGAAGGTTTTCGACTTGAGCATGAAAATCACACTGATCAAAGCGGTTATAAAATTCATTTAACTGATTTGCATATTCAACTGATGTGTCCGGCAATTGAATATTCTTCTTGGATCCATTTGAATATCCACTCATAAGTCTCACTCCCTCCCAAACCTTTTTCATAATATTCTGTGTCAAAGTCTGTTCAATTTTATCTTTGTATTTAGCTTTCTCTGCTTTGATGACACGCTTTAGTTCCTTTTGAATTTCCTTTAGTTGTATCCTGTCACCCTGTCCGAAGATCTGCTTCTTCCTATTGATCACATCTTTAACTTCCTTTGTGATCCAGGGTTTGTTATTTGGGTAGATTTTGACCTCCTTCGTGGAAATAGCATTTGCGGTACAAAAATTAACGTAGCAGCTAACTGCGTCTGTAAGGTCATTCAAATCAGGGTTGGCTTCAATGAATACGCCCCAATCCGTGCATTCCAATGACGCTTGCAATTCACTCAAGGCATCTGAATTCCATTGTTTAATCGACACAATCTTTGGTTTCTGACGCTGCACTAATGGTCGATACTTCGGTGACAGGAGCACTAAGTTATGGTCGGCTTGTCCCAGCTGAGGGAGAGGGGAGGCAGTGTACGCGCCTTTTACGTTCGAATAAAATAAATCCAGGGTTGCCGTGCCACGTGTAGAGCAGTTGACATATTGGTGATACTGAACACTACTCTTCTTTAATGAGGCATGATTGAAATCGCCATTAATGATAACCATGGCATCTGGATTAGACCGTTCAATATCATGAATAGCTGAACACAATTCATAGGCACCCTGCTTGGCAACTGACCGATTAGGAATGTATATAGTTGAGTAAACTACATGAGAAAATTCCCGGGGTAGGTAATATGGGCGCAGACTGACCGACAGAATTTCCAAGTTGGGGGAACAGGAATGGCGTTTAATCACAGCATTGTTCGGATGACACCATTTCTCATTAACGTAGAGACAAACTCCACCACCACCAGCCTTCTCTGCATCGTTTAGGATCCTATCTCCTCGCAACAGTTTAAACCCATCTATTGCCACATGACCATCACTATCGGCGTCCTTAAGCCAGGTTTCAGTGAATGCCATGAGAGAGATGTTCCTGTAATCTTGTAGATACCGGGTATTTGCCTGAAGCTCATCACTTTTATTTCTCAAGGACTGTACATTGCCCATTATAACTGAGGGTAGATACGGTTTGAACTTACGTTTCCGCATCAGTTTTTTTACTCCACCAGCTTTGCCACGTTTGCCACGAGTCTTGTGAACAGAGCTATATTGCACTGAGGTTCGAGCCTCAGAGTCTTGTGAACAGAGCTATATTGCACTGAGGTTCGAGCCTCAGAGTCTTGTGACTGATAGAACTATATTGCACTGAGGTTCGAGCCTCAGTCACGACACACATTTTACACACAGTTTCCTCTGGTATTTATTCACGTGTAGGCCTATGTTTAAGAGGTGCTTGTAGGCCTGTGAAACTGAAGATGAAATAACTGTTCCTACGTATCTTTGTAACTAGTAAATGCCAACTTCTCCTGGAAAAAATTCGTAATTCTAATACATCGCCTTAAACTATACGAGCATATGCCGAGCCCATAATGATGACTTATGAGTAAAATGTGAATTGTATACGAAGTAACAATTCGAATGCATAGAAGACTTACCTTTGCTGTACGAGCGGTTCAAAAGCTCACAGGAGTCACTCAACGAGACACAACCAATACTATGCGCTGAAGCTACGACCCAGCATTTTGTACTTCTCTACACCACGTTCATACTACATGTATTTACACTAGTTTATATACATGCGTATTATGTAATCTGAGTCATAAATATGCTGCCAGCAAAGAAAATTGCTGGTAACATATAACGTATCTTATGGGCCATTGATCCTAAAAGAGCCGGGTTATTTTGACCATCTCTCAGCCGAAGGATTCCGCCCCCCCCCTAAGATCTCGGCCATCGAGTGGCGAAAAATTTTAAAACTCGGTACATGCATAGAGCAACTCATCATTAACATACCCAAGAAATTTCATGACTATAATAAGGGTTTTGGAATTACGGCTAATTAATTCATATGTACAAATGATAATTCTGCTCTGTGTATACGACGTTTACGGGAAAATGCAGTTTTCATTGTAAAATGTCCTTCACTGGGTTTTGTATTCCGAGTTTTTATTTTATATGGAATATCCTCTGCACCGCAAGTGCCTATGATATGCGAGCAGATTCTGCGATTAATTATGCAAAACAAGACTGCCTCTCGACTTCGAGATTCTGACCATTCAGCGGGCGCCCTCTATCGGGTCTTCGGTAACCCGTTGTTGTAATTTACAAAAAACTTGGCAGCCAAATTGACCAATCAACATCTTAGTCCACATTTCTGGTCGAACTGACGTCACAATTTCCAAAGTCGACTCTGATTGCCTGGCGCACGGGATCGCATGAAATGTGCATGCTATCAGACGTTGGTTAGAGAGAGGGCACCGTTTGACTGACATGTGACGATACAGGCGATACGCAGAATAGGTTCTATTCGCCTATAGCACTTAATTTCAGGACGAAATTTGACATGTTTATTACTTTTTCAAGGTTTCTGTGTAAAAACTATTGTACAGAAAAGTGTCACGTTAACCAGAAAAAGCGTCATATTTGACCGTAAAAAAAAAGCATTAGGGCGAAAGGACTCGGATTACGAGTCAATTTTTAGAGTGTGTAAGTTTGCAGCATTAGGCCTACGTCAGCTGGTGAACACATCTTTTCAGACTGAAATGTGTATCCCTGTGGAGTAATTTCTTTGTTCTCGTGATCTGATACACGGTACCCTGTGGAGACATGTGTATAATAGGGAACAACAGATTACATACGTCTTCACAGGGCTCCCCAATGGTCTCACGAAATAGATATATGGACTTTACTAAAAAAAAAAAAAACCCAACTAGGAATTTCCAAGTTGTGTTGATCCGTTGCAAAGTATTTGAAAGGGATATTAAGTCCGAATTTCACCCCAAGACATTAATTCTGGTTAAAACAGGAGTATTCTTTGAAACTACATTTTCAAACTCAAAATTTTAGAACATTGTATCACGTGTGTTTTGTAGGAAGTAGGTTTGCGACATAGAGCTATATTAAATTAATTACATCCGTATGTGATTTGTTTTCGTTTTGCTGAAAGAACACTTAAATTTTTGTGATCCGTGGACAGAACCTTAAAACGGTGGTTGTGTTTAAAATTCTGTAACTTGAAAAGTACACGAGTGATTTGAATGATTCTTGTACTAAAAGAAAGCTTATGAATTGGGCTTTCATATCCTAGATTGTGAAAGTGCTACATGCAGAACCTCACTTAAACAATGGTCCCGACATTTCGGTTTCGTTTTTTTACTCACCCTGTAGTGGCAAGGCGGGAGGGAAAGGGTGCACGTGAGGTCCCTTATTCCCAGAGGGATATTCTCGAGTTTGGTCAAAGGATCAAGCAATATACGAAGCACTTTCCCTCCTCCAAATTCTGAGTGGAAGGAGGAGGAACACAATGGGTACCCGTCCCCCCCCCCTTACGCGATGGTGAACTTGAAAAACGAGAGTTGCCGCGTTCAGAATTTCTTTTAAATCTAGTATAGGTTTTCCCGGCCAATTTCCTGAAATGTTCATTCATTTCTGAAAATCGGTCATTCGTTTTCGTCTGAATATGAATGCACGTCTTTCCCATTTCAATTCAACGAAAGTTTAATCGTTTTTATTGTCCGTGCATTCGGTTTTGAGAAACAGACGGCCAATTACGTTACCGGTGCTTTCATTTGCGCAAGCATCATCCTTTTCGCGCAGAGTTTTGGAATACAATTTCGTGAATGTGCAATCAAAAGTACGTTTTTCTCATTCAAACTAGCAGATTAGATCACAGAACATAAAACTAAAAGTGAAATGGAATGGTCAATGTTTGAAATTGCTCTCTAAAAGCGAAAAAAAAGTCTTGTAAACGAATCTGAATGAACATGAACGAAAGGTGCTGCTCAATCACTTAGTTGATGAGCTGAAATGGATTCGAATGCGCTGGTAGCGAAAATGAAATGCGTGTTTAGAGCGATTCTCATATTCAGACGAAACTGAATGACCGATTTCGGAAGTGAATGAACATTTTAGGAAATTGGCCGGGAAAACCTGTATTAACAAACTTCCAAAATGTAAATGCCGAATCAACAATTTTGGCAGTTTAATTCCAGCACACGCGCCACTGCTGTGATTTTAACACAAATCGACGAAAACAACTTATTCTTTGTCACTCAACATTACCGAGCACGTTAGTAAAATCAACGCGCTAAACAAAAATCAATGTCTGTCGCAGTAAATGTCAAGTGATGACGTCACGACTGAAGGTAAATATTAATTGAACAGGTAACAACGAAATAAAATAATCAGAAATATGAATATTCATGAGATGAAATCCACGTGTATTATCACACAGCACAGACAAACGATGTTCAGCAAGAAGCATGCTTAATTGACCATGTCCATGAGATCAAACAGGATGAAAAATGGCTGTTTACTGACGACAGCATTAGGAAACCGAACACTAAATAATCAGGAACATGAATATTCATTAGATGAAATGCCTTCTCACAAAGAGCAGAACGATGCTCAGGCAAGGAGCGTGCGTAATTGACCATGTCTGGTAGATAAACGGTGAATTAAACGGCCGTTTTCTGACTACGACAGGATTAGGAAACAGAACACTAAATAATAAGGAACATAAATATGAAATGTGCATCCTCGCATAGAGCAGAACGATGCCCTGGCAAGGAGCATGCGTATACCTGACCATGCATGTCTAGGAGATAAACAGCGAGTTAAACGGCTGTTTTCTGACCACGAAAACATTAGGGAATCAAACACCGACCGCTCACCATATGGCTGAGAACACAGCTAATAATACGTCAATTACGGGCGTGTAATGCAAACGGAGATACAGACGGCTCTGTAACTGTTGATTGTATCCTCCAAGAATCTAAGACTGCACCTATAGCCGCCTCCTCATCATCATTAACACCTGGCAACCACTCACACAATCATCGGGGGCTGCTGTTCTCTATTAAAAGACACTCGGTTTTTAATGGTTGTCGTCTTGTAATGTCATCACGTCAGCCGCGCAGCCATTAGAATAAAGCACAAGACTGCATAGCTACGGTAAGCGCTCACCCTTGATATTGCCTATTGTAAATTTCTTGCCCATGTTTGCCAACCGTGATTGCTCATATGCGTGTGTTCGTTAATTACGCAAATTATGTTTTTTTTTTCACAAAGAAATTTCATTCAATATTGCACAGTTTGCTCGTCAATTTTACGCCCCTTAAGAGTAATGGAAGTAATTATTCACTTCGTTTTATGGGGTCCGAATGACCTTTAAGCTTGGATGCGAACATTATAAGAATAAAACTAGCCATGCAATAACCATCGTAATTTTATAATCATAGAACCGCATACACATCAGAAAGTTAATATCAATTACAAACAATATTACATCGAATGTAATATCAACGCAAAATATGTCAGAAAAAACTGGCAAGAAATATGAGCGCCGATTTAGAAAAGAGAAAGGTCAAATTCGTATAAGACTCCAGTAAATGGGGTTTAGACCCTTAAACTAATGAAATGGGGGGGGGGGGGAGATATCGACAAGATTTGAAATTCAGTATCTTAAATGTCATCTTACGTTTCTCACTGAAATCGTGAGACTTAATATTTCATGCGGTTAAATTACCGCACAGTGAACAGCACGAACATAATTTCTGTACATTAACATTTTGTAAACCAGAGGTTGGGAGAAATAGCCCATCTTTATTTAATTCGCGGCTAATAGGCTATATTTTATTCCTTTATTTAATGTTTACAACGCACCAAGTAACAGTGAAAATATATTTATGTGTAGGGCGGCACGAAAGGTGCATGTTATTGCAAAAGGCCTAAACGTGAACTGACATATGGCTTCTAAAAAAAATCAAGTAGGCCTATACCCATGAACCACATACACGTAAATGTGGCGTTAAGGAAAATTCTGTACCGCGCACATGTTAAGTTCATACTCTGGCAAACAAAATTGCATTACTCTTGATGTCAGTGCAGTCACGTATGGACAGCTGTACATGACAAATGCCACGTATTTCCGACAGGTGCCGATGCCCTAATTTGATAGTAACTTGACTTGGCATATTGTGCTGTACAACTGATTATTTCCAGCATCTCTCGCGCGTTCTGAATTAAAACAACCCCAGCACGGACATTTAACAATTATGCATTCAATTACATTATTTCCAACGGTGTTTTACAGAATCAAGTTCGTTTGAGTAATACTGAATGTCATTTCGTCTGATTTGCAAGTGATATTTTTCCGTTAATTAAATAAATGCATTCTTGTTTGCAGTCAGATCAATTAATCATTTTATATAACGGGTGACTGAGGACATAAGGTCCGGCTGGTTTAATTCAATGCGCAGTTTAAATGCACGTATAGAAACACTGGTACTCGCAAATATACCCGACCAATAATTTATAGAAAGAAAATGTAAAATAAAGACGGGCCATGCTCAAAGTGAAAACAGGAATGGCACCAAATACTGTGTGAAATTATTCCACTTGAAATTGTATCGTTTCGAAGAAAACAATCACTGAAGGTTGTTTCAGTGGCGCACCCAGGATTTGACTTTTCTTCAAATTTATATAAGTTTAATATTTTTTTCAAAAAAATTTGCCCAACATTTTTGGCCGCAGAATAAAAATTGATTTTTTTTTTTTTTTTTTTTGGGGGGGGGGGGGCTATTTTGACGTTGGTGGCGCCACTTACACCCCTATTGTACTACTCGAAAATAGGCCACATACATATCATCAAGGGCAAATCTAGGACATTAATTAAAAAAAAATACCCCAAAAAATGTAACAACCTCTGGGGGGGGGGGCTCAAGCCCACCCGAGCCCAACCCCCCCCCCCCCTTTCGGTGCGCCACTGGGTGGTTTAAAAAAGTGTGCCCGCTGGCACATTTCTTTTAATTTGACGACATTCATTAAGCATTGACCTCGAAGAAGTCACGTAGCCCCATACACACATTTAAACCCGGCTGAATGAGAATCATGTCCCCAATGCTGATTGAAGGATTGAGGGTGCAATTCAAAATATAAACAACTTTTTTGAATAGTTAGAGCCAGTTACGAAACTAAACAATATGCATGGGTTTACTTCGTTTTCTCAAATGTATTTGAAGATAATCAGTGCTTATAAATATTATATACAACGTCCACTAAAAATAACGTTTAAAGGGTTAGTTGTTATGCGCCTTTAAATTTTGAGCAATTTTGTTGCTTGAGCAAAAACAAAAATCACAAATAGCAAATGATCCTGCATGTACACTGTAAAAAGGTTGGATAAAACATTGTTGGGCAATATACTTTACCCAGCATTGGTATGAAATTACCTCATATTGGGTTGAATTGGGTAAAAACTGTCAAACTATTGGGAAGAATTTGCCCAAGAGTGTAGGCAGTTGATAATTCGACGAGCATTGGTCGAATTATCAACCCATTTGTCCAACTTTTTTACAGCGTACCTTTAAGGGAAACGAGACGTCTACTCTATTGGGCCAAATGTTATTCAAACTCCGAGTACCTTCGAATCTCAAGATCGAACCGATCTCTAATTTGATTTACAAATTGTGTACAGGCCTACATGCTTATATCCGTTTAGTCAGTGCAACGATTTGGAAAATTCAATAAAAACGCGAGGTTACGAGCTGCCACGCGCGCGCTTCGCTTACTATATAACCCTCTTTGTTTATAATATAGACCAGTAGTATGATTTAATACATTTTTACTGTCATTTTCGCTATCAAACTACGTAAAATGACATGATTTATCAGCATAACAATTCAGCACAAATGTGACTATCGGATAATATTGGTTCGTAGGACACACACACAAATTTAATTGTCTAATTTATTCAGCTGGCCAGTAGCGTTGGGGATTTTATTTGCAGGCGGTATACAGCTGCCAATTTACTACCAAAGTGGACCATAACATTTTCTGACCTCGTAAAATGTTTAATTGCGGGAGTGGGCGGGGCGATGCATTTCAACAATTTGTTGAAAAACTATCAAACTAACTAGTTTATGACAAATGATACCGAAAACAGTTCACACTCACCTTGCACGTATACACAAAAGTGCAACATTTTTTCGGTACCATTTGTCATAAATTGCATAATTTTGTACACATTATCACTGTTTTGGGGCCAAACAAAGAGTGTGGCTGGATTGCTAAGGAATTTCTGTACTGATCAGTCGTAATTTGAGCAAGATGTGCCCAGTAGTTTTAAAGTTAGACAAAAAAGTATTCAGGGGGACTTTCTTTTTTGAATGAGTGTAGATATTAAGCCAATGTAAAAAATTCCAGGATGATATTGAATTTTGTACTCAGATTATATCATGATGAAGTGGCTGTCGTTTCAAGTTGTGGTCGTGGTCGTTGTCGCGGCTGTCACACAGACCAAGGGACAAGGCAAGTGGCACTACAGAACGCAAGACGACGGTGACATGCACGGAGGGGTGCCGATGGGTATCCCCAACGACCAGTGCGATAACGCCAGGGTGAGGACTGTAACACAAATCAATTAAAAAGTTCTTTACTATTTAAAGTCCGTTCTTTTTGGGTGTTCCAAAACATCTTTGAAAGTTTGAGGTTTCAAACAGGAGCGACTGCGTCCAAGACTGACTGTTGCAATCTTTCTGAACGACGTACGTTGGACTGTATGAAAAAGGGACTCGTGGGTTGTATTACGGGGTGCATACCTTTGTTCCCCAACCCTAACCCTAACCCAAACCATCTAACCCTCTATCCCTAACCCTAAGGATTTTGGGGAACATAGGTATTGGGGAATGTCGGGTAGACCCCATATTGCGCATGCGCGTTAGTGGACATAATTAGGAAAGAGCCAGGTCACGTGTGAGGGTTAAAGTCCATATAAGGTAAAAGAGACCAGATTTAGTAGGAGTCCAAATTTCATATGATACCGCTCCTTGAGAAAAGGAGGCCAATTTCAAGTCCTAATGGCTGACTGCTTGCATTTCCCTTCGTTTCAGGATCATCTGGAGGTCGACTGGGATAAGTCGAGAGAGGACTACGAATGTATGGGATCAACTTACACAAATGAAATGGTAAAGAATTTATGCACACAGATTAAATAATACATGTATACCTTATTGACATTCGCATTGCATCACGGGTATGGATATCAAACAAGCAATGCAGTTTATGAACAAACATATGGAGGCATGCAGTCAAGCTTTGAAATATTTTTGAGTGGTCGGGCACAACCCGACCACTCTTTGGATTTGTCGCGATTAATATTTCTTTCTTTCTTTTTTTCTGCATAGCACGTTTCCGCGGGTTTTCTCCTAAACGGTATATGATATGAACTTGTAACTTTTAACATAAATTGACCCTCATTCTGAGTGGTGCATATCGGGTGTCAAATTACAAGCGATTATCGTTAAAAAATGACGATCTTCTTTCATCTATAACTCTTCAACAAAATGATCAATTATGCTCCAACCTTGTAATCAGATAGACCATAAATTGATAAACATTTTTTTGTTGTGTACGTGAACTCGCTTGACCTTTACTTCCGGGTCTACCGGAAGGTCAAAGTTAGGTGAATTCAAAATGAAGACATTAGCCTGAAATAGAAACAAAGCACAATTGCTTCCAAACGGTTTACGGTATGATCATACAACCTAGTGTGAACTTGAAACATGTTACGAAGATGTTATAACTGTTGTTACGTCATCATGACATCATCAGGTATCAAATCACAAGCGATTTTATTGCACGATTTGACAAAATACTTTGACCTATATCTCTTGAACTAAATAGAGTATCATGTTCGTTTTTTCGTGAGGCTGTAGACGGTGCCTTGAGCAACATTTCTTATTCCCGGGCACAAAACTGCTTGACCTTTACTTCCGGTGTTACCGGAAGTGCAATAGAAACTGAATCTAACTCTAAAACGGAAGCATTTTACTACAGACAAATACATTATGGAAGTGTTAAGTGAGGAATGCCAATCACAAAAACATTATTTTGACGTCATCCACGAAAGGGCGCCCTCCAGCGGCACATAGAAAACAGTTTAATCTTTTAAAACGTTAAAACCCTCAATCAAATTTTTATGATATACTGCCCCTATATATCCCGTGAGTAACCACAAATGAATTGTCCAATGTGGTCCAATGGTTACCGTGTTCGATTTATGTGTCATGGTACATATGGGTTCGAATCCTTACGGGGAACAAGGCACTTTTACTGCTTCGTCCTTCGGATGGGACGTAAAGCTGTAGGTCCTGTGTGTTGTGTAATGCACGTTAAATTACCCAGTAACACTTGTTTTTCTTTAACACAGCTTTTAAGTACCACCTAATTCCACCTTACCACCTCACCATACCACCTTGGCACCTTACCTCACCTCGTCCCACCTCAACGGGGGTCGAAATGCTCATAATACACTATAAAGTCTACTGGTTTGTTTCCTTTTGGGGGGGGGGGGGTTCCTGTGGTCAATGACACTGAGGAAGCCTTAGTTGAAGATGATTGCCTGCTTACTTTTTGTCTCATTTTTGGATGAAGGATCCGGCAACTTTGCAACCTGCGCAGTGTTCTACTCTTCTGGACCCGGTAAGTAACCCCGGTTAAAAACCCCAAAACATATGTTTGCAAATTCTAAATCTAAAATTGCATACTGTAAAATTTATTTTGAATTTTGATTCAGTGTACGTCCACTTTTTGGCAGTTCTTAGAAATATGGTTGTATGGAAACTGGCTTTGAAGCTTACCACAAGTCAATCACAAGTCATCACAAGACAAAAGAGTTGACAATAACAAATTAATTCACACGTCATTCAAGTTGACAAAAGCAGTATTCATCCCATCTTGCGTGTGACCGGCCTTGTTCTTTGACTTGCGATTGATTTGTGATATGATCGATCAACTTCACAAACTTCACAATGTTATTATGTCTACCGACAGCCGATCCACGTATGTTTGCCCCAGCCCATCACCTATCGCGACCCAATCCCGACATCAGGAGCACACCGCCCCCTATGGGCCAAGTTTGGCGAGTACCTGTACCTGCCGAAGCAGCGATGGCTGCACAATCTGGAGCACGGCTGCGCGGTGTTCCTGTACCACCCTTGCGCCGATCCTCAGCAAGTCCAAGAGATGCGAGTCATTGCCGATCTCTGCCTGCGGAAACACATCATCACTCCGTTGAAGGAACTGTCCAGAGAAACGGTAAGATATATATGGCTTAATGTCAGGGATATACCAAGACATTTGAAAGGAAGTGGCTTACTTATGAAATACGACATGTTAGCTTAATGGAGATTGGCAAGCCTCTTCTTAGGGTGCATCCAAGCGTGTTATTCTTGGTGCAAGAGTATACTCCCGGTCAGACCGAGAGTATACTTGTGCTAGCAGGTCGTATTCCTCCCGTTCGTGCACTCGGGAGTATTCTCGTGTTAACACGAGTAGCACGCTCAAACACCCTTAGAGTAAGGTCGAGAAGAATCCTTTATACATGTTGACAGTATACGTATTACATATACGAAAAGAGTGGTTCGCTGTTTTGACGAATCCAGGCACACAATCACTATACAGTCACGAGGCCCCCTTCAATGGAGGAACCATTGTGCACGCTATTGTACAAAGCAACTGCCGTGTGACAGGTTGCCTGAACAAAAGCTAGCACAATGCATCAATCTGACCGATCTAATCTCGCAAACAGTTTTAGCAGCGTGAGCTCAGTTGACATCGAGGACACAACATTGACATCGAGGACACAACATTGACATCGAGGACACAACATTTTCCTCCCCAATTGCAACTTCATCCCCCCATAATCAAGGCGTTAATCCAAAAAAAAAAAACACTGGTGAAAAAAGGTAAGGAAAGATATTGCAGACCACTGAAGACCCTTGTCATAACTTTCCAAAGCCTTGAAGGTAAAGTTGCAGAGCTCCCAACATGCCTGGCAATAGATGACCCCGAGAGATTTTTCCAAAAATGTAAAAGTAGTGAGATTTTTCCAATAATGAGAGAGCCTTTGCATTGAGCAGCAATCTTTGAGGTGAATTTTTGTCATTAATTCATTATTTATCCATTCCCATTGGTCAAGTGCCCGTCAAGTTAGTGGTTTTAAACAGTTGATAAAACTATGACTGGTTTTAAACACTTTTTCCAGCACATCGTGCAGTATGCACCAATTTCCATATAAGGCACAAAACATGAATTAAATTTGTTGTACAAAATCGTTGGAAATTTATATTTTTTGACTTGTTTTGACTTTTTGACCAAAAGGTATTAATGAATGGATTTGGCTTGGGCCAATATCAGTGTCCAGCAGGCCCTTGGCCAGTTTAAGAGCACTTGTTTAAGCGGCCAAGCACTTACTTAATCCCTTAAAACTGTTGAAACTTGTTATGCGCATCTGCAGTTGGAATAGAGTTCCGAAGTGAATACATCAAGTGCACAATTATGTGTGTAAAAGACATTGCCGTGTGATTCAGCCAGTGAACCAACACACACGTGCATACTCCATTCGTTTGCACTACACTTTCCGGTTCTAAATGACGTCACACTTCGGTACTCTATACTGATATGGCTTATTAGTAATGGGCAACTGACTGACATGTTCTTAATGCCTTTCTTGATTATAGCCATTTGCGGTACTTACCTACGGGTGTAAACTCCTCCTGCCTTACGTCGATGCAGACCGAATCATCAAGTTTCTCCAAGATCACGCCCTGGATGCACCCGAGTCCCGCGTGACGGAGGACGGACAATTTGGGGTCGGACTGGAACGGCCGGCACGTCAGCACATGTACATGGATGACAGCCCCAGTAGCATCTGCCAAAATTTTCAAGTATGGGAGGAAACTTTGTAGGGAACTGAATGCAGGGTCTGGGCAGGGATTAATTGCCATTACTGCTGGGTGGGGACTTTTTGTCGAGGACAAAGTGGGAATCTGCACAAAGCTGGAATTCCCAATTTGCCTGGGTGGGCAAAGTGGGCATTCTAATACTGCCTGGCAATGTAGGAATGAATCCAGAACTTATACATGAATCCATTTGCATAAAAGTTGTAATTAAAAAATGATTCCTACTTTGCCCAGGTCCAGTAATAGCGCAATGTGAAAATGTTGCCGATGATCACTTCCGGCACCTCCCCCTTAGGTTCAAGTAGGTAAGAAATAGGCCTAACCTTCCAAAATATTGGCATTCCCACTTGATTCCAACTTGATTCCCACTTTGCCGAAGTTTTGCTACAGCGCACTGTGGGAATGCTGCCCGCAAACTGTCAACAGATACATTTCAGATAGCGGTTTTGCTGGACTAAATGTTAGATGTACAACTGCATTCCTACTTTGCCGCGCAGTATTGGAATTTCCACTTTGCCCTGGGCAAATTCAGATTTGCCCAGATTCCCGCATTGCGCATGACACCTTGATTACTAGAGTATTTGTGAGTGGTTTATGCTACTCATTGTTCTACTGGTGATTTTTAATCAGCTTGAGTACTTGTCATGGCATGAGCAGAAGCAGGTACTCACGAGTAGCAATTTGTTTCGTAGGAGTATTGATCGACCGAGTCAACAAGAAATGACTCGGTGCAGAATTTGCTGTGACTGGCAAGCAGTTTGCTTGTTGTTACTTTGAATTCACATCATAATATGTACATGTCATTTTTTCTGCTTTTGCAGGAATTTAGTTAACTACCCACGAGTACTCGACTGCTCGCGAGTAATTTCTCTTCTAGTACTCGAGCTGAAAAATTACCAACTTAAAACTCGCCCAGGTCTAGCAACAGAAAGCAGATAAATGATGTATGTGTGTAATTAAATGGAAAAAAAGAGAAGAAAAACGAGAAACAAAATACATAGAAAGGTTGAAGTTTGACAATGGTACACCGATAACAATTCTTATTATAATATTATGGTTTTAGTAAAACGTGTAGTTTTGATAGATTTTGTTTTGTTTTGTATAAAGGGGTGCATTATAATTAGTAGTGCGATGATTTAGAAATGCTTTTAAACGTATAGTAACAATTTAGTAAGTGGGAAAAAGAAAACAAAAGCTAGAAAGGGGTTCCTGAGTGAGTCTAAGAAAAACCAGTGATGTAGTCAAGTTCATCACAAGTCCCTGCAAGTCCATCACAAGTCCTCCAGTCCCAATTCAACTCACAAGCTATTCAAATGAGCTTTGACAAAGGCATTCCTTTGTTATTGTTCATCCACTGTTACTTGTGACTGGACTTGTGATTTACTTGTGATGGACTTCATTATATCCCTGAGATAAACAATACAGGTGTCACAAAAAAAAAAAAAAATTGATATCCAAATTGAACAGCATTAGTTTATCCATCAGCTGACTGTATGGGCTCCGTGCACCAACAAAAGAGGGGGCGTTTCTACCACTTTTTGAGAGCCCCTTGGACGAGACACCTCGTGTGCGTACGGGACTGGTTCGCGCACAAAGTACGCACAACTTATTTATCCTGAATGTGCACAAAGCTAAGCCATCGTATCTTCGCGCGTGAGCGTCAGGCGTTGTCGGCACGCGAATATGTCGAATTTAACTTGCGACAATCTCGCAGACTAATCCCCGCCCCCAATAACTTTGGATCATTCGAAATATACGCAGTGGGTGGACCGGGAACCAGTCTAGGTCACCCCAAACTCTCCATTTTTGGCCGTTGAAAGGGTACTTGTGCATGGAGCCCATACCTTACTGTATGACAGTGTAACTTACCAGTAGGGTGCTGCATTAAGCATGCATGATGCATGATTGTGCAGAAGTAGGCCAATCATACTATAGGGAAGGTAGCACAGCCAAGACGCTTTGCAACCAATAAGGGCAACCTCAGGTTGACCTGCGATTTGCTTGCGCCGCGACGAAACCCTCTACATCGAGCATGAAAGTAATGCTCAGGTCATAAAACTGAGAAATCGTGTGATTCGCGTGGAACAAGCGGCATCTCGACAAAAAATAATCGCAACCTTGCTCACGTCGCCCACGACGCGCCAATTCCTTGGCATAGACATGATCATTTGACGTCTTCAAAACGGCGTTGTGCGTGTTGATAACAATCGAACCAACTCCCAGGGCCATGTCTGTCCATTCGACCATTTTTACCGCACGCTGATTAGCTACACCATGAAATAAGATGATCCGGATGGGCACACGACGTCGTAACTTCACACGGGTTGACTGAGATTGATTCCTGCCTGTCGGGACCACGTTCCATTGCGGCGCAGAAGTTGAAATTGTTTTACTATTGGAACTGTTGATTTTTTGTTCGCACGAATGATGCCGATCGTCTTAATATCGTCGCAGTTAAACTGATATGCTCCTGACGGTTGTAGCTCAGGCCCAGCTCGATCCTGAAAAGCCAGTCGCTGACTGCTCTGTGTCGTCGCAAGGCCGACATGAGGGCGGCCTTAGATATTAGAAGCATGAGGCCGTTGCCTGTCCTCATATACACACGTGTGGTATGAGGTCATGTCTCCAGTCTAACCAGCAGCATAAGAATCTCATCATGAACCAAAATAAAAGAGTACATGCAGGGAGGTTTTTTAAGTGGATGTAATCACATTAAAGGGGTTGCAATACTAGTCTTATCAATCTGAGAAACTGAGACATAGAGGAAAAACAAGGAACAAAACATAACAAATGCAGTAGGGAAAAATGGAAAGGCAAGAGACGAAATGCAGAACACAATTATGTACCGAGATATTTTATTTACAGCTTGTACATATGATGTACATTTCAGTATATCAATTAAATATCCAAAGTAATGTACTAATGAAATAAATACATAGAGAATACATGGCAATTAAACATGCACGGTCTTGTCAAGTCATTTCAGCTGTCGATGGAAAATCGGCCTTCCAATGGTAAACAACATTCTGGTATGATGACAGGTTTTTGAACGGTTGAGACAGGTTTTTCAATGGTTGACAAATCTACCATATCTGGCTATCATTAAGGTTTAAGGAGCTTAGATTAACGTACGGACATTTATTTTGTGGTTGCAGATCGCAAACAGTCACAACTGAATATGTTTTCAATTACAAGTCAATTTAGCAAGTTAGGTCATACGTAACAGTTGATGTTCAATCTTGAAGCATTCCCTTTGTCAGAATTCATATGAATAGCCGGCCACTACACTTCAGGTGACTTGTGATTGATTTGTAATTGACTTGTGATTGACTTGTGATTGACTTGTGATTGAATTTTGATTGAATTGTGATTGACTTTTGATTGAATTGTGATTGACTCGTTATTGAGTTGTAACTGACTTTCGATTAACTTGTGATTGAGTTGTGATTGTTTTGTGATTGAATTGTGATCATTGAATTGTGATTGACTTGTGACTGACATGTGATTGACATGTGATTGACATGTGATTGACTTGTGATTGAATTGTGATCATTGAATTGTGATTGACTTGTGATTGACTTGTGATTGACTTGTGATTGAATTTTGATTGAATTGTGATTGACTTTTGATTGAATTGTGATTGACTCGTCATTGAGTTGTAACTGACTTTCGATTAACTTGTGATTGAGTTGTGATTGTTTTGTGATTGAATTGTGATCATTGAATTGTGATTGACTTGTGACTGACATGTGATTGACATGTGACTGACATGTGATTGACATGTGACTGACATGTGATTGACATGTGACTGTGACATGTGATTGACATGTGACTGACTTGTGATTGAAATGTGATTGACATGTAATTGACTTTTGATTGACTTGTGATTGACTTTTGATTGACTGTTACTTGAATTGTGATTTACTTTTGATCAGCTATGGAGGAGTTGATTGTAACTCTTGCTTAAGTTGATAATTGGTAATTTTCAAAACAAATTGGCGGGGGGGGGGGGGGGGGGGGGTATGCATGATGGGGGAGGGGGGTGTGCTGATAATAAATTATGCAGAGATGGCATTGAGGCAAGACTTGCGTATGCACATCTCCCAGACGTCCAGCATCTGCGTCAGAGAGAATCTGTCTGGCATTCTCTTCAGCTGAGATGAGAGGGTTTGCTGGACTGACTGGAGGAACGGTGTTTGATCTGTGGACAGAGAAGAAATCAATATACTCTACTCAGACAAAATGATGCTTTCACTGATTGTATCCTCAGCTATTAACAAAATAAACCATAAAAAAACCCCAAAATGAGTATAGTGTTTATAAAAATACATAGGTGAAGGGCAAAACCCAAATATGAGAATGAGTTCCCCTATGCAAATTCCATCCTATAAATACTTTGGTTGCGGAGCCCACTGCTATATCAGATTCGAACCAGCACCGAACCTGGCAAGCTCAGTGGTTGAGTGGTAAGATGTCTGCACTAGTAAGCAGGAGGTCGTGGGTTCCAGTCCCACCCGAGTAAGCTTGTGAATTTGTTTCTTGCAAGCCCTTGAACAACACTGATACACTAATATTGAAAAAACAAACCTAAAAAAACATTCAAAGAAAAGAATACATGGCACCTTTGTTAGAATTTTGGAATTTATGAAAAACTGCCATGAATGGACATAAAATGTGGACAAAACTGGACAGATGTATAATCTACATAAACATCCTGTACCTAATAACTCTCTTCCCTTTCTTCTTCTACAAGAATATCCTAACTTTTACTTCTGAATTGTTCACACTTTCCATCTCTCTATCTTGAAACCACTACTAGCCCTCAGATTAAGCCAAAGACCTAAACAGAACTTACTTATCAATGCAAATGTGGTTAGAATTCTATCTTGTTTTGAAAAATATTGCAAATGTTCAAATTAATCTTCATCGGCTCTGAAAGTTCTGAAAACTGTGATGGCAATGGTCAGTGCTTACTGTATTCCCGTGTGCTTGTATCCCAATGTGGGCTGACGTCAGGGTAGCTGTGGGGAACGGTCACGGCTATGGGTGGTACACTCGGCAGCCTCTTATCCTCTGAAAACAACCAAAACCACACGACAACAATTTTAAACAAATTCCAACTGATTCAAAACACTTTTTATTTTATAATCACAAAAGGAAATTATGTACTTTAAAATGATTTTATAGAATTGAACAAATAAATTGACTGAAGCAGGGTTTGGACCTGTTAACCACCGGATTGCCATAATGGTGCTCTACCAAATGAGCTATCCAGCCTCATGTCGGGGTTCCCCAATTTCTCAATGCTTTGTTCAAGGGGGGCACAAGTAAGAAGCCATAAACCTGCAAATGCCATGTAGCCAGGGATAACGCCCAAGGTCACAATATGCTAGCAACATTAGCAATGCTGCAAACCTGGAAAAGCTAACAGGGACAAAATAGGCAACTGCCAACATCGGGCTTGATGCTCAGATGTTGCCAAAATGTTACATTTCAAAAACAATTGCTGCAGAATGTTAAAAGTGAAGATCAATCCATATATGCTACAATTTGGAAACCATTTCCCTATTGAAAGCAAAATTTATTTCCTGGACACTGACGGAGTATGTAATAAAAAATATGTCATGTTGGATTACCTAGTTTACATATGAGGTGTACATCACTACCACCGAGGTGATGCGCATCGTCTAAGCTGACTTTGAACTTGGAGGCTAGCCTGGCCACTTCTCCCTGCACGATGTTTGGCACGGTGAACGTCTGGGGGTCACTCTCTGTCTTCTGACGTTTGGCTGGGGGCGTGGAGGTAGGGTAGCTAAGGGGAAGACAAATAAAAAAATGAGTAATTCACGGTTATTTCGTTCTTTAAAGAGTGTCAAGAACTGTGGGTATTAATCATAACAATGTGTATCAACAAAGAATGGTATGCAAGGGGAAAAACTTTGCAAGTGAGAGTAATGTAGGAATCTCTTAGTTGAAAACACTGGTGGTTTTAAATAGAATCAGACATAAGATCCCATTTGAAATTTCTGTTCAAAACTTGAAAATAAGTTCATGTCTATAAAAAAAATCATTTCATACCATATTGCAGGGGTCTTGATGAGTGCATTATTGTTACAAACGTATCTCTTGCAATATCTTTTTGTATCCCCCTCACATTCATCAAGATTGAGGATTAAGGTTGCTTAAAAGTAAGTTTTAAATTAATGTAAAACTGCTGTGAAGCAGCACAAACACCATGCATCATTCAGGATCCAATCACCGGTGTGCCTAGGATGGAAAGATGGCACCCCCGTACGTTATGTATGTAGTGTTATTTTGCCGTGAAGCAAAGGGGTATAGGTTTCAATAAACTGGAACGAAAACATACACACTGACTCTTCTATGTGATTTACTTGTCTAGCCGATTTATTCTGCTTCTGTCTACCGAAAATCATGCCTAAACTTCACTCGTGTTTCCACATATCATCATGCAACTCGTTTTTTTCCTGTTGCGCATACTCTTTTCCCGCGCCTCAAATGTATACATTGTAATCATTTATTGTCTAGCGTATGACCCTGACGACCTCGGCAAGTCTGCCCAGATACGGATACTTTTTATAGGTCTTGTCTGGCGCCCTCTCTTGATCGCAATAATTAAAAAAACGCATGGCCTGACAAAAGATTATTTCGCTACATGTACTTCATGTATACCTTTGCTCACAAGAGAATTTTTTTTTAATAGTTACGGTCATTGAACTCATAATTTACAGAGTTTGCGAAGATCTGTGCTGGTTCTATATTAAGCACATAATGGAGATCCTGAGGACAGAATTCTATGGTAACTCTTTTACGGGTACTTTTACGGGTACCCAGGTACCCGTGTTATACTTCAGTAGGGTACCTGGTTCCCGAACTACCTGTAAATGCACACCACTACATCACAGCCATAATTTGGGCCAATATCTCCCTCTAATTCCTTACTTGGTTGGTGGGCCATGTATTGCCGTCATTCCGGGGCCGAACGTCCGCTGTAGGGAGTGATTCAGTGTGGGTGATTTGACACTCAGCATGATAGCTTCGTACAGCGGTGTGCAGATATTCCTCGACTTGCTGACTGTGGTAGACGCTGTGGGCATGGAGGTAGGGGCAGTAGGGACTGTCGACTGAGAAGTTTGGTGGAATAAAAAATACTCACGTCAGAATGGTTTCGACTCCTTGTTTTCAATCAGACAAATAGTTGGTGGGATGCAGTTGAACTACTTGGGGAAATGGATGCCTTGAACCTACCCGTGTAGGCCCTGTTTGCTAGATCTAAAAACCTCAATCCATTTAAGTCCTCCAATTACTGCCGTGTTAAAATTGGATATAAATTGGATACAAAACCAGTATGCGAACGCGCTGCGTCCCGTCCAGTGAGCTTTCAAAAGTGGTAAAAAAGCACTCTGCATTTTTCACGCAATGGTGTGATGTTTCAGGATGTTCGCGGTGGAAACAGTGCACAAACAAGGATCCCAATTCACCCGATTATCAAGTCTGTTAGGGAAGTATTACTGAGATAACTTACCATTTTATTAGGATCCAGGCTGTTGGTCTTATTACCACCCATGTCTTTACGGAATTCTGGGAATGCATGAGAAAAAACTTACGTTCATTTGTGTAATTTGAAGTAGTAGCATAATTCTTTGTATTGTCAATTACAAAGCAAAATGGACACAACACTATTCAAGGAACAACACTACAAATACCTAAACCAAATTTATGGGTTTTTGGCTATTCAGCAAAAAATGGCTAATTTCATTATGTAGTTCATGTTTTCTTTATTTTATTCACACACATGATTTCAGTATTTATTATCTATATGTACACAAAATTCGACTCATTTTTGCGAGAATCAGGCAGAGAAGTTGCTAAAGAACATGTCACTTTTGGGACTGCATATGAGCGCACCAGACTTTTTGACAACCATTACAATTGCTCTCTCAGGAAGTAAATATCTTGTCTATTAATAACAAATACAGCAATAATTACAAAACTCATCATAGACAAAGCAATTCACACAACAAAAATATGGTAGACTCTAGATTGTTTTGGAAATCCACAAGGCACACAAAGAATCAAAAGCTGTTCAAATAGGGGGTTTTTTTTGAAAAAAAGAAGGTATTTTTGAAACTTGAAAACTGGCAGATACAGAGTATGCAACGTACCCTCCTCCTTGCTAGCTTTCTTTGTGGGCTGGATGTACTTGGACATCTGCTTGCGTTTCTCGGCGTAGGCCTGCTGATCGTACCCTTGTCCTGCTGCTTGAGCTTTGCCGGGACTTGGCACGGGGCCAACTGAGCCTGGGTTACCTAAGGTAATAATGCATTAAAAAACAACAACACAGAATGCTGAAACAAAAGAAACTGGACAATACTTTGACTGTTCTGTAAAAAAAAAAGTTGTCGCTACTTAAAAAACCATAAATAATGAAAAACATTTATGATACATCACTATCACATTAAAGGTAGGGTAGATCATATGTCAATTGTGCATTTTTGGGGGTTTGAAGCCCTTGTCCCGAAACTTGACCACAGAGTTTTCTCTGGGTAGTTACTTTTTAAACAACAATATTTGTCAGCAATATATACAACCATCCCCTCCCCCCCCCTCCTTAAAAAATTGTACCTGGTGTGTTCAAGGGACCACTTGGGGACGGGACGCTGGGTGGACCGCGCTGAGAACCGGCAGGGGAGGGCTGCTGTGGTGACGGGGACGGCTGAAGATAACTGGCTGGAGACGGCATAGGCTGGGACCTTGCACATTATGGAAATCAGAAAATGACTTCAGAACAATATGTACAATGCTTGTGGCACAGGCTAGGAAACTCAAAGAAAGAACCTCAATTTTGGAAACAATGATTTTTTTAAAGTTGAACAAAGAAATTGACAGGAGCAGGGTTTCAACTTTTGACCTCCGGGTTGCCGTTCCGGTGCTCTACCAACTGAGCCATCCAGCCCTATATTGGCGGTTCCCCATTTTGTCAATGTCTTTGTTCAAGGGGCGCTAGTCAGAAGCCAGAAACCTGTATATGCCATATAGCCAGGGATCACGCCCGAAAGCACGATGCTAGCAAAGTTAGCAATGCTGCAAACCTGGGAAATAGCAAACGAGGATCACTGAGAGAGGATACGGCTCATTTGGAAACAATGATAAAATTACCATAAAAGTTATGGCTGTTTGTGAAGTAAGAATTTATCGATGGGTCAAAAAAGTAAAAGTAAAAACTGAGAAAAAGGCCTTTAAACTTTTGACTATTTTGTAGCCATGATAATGGAAGACGGGTTTCCTTAAAGACGCCTTTAGTCCACGATTTTTATACCACTTCTTTAAAATATGTGAAGAAGGCATATCAAAGATTATAAATATCAATAAATTTGAAAATCAAAAAGAGAAAGTCCATCTCATTCCTTTTTTTTTTTTTTTTGCATTTTTCTCCACGATGGCCTGTGCCCAGTTCTGTCTCAATTTGCCAGAACGCCTCACATATATCAAAGATCAACAATGCTAAAATCAAGGGTTCACGCTCAAATTTGTTTAACTGAAAATGAAGGGGGTGTTTGTTTAACACGTCCCAGATGCTTACCCCTGGCTTGCAGGCTGAGAGGCTGGTGATGGCTGCTGGGTCATCGGCTGCAAATAAACCAATCACAAACCAAAATCAATGAACGTTCTTTGTCTTAGTTTGGAATCTTCTATGGAAAGTATATTGCATCCTGACGCCACTTATTTTCATAGTATGTCATCTCAATGAAGGTCATTCGTGCAAAAATGTTGAAAAGACATGAATCTGGGACTGTGAAACATTTCCAATTTTGATGGAAATACTTAGAAAATGTTCTTGACTCTCCATAGACTTTGCACACAACTGCCGAAGTAGCGTCTGGATACTACATTCTAAATTTCCTCCTCTATCCTCAGCAGGCATAACACATACGGTAGTTATTGTGTGTACAAAGATACACCACTTCACTGGTTTAGCACTGAGTTAAACAAAGTTCATGTTGAAGAGTGTACACACCATCGGTCATTATCGTAAAATCTACTTAAATACAGTAACTAGCCAATAACTAAAACCTTACGCAATTAAAAATATTTTTTTAAAAACCTTTTGAAACATTTCATCTCGGCAGGTTGTGCCTTTTCAAAACTCTGAAGAAAACTCAGGTTTTCAGATACATTTAATAATAATAATAATAATAATAATAATCGGCATTTAAGAACGCTCTTATTAGTAAACTAAATCACAGCGCTTACAGTATTATTATTACCCCTGATCACTGGACCAATTGAACATTCCAAATACCATCTCAGCTCCCTGGGGAGTATACAGCTCGATGCAGCCTGTTAGGCGCAAGCAAGCTAAATCAATCACAATAACCATCTCTGCCCTCATAGGTACCCGTTTACTCCCGGGTGGAGAGAAGCAATGTGTGACAAAGTGCCTTGCTCAAGGGCACACGCACCATGACCCCGGCTGGACTCGAACCCACAACCCGCAGCTTTACCCACAGGCCACGAATCCAGTGCCCTTAACCACGAGGCCACAGCACTCCAAAAGTTGAATTTCAGGGGACGCAATCTTAAAGATTTTGACAAAAACTATGCTGGTACTTTATTTCTTGACCAAACAAAACATTTTTAATTGCGGAAACAAAATTTTGACCAATTTTAGATTTCTCCACAAGTTGAATACCTTTTGGATATTCGTTACATTACTGCAGAACTCTCTCAAAATAACAAAAAAACAAAAAAAACACAGAAATTCTGAGGAGTATAATCCCTTGAATCACAGCAAATCAATATTCCACATGCACACAAGTGTCCTGTCTGCACAGAGCACAGAACCAAAATAAATGGGGCATGATAACATCAAATGCAAACATCCGTGTCCAAAACCAACTACAGAGTCTCCCAACATTATCACTTTTTGCTGGGTAATCAATTGCGACCTGTCACCACAAAATGAGCATAAAGTCGGAAATTGCCATTTTGCAGAACAGTGGGGCAAAGCCAAAAATTGAAGGGTTGGTCGATTTCCTGTTTTCAGGTCAAATTCAATCGTTTAAGTCCTGTTCTACTTTTACAGATTTTTTTGTTCTTTCAAACATCTTTAAAAACCTACTTTCATCCCGTTTTTTTCATGCGACTATTCATTCACTGGAATACAACAGTGGGATTTGTAAATGCCATTTTCTCACAAATTACTTTTAACCTGTTAGCGCAGGAGGCCGTGATTACACGCAAAAGTTTTGCGGTATTGAGAATGGATGATAGATAAACACGCTATTGATACTGGGCAAATTACGACTGGAAATACAACTAGCATTCACAACTGCCCTCTTTTTTTACGACCAAACTTTTCAGAGGCCAAGCCGAGACAAAGTGGCTTTAATTTGTGGCTGTAATTATAAGCAACATTCCTATAAAGCTGTAAGAATTCAAAGAAATGTACAAAAATCCAACAGGAAGATTACAGAAGAGAAAATGTGCTCATCACAGCCTCGAGCACTCCGTAGCAGATGCTTCACTAACACTGGTTTTTATTTGAGTCCAAAATAATAAACGTTGAAGACTGATTTCCCTTCATTATTAAAAATTTATAACATGTCTTTGCAAATCAGGTAGAACTGGCAGGGTGGGTGGTGTTTAAATTTGGATTTGTTGTGGACTCTGAATCTGATAGAGGTATGAAATGATCGAGGAAAAGAATGATATATTTTGTTATTCGGCAAAAATTATGCAAGTGAGCTACATGCAACGATTACACCCATCATCGATCATGCAAAGCATATCTTCGTGTGTTATCTTTTGTGTGAACTTTATTGTAAAAATGCAAGAAAAGGCATGAACATGAAGCAAGCATAAAGAAACCAGGCTTATGGTACATTATCAATATTAATGTGTATTTATGCGCATGTATCCACCAGTATTGGTGCTCAAGGCGCTACATCATTATTACCCTGCTCATTGGGCTAATGAAACATTCCAAATACCATAGGGGAGTATACAGCTCGATGCTGCCATTTCGGCGCAAAGCAGCTAAAATCAATCACAATAACCATCTCGGCCCTCACAGGTAACCAATTTACTCCTGGGTGGGGAGAAGCAGTGAGTGACAAAGACAAAGGGCACACGCACCATAACCCCAGGCTGGACTCGAACCCACAACCTGCAAAACTACCCGCAGATCACAAATTCAATGCTCCAGACCATGAGGCCAGGCACTCCACATCAATGTAAAGATGAGACTGTCTAGAAATAAACACATTTTTTTAAAAGCATGGTTTCACTTTGTGGAGCAAGCACTTCAATTTTTTTGTAGAGCAAGCCTTAGCATATAGAAAAAAAATATAGAAAAGTTAGATTATCAGGAAAGGGCAAGTGCCACCAAATGATTTGGAACAAATGATTAATTTTATTTTTTTATTGTGCATTTGTCTAGAAGCAAGCATTACCGACCTGTGGTGACATCAGGAAGTGTTGGCCCCCATACGGGGACGTTGGTGGGCCCTAGTGGTCAGTAAGCAGCAATGGAGAGAAGCAATGTGAGATAAAACAAAAGCGGTTAGTTTTACAGCACTGCAAACGGAAATCAGCACATGATCATTACTGGATTGATGAAATATGCCATTTGGTCACCTCTGGTAAGGAGAGATACATTAATAGTAAAAGTGTGGAGTGTTATAGCCAGGCAGATTTCTCAAATTTGGGGAGACACGTTGAAAGTGTTTTAAGATATTCCAAAACTACAAGATCTTGGTGGTAAATGGTGAAAACGGCATTAAAAGTAAAGCTCAAGTTAAGAAATAGCAGCCATTTACAGAAACATGGTAAAAACTAGTTTGTGCAAGTCTGTATTTTGAATCTTTGATCCAACATATGCGGACACAGATTTGTATTTTCTGACCACCCTCCCTTTATTTTTTAGAATTTCGTTGTACATGCAGGTTTTGTCAAGCTGGGCCAAATGAAGTAGATACCAAAGCGAGCGTGTCCAAGAATATTGGTCCTAACAGAATCATCTGTGTTTTACATCTGCTCATTGAGATCATATTCTTTAGACCCATTTTGTTCCCTGGGAATATGGCTGATGCTCAGTGTCAATTAGGGCAAAAAATTAATTGAAATTAAAATCTATATAACTAATCAACAAAATCTTGAGTTTAAACAAGCGATGCACTTGTCTGTTCTTTTCCATGTCATCACCAAATTTTCAACCAAAACTGGTATAATTCCGAATTTTTCAATTATGTAAATTTTGGGACTCTATACAGACCTGTGGGGACATCACAAAAGCCTGGCCAGCGCCAAATGGGGACATGGGTGGCGCCTGTGCAGCAAAATGGAAGAGTTCGTGGAGAGAGAGACAGTGTTAGGTGTTAGTACTTGGTTAGCGGTTAAAACAAATTATAACACGGCTATTAGGATTGATTGCACAAAACAATGGACAACTTTCACATAAAAAAGGAATGAAATGGTGCAATGGGAATTTGCCAGGCTTTTGATGCAGGAATTATGGAAGCCAAAAATGAAGTGCTGTATAGAGTAGGAAACTAGCGAGAAAAAGGAAGCCAAAATTCACCAGGACAGAATAAGAATTCCCTATGGTATAAGAATTCCCTATGGTAAAGGAATTCCCTATGGTATAGGAATTCCCAATGGTATAGGAATTCCCGGTCGAATCAGAATTCCCTATAGTATAGAAACTCATCACATGATAAGAATTTCCAAAGTCACAGGAATTTGTCATGCTATAGGAATTCATCATGCCATTGGATTTCAAGGGGCTACATATACCACTAGAATTCATCATGTTACTAGAAGTGCCCTTGCCAAAGGAATCCACCAGGCTATAGGAATTCATTATGCCATAAGAATTACCAATGCCACAGGAATTCACCACGATTTTAACATCCATTCACCATTGGCATAGGCATGCATTATGTCATAGCATTTCACCATGCCATGTGAATTCACAATCATGAATTATGCAAATTCAATCAACTCATGCAACAGTAAACTTCCCCACACCACAGAAAATGTCCATGTCAAGTTGGAATAAACAAGTCACAAGTTACAATACATGCAAAATCACAAGTTAATATGGATGTGCATTTGAGGAACACAAACAAATTCAGAAAATAAATCTTAACGAAGTTCAAAGGGTAACAGAGTTGACAGTTTAAACTCACTAAAACAGCATACATGTACCACTGACTTTAAGGTAAATTGAAAAAAAAATGTAAACAGCTTTTGAAAGAAAAGCACAAAAGCATACGATGGATAATAGATGCTGCGCTGAACACTTTGTTTTTGAAAATTTGAATTAGGAACATGTACAATTTAATGCCTGAAACAGGAACCACTGCGTCAATAGATCAACTGTTACAATTAATATGATCGACTCTTAGAGTCTAGTCTAAGCACCGTCGATATCAGGAATGTTCAATAATCGATATATCGGAAATCCAATATCAAGAATATTCGATATATCGATTATCCCATATAAAAGTTAAAGACCATAAAGATGACGCTTTGATTTTTAAAAAAATGTTATATCCCAATTTTGAGCATATTGCTCAGACTTTTTAAAACAAATCTCAGCACTGACATTTTGTACAGAACAGTCAGTTTCTTTTTAGGTTTTACATTGGGGGAGACCGTGAATTCCAGGGAACACAGAGCACAAAGCAACGCTGCTTGGCATTCTGCGATGTTTTTATTGAGTCACAAGCACAACTCGTCGCCGACTTTTATAGAGTGATTAGAGCGCAACACATTATGAATCACTGTATGTGATTTTTTGTTTTCAAAATGAAAATAAGACTTTGACAGACGTGATTTTCAACAGATGAGTTTCAAAATACATTTTAGAGCTCATCAAAATAAGTATTGTAGGAGTATGATATTGAACTTGACACGTTTTGTTCCATGCCGAAATCAGACAACAGCACAGTATTCACCAAATGTCTGCATTTTTTTAGACACACTGAGTTAAAAATCACATTTCCAATTCCCCATTTCAATTTTTAAACAGAAAGTCACATCTAGGGGGTTCTAAAAGTGCTGAAATGGAACTCAACTAACCTAACATCTGTGATACACATAACCTTCACTGAATGTACCACAATACATGCTCAATTACAAGGGGGGGAATGCTGTTAAAAAGTGCATAAAAATGGTACACAATAGGCACTGCACAGTTATTGCTCTAACATATCACTGGCTATGAGTTGGGCTCTAGCCAATATGGTACAGGATGACATTTTATCCACATTGTTACAAGTGGCAGGTTTCAAACTCTCGTTTGACACCATCTCAACTAATCTTATCAGTTAAACATTCAGCGATTTATTTCCAAGTCCAAATTAACACAGCTGCTAAGCAGACAGCAAATTCAAATGGTAAGCAAAAAATTAGCGGAATACCAGTCACAAACCCTACATGCATCTCCTGACATTTTGGATGGTAACCAGTTTTTGTGCTAAGCAACTTTTCTGTGCTCAGCAAAGTCGTCTTCATGCTCCCTGACACGTGACCTTTAATTCCCCCACAGCCAATGATAAGAAGGAGCAATCCCTGTAGCTTATCTGCCTGAGTTTACAAACCTGTGGGGACATGTAGCTATAGCCACCGTATGGTGAGGCCGGTGGCCGCTGCGTAAGAGACAAAGACAAAGGTGGAACTTACAACCAAAATGGTTATTATGAAATGCACATTTACAACAAAATCTATCAGGATTTGTTGACAAAATTGAAGTTTGGATATACCTGTATCATGATGTATAGACTAATTCAGCTGCAGCCATTTTCTGCGGTGGCACCAGGCTAGCGTGAGTCGCGCTCAGGTAATACGCACACACTTCGGGCTCCTTCCACCAATAGGGCACAATTTTCAGCTTACACAACTGGGCCCAATTTGAGGGAACTAAACGGCGGCAAATAAGTGCTTACTATGACAGGAAAATTGTGCTAACCTGAAGCACATATCAAGGCATATATATGTTAACTGTTTTTAACCTTTCCAGGTGAAAAACCTTTTCAGGTTAGTACTCTCTTTGCTGTGCTTAATGCTCAAATCACCATGAAATTAAAAAATTATGAAAATATCCCCACTCCATAGAATAAGCACTGCAAAGGCAACTACTTATGAAGGAAAATTGCTTTAACAGAATATTGTATTAAAATGACATCTGCATGCACGTTTAAGCAATCCTACTCAAACTTAGCACGCAGTTTCTTGCTTACTGTTAAAGAGTGCCACAGAATAGGGCATAATCTTCATAAACATGCAAAGAGAACACACTGTAAAAGCTTTGTAGAAAAAGGCTTGCCAAAGGTTGAGTCACTATCTACCGTACCTGTTGTTGCGTGCTCTGTTGTTGGCGTTGCTGCTGCATCTGTTGCTGCTGCTGAATCTGCTGTTGCTGCAGCTGCTGCTGCTGCAGCTGCTGCTGTTGTAGTTGCTGCTGCTGCAGTTGCTGCTGTTGGATCTGTTGCTGTTGAAGCTGCTGCTGCTGTTGCTGAAATGCCTGTTATTTGAAATCAGTAGTACTGATCAGCAGGGTTCGACCTTAACTTTTTTTTCACTAGCCAGCCTATAAACTATAAACTGTGCGAGGGAAATGAAGTTCTTGTATTATTTCTAGTATTTGTACTTTGATTTGTCTACAGTGGTAATGTGTCAAGCCTGTTAAAAAGAAAAAAAGAAAAAAAAAAGAAGTGACATTTTTAAGGCTCCCCCATGTTGTGCAACAGAAAAGCTCAAAGTAATCCGAGGATACACAATTGGTAGAGTACATCATTTGTCATTTGTACATTTTCTTTCGTTTGAAGCCACAAGAGTGCTTTAAATCTAAAGACAGGTGCTTAATAATTAACCCGATGAAGTTTTAGCTCAGTGAATGCTGTGTATTCCGAGAAAACAATATTCTAGGATCTCGATTTCAATTCAAAAGTTGCCGAGTCATGTTTGGAATTGCGCCCTAAATCAGCGTCTGGGACTTGAGCATAAGATGCTGAAGTGACCCTGTGCATTTTAAAGTATTTTTGAGGCTTTGCATAGTGGAGATACTAATGAATGAAAGGTTTGCGGAAACACCATGTGCGAATAATTTCTCAACTAAGAGAATGGTTCTGAAAAGAACCAGAGGTATAAACTCGACGTTCCGGTCAGTATGCTCTGACCGTCTTCAGGAGATTTTCAAATTAGAACTTCAAACCCAGACAAAGTATGTGAGGAAAAACACACTGCATGCATGTGGATGAAGGCATACTGCACATATTATGACTGAGTCTGGTACCTTGAATCCTTGCTGCCCTCTGACATGCTGTGTGCCACCAGGTCCCTGCATCTGCTGCAGCTGCTGCTGCATCTGCTGAGACTGCAGCTGCTGTATGGCATACAATCAAGAAGACAGTTTGGGTTGAGTTTTTAAACTAATCACTTCACAGATCGTACGTTATTGACAATGCATTATACCGCTTCACTTTGCCACAAAAGATGTGATTCACAATACAGTTCACCACGAGTGTACCATGGAGGGGCATTATTTTGCAGAACACCAGCATGGCAAACGTTGGCATCTGTTGCTGAACAAGATTCTTTTTGGCATTTATGTTCAAAGACTAAGCAGGTTTTTTTGTATTATTAAGTTGGATAAACAAGGTTTGCCCCTGAGTGTCAAATCCTATAATTTGAGGCCAATTTCCACTTAGTTCGGATATTAAAAGTTTCCAAAGCTGAACCCGAAGCTGGAGTCAAAACTGGTTTTCGAAAACTCTGATTAAAAAAAAGGAGTGATGCCTTGTACCTTGAATGGTTGCTGTCCTCGGATCATCTGGCCCTGCTGGCCAGGCTGCATGGACCCCATCTGCTGCCCCACCTGGGGAGAATTCATCCCCTGTAGATGGGAACACAAAGGAAGATTTTACGGAGTTGTAAACTGAGTCAATCGCAAGTCAAACAAAAGCCTACTCACAAGTCAGGTTACAAGTAAAAAGAGAGTACACATTACCTGTTGTGGTCCACCAGCCATGAAAGCTGCTTGCGGTTGAGGCGAGTTAGCCGTTCCCGACAGCTGTTTCGCCAGCTGCAGCTGAATTTGTTTCTGACGTTGCTGCAATGTTAGCTGGCTTGCTGCAACAGAAAGATAAGAACAATAGATTCAATTATTTTTTATCTCCCGTTGACCATACCGTTTTAGCTCAAGAGACTATCAAATATGATGGACCCAGGTTGTGGAATTCACTAACCGATCAATTGACCTATTGCTGTTTGTGAATTAGCCACATCCCTTAGACAACCCTATGGGATTCTGTACGTTAGGTTTTGTTTGTCTCAGAGTTTTCGCGTTCCGCGTCCATTTGTATATCATGTAATTGGACAATATTTTACAAATACCGCAATAGGTTAATGGAGGGAATCGAACAATTTTCTCAACCTTCAAAATTATTTTTAATTTGTGTTTGTGGAATGAATATTGTGACTCGGTGAAATCAAATGTGAATTTTTATATTTTCATCTTTACTTCGTCAACAGTTGTAAAGCGCATTGACTGGTCTGTGTTATTGTCCCTGTCTACTGTTTGCATGTCAAGCTCCGCTTTATACTCGACCTCTCTCAGTGACAATCTGGAGAGAGTTACCCTATACGTTGGGTTGTTTGTTTCTTTTGTTGTTTGTTGGGTTGTTTGTTTGTTTGTTGGGTTATTTGTTTGTTTGTCTTCTACCAAACTGCAGTGCCATGTTGCCCACTGGCTGCCATCATCTGCTCCTTGTCCTTCTGTTTACCAGTATGGTGTTTGTTTGTTTACTACCAACCTGCAGTGCCACGTTGCTGCCTAGCTTCCAATATCTGTTATTGTCCATCTGTCCATCTGTCTATCTGTCTTTCAGTCTGCAGGGGTGTTTGTTTGTTTGTTTTCTACCAACCTGCAGTGCCATGTTGCTGCCTAGCTCTCATTATCTGTTTCTGTCTGTCTTTCTGTCTGTCTGTCAGTCTGCATGTTTGTTTGTTTGTTTTCTACCAACCTGAAGTGCCATGTATCTGCCTGGCACCCATCATCTGCGTCATCTGCTGTTGTCCTGGGGGAGGCGTCCCTTGCTGACCAGGTCGGGCCCCTAGAATGGTTATTGACGTCAGCCCCTGCAGCGCCGCCATTGGATCTGTCGTTGGAAAAAGAAACATAAATGATTTTCAATTATAAAGGTATGTGTCAAACATTATCTACATTTCATTTACTGATATCTGTTGTGTTTTGCAAGATTGAGGCAGTGGTCACTCCTCCAAGGACCATATTTAATAAATAACAGATGATTTTGGAGGATTGAGGATGTCTTCTTTACATGGAGGCAGTTGGACAATTTTGCATGATTGACAAGATTGAGGATTGTTCCTAGCAAAAAGGGCCTGGGGGTTAGGGTTAACAGAATCAGCCTTCCTACTTCACTCCTCTTTCAGACACACCACTTCAACACCTTGTGGTGCATGGGTTTTACCTTGTCCTCCACCTCCAATTTGTTGCATCTTTCCCTGAGCTCCTTCTTTCCTGGAGTCTGCAAAAATGAAAAAAAAATACACACAAGTGCACTTGTCCGAATAAACTTCCAAACTTGCTGTACACATCAATGGTGATATTTTCGCTAATTTTCTCAACAGGATTGTGTACCTACACTGAACAGTACAGAAATTGGTCACTTTATGTCAGTACAGTCAGCACTCTACAAATCAAATATACATGTTGTTGCTCTGATCTGTTATGATTTTATTGGAATAATGCTACATTCCAATTGCGTTGTGTTTATTGGGTTCACGAGTTCACTAGCCGTATTATAGTGTTTTTTCACCTGGTAACTGTTATTCACCAGTGGTGAGCTGGAGGCGAAATTGTCTTCTCGAGTTTATGACTTAGTCTGGTTCCCTGACCCCATTCACCTTTGGACCCATATTTTTAGGGGGGCTGGGAAACAGTCTATTCACAACCTGACAATAATAGCTTGGGTAATGTGCATGAAGGCCTGTGCGCATGCGTGTTGGTGAGTAGCATTAGAATGCAAGCCACTTGTGAACTAGGAGTAATTCACAGTGAACACAATGAACATGATGCGATTGGAACGCAGCATAAGAGCCAACAGTAATCTGAGTATCACCCATTGTCCAACGGAGCCCCCTCTCTGTCTCCGATCTAATGTCCAATATATCTAAGCATGCGATTTATGCGACCCCGCGCACAAGCCAATCTGAGTCGACTTTACTAAAATCGTGACGTCATTTCATTCCGAAATTTGGACTGAGATGCTGATGGGTCAATGTGGATGCCATGTTTTTGCAACACAACAACAGGCATAGAGAGATAATAAAATCTAGACACGACACTGGCTCTCAAACTGTAAGCAAAATGCTAAGCGTGTCGCGCAAGAGGGCATTCACATTATACGCTCATTATTTAAAATATGTGACGATCATTTGAAGTCACAGGACGTTGACGCATCGCGTAATATATATCGTTACATATACAGGCCGCGTGACGCAGACTATGTTCAATTCACAGCATAAAAGCATAATAGATGTCGTGTAGGTTTTATTTAGATGTCTATGTCAACGGGTAACTGAAGACCCGATATAGAAGGCGCAGGCTTAATGGTCAGAATCACGAGGTCAAGATGCAGTCTACATGTAGTTGCACAATTAATCGCCGAATCTGCTCGCATATCATAGATACATACATGTAGACCAACCCAATAGATGGGATAAGAACAAAATACTACTCATTCTGAGTCACACAGTCGCAGACAACACAGAGTGTAGTTCTATTTTAAGTATTTATTTAAAGTTAAAGGCATATATGGGATCCTTTGCTTTTCATGCAATTTGTTCATTTCCAATAGTACCACTACTCAAAATCCAAAGAAGAATGTTTAAAACCTAAGCTGTTGAAGTTTCAGCTCAGTGGATACGTACACGGTTCAAGAAAACAGTGAAAAACCATGCCCAACCTTTTGATCATGAAACACAATTTTGTCACTACAGCTCTTTATTAAAAAAAAATCAGGTGGATTTTTTTTATGGGGAGTCAGGTTGGTGTAGCGGTACTTTCCTCGCCTTCCACCGCTGTGACCCGGGTTCGAATCCCGCCCAGGCCAATATGTGGATTGGGTTTTCAAGTCCTGCCTGATTCCGTGGGTTTTCCCCAGCATATTCTTCTGGGGTTTTCCTCACACCTCTAAAACTGTAATTTCTTCTCATTGTCTTCTCCCTACAGGTTTCTTCAGGCTTTTGAGCTTACAGTGCCTAGGGCACTTTTTGGGGAATCCCTGGTTTCATTACCAGAATTAATAAATAAATAAATAAATCAGTCAAGCAACTTGTTGGAAATCACCTACATTTCTTGATCCCTTCTAAATGACAGCAAGCCAGACGGAATAATTTCACATATTGTGGAAAAGGACAATCTTCAATCCAAGTTGGATTTTCGATAGTACTGCTCCAACATGTGTTAAAGTGAGTTGGATGATTATGAAGGACTGAGGCAACGGTGGCCCCTCCGCTGAGTATTCAAGAAATAACGGGTGATTTTGGAGGAGTTAAGCTAAATCCAATTTTCACATGGTGGCAATTGGAGGATTTTGCAGAATTGAGAATGGTTCTTAGCCAAACGGGCCAGGGTGGTTTAGGGTTAATCCTAACCCTGCCAGATGCAACACAGCGCATCAGGGGGAAAAGTCTGGTGCACTTTGATGCATTCAGCTACCAACACCGGCACATTAACGGCCACTACCAAGACAATAAGAGCTAGTCCCATTGAACAATGCAACAGTTGTATCCTGCTGCATTCAGTGACCACAGACTCTGAGGCAGTTTGGCATTGAGACTTTCACCTGATGGATCTTGCTACATTGGGCAGGCTTGTCATTTAGACAAGCATTGCATGTTGCTGCTTTTGGCAGGGTTTCTTGCCAGAATACCCTGGAGGGTGAGGGTTAGGGTTAAGGCAGTTTGACAGTCACAAATTACATACTCACTTATACCTCTCATATGAATCATCAACCGCGCAACCAGTGTGAGGTACTCGTCCTGAATACAGAGAGAGAGAAAAAAATAGATGCTGTAAATCAATTGCTACATTTATCACGATGCAATTAATTAAAGAAGATAACTAATATGCCACTTATTGTAGATTCAGCTGTTACAGCGATGGCAAATTCACATGCTTTTTTTTCTTTGTGTAAATTTATACTGGCGTATTATAGGACAGATAAGGCAGATAAAGGGAATTAAAGGGACACTACATCCTGGAAAGCACCTTATTGGGCTACAAAACGCGTTTGAAATAAAATCATATTAACTGGAAAGAGCATTTAAAAGTAGAATATGAACGTCCACACAACCATCCTTTAAAAATTGGCCGTTTTTGTGTTATTCTTGCGAGAGTGAATTTCGGGGGTCAAAATTTTGCCTCTCAAAAATCAAGTGGCAAGTGCTGGCCAAGGGGGCCCGGCCCACCAGCCCCCCCCCCCCCCCCCCCCCCCCCCCCCCCCCCCCCCCCGGCGATGGGCCAGGGTGCTAGTCACGATTCCAGTCGCACATGTTTGACCAATGCATCGCATGTTGCAGACACAGTGCTGTGTGTACTTGTACGTTATGAACTGTACATTGAATCGTCTTATATCATCAGACACAGAAGCTGGGGGCGTCAATTTCAAAGAAGGAGACTTGTATTTGAGGCTGAAAATACGTATGCGCATGTCACAAAAATGTCAGTCGCGTCAGAAGCAAATAACCAGTGTTTCTTCATCCTTTCTCGGAAACAGTGCGACATTAGGTTCGTTTCCTTTCAACCAGACTTTTAAACTACAACGTAGGATTATGTAAACAATCTTAACCCTAACTCCCTAATGAGTTTTACTAAGAACAGTACCAAGTCTGCCCAAATGCATCACTGACCCTGCTTCACATAATGCTTCAGGACCAAATCCGCCAAAATCCACCACAAGTCCACCACTACTATACCGGGTAGGTAGATTTTCATGGACTTGGCACTCATGGCTTGCCCACCAAAATCCCTCCAAATGGGGGATGGATTTTGATGGAGTTGGGAAGGTTAAGGTTAAACATAGAAGTTTCGGTGATTTCAGGACGACGTGCCCCTTTATAATGTAACTTGTACATTTGTGTACATGGGCAATCCTAGTCATATTTAGTTATTGAACCCATTTTTTTTTTACAATCTAGGTACAGGCACAGCGCTAAAAACTACCAAGGTACCTGTAAATTCCTTGTGACCTTAAATTGTTTTTTTGTTTTTTTGGCTGGAAATGCAAGTGCCGTCAACAGTGTTACGTTTGAACAAGAACGTACTGTAGTACAAATAACAATAACAAGCTCAATCTCGGAAGCTGCAGCCCAACATGTTTATGCATGAATCACGTAATTGTGCCATGTAATTTCTGGAAGAAGTAGTTTTTTTGAGTAAAAAAATAATCATTTTTTTTAACCAAAGTGACCCCATGATGACCTTTGACCCAAATTTGGTCATGTGACATGTTGGGGCTGGGCTACTGATACTTATGACAAAGTTTGGTTGAAATCGGTCAAAAGATGTAGGAGCAATAGACAATGTCAGCATTTGTTGCTAACTAACTAACTAACTAACGGATAGACATGATGATTTGTTGAGCTACAGAGTTGAGTTCAGAATGTATGCAGAATGTACACTCAGGCACTTAACTTGTATTAACAGGCTTTAATTATGTACATACCTTGTCAGATAGTGAGCACCAACTGCAAATTCATAGACTAATATTTATGTATGTGGAAACCACACCTAAAATACAGACCCACTGTTCTGAAGGATGGACTAACAATGCAGAACAATGAAGTGATATCAGCTATAAATACATACAGTGAGAGAGGAAATCAATATTCCATGTTGCGACTTCCTTATCCCATGGTGGATGGATCTGATATTAAAGGGGCAGTGCTGCTTGTGTTCATGTACAGGGTGAGTCAAAAAGAAAGCTACTGAATTAGACACAAATGTGTTTAAAAATATGTGACTCGCTCCATTCATCAGTTCGTAGAACGGTAAATGATCAGTGGGGCACAGCTGAAGTTTGTGATCTTTTTATATTAATTTAATAGACATAACTTGGGAATAGAGTATTACTTGAACCTTTACTAGTCAATAAAACATGTAGGGGCCTACTTTATCCCTATGTTACATGGGGATAGAGTAGGCCAAGAATCAGTTCCATAACTAGGAATTCAATCGTGTCAAAAACCAGGACATTTTACTCTGATTAGTCAAAACAATGGTGGGTAAAACCAAACAGACTCACACACGCCACGGAGAGTCGGAACCGGTTCTGTTTAATAAGAGAACCGGAACTGTTTCCAGAAATTCTGGAACCGCCCAACACTACAGCCTTAGCGTGTTGATGTACACATGTGTTTAGCTCCATGCACATACATACATGTGTCCTTGAGCCCCCTATACTTGTGCATTGTTGCACCAATACCCCATATTCAATCATTTCACGTATCAAACTATCATTAAACAGTAAATCATTTTTAAATGGCTAAGGAAAATAGCGATTGAAAAAAAAATTCAATTTTTTTTCGGGTGAAACTCAAAATACCACAGGGAATGATCTTTGACAACAACTGTTCCTTAACAAAAGAAGCATACATAATATGCTGGGAAAACTTATCTCCATAAAATTAACTACCATGGAATCTCTTGCAATCAAAAAATGAATATCAATATAAATAATTTTTTTTTTTCATAAAACAATACACACAATTGGAAAAACGTTAGGATATTTTGTACTTTTTGAAGAGCACAGGGCACTCACATGTGTGTTTTTTTGTAAGGCATATCCCTTTAATATTTGACCAGGATATCATTGTTGTGATATACAATGTATGTTTTATCAGTGAATCACATCGTTGTATTGCACTTGAAAGTGCGTATAAATGACGACATGCCAATGATAATACTAGAAGTTCTTGCACCAACTACATGTAAATTGATTGCATACCACAGTGAGCCATAAGTGTAGAAACATCACTCATATGATGCTATACATATGCACAACACAGTGGCCCCTTTATTACAACTTAACCTAGCATATTGGATGTATGCACTCAAAAGAACTTTGACATCCGGGCAAAGTGGCTTACTGAACAAGGAAACTCACTGATAGGTAAGAACAGCTATGAAATAATTGTGTAATAATCGTACGTCATCAAGGTACAATTTTCTCCTTTTTTTGACTCCCTTTTGTCTTTAGTGTTAAACAACAATCTGTTAATTAAGTGCCCATCTCAATTCATATTTGGGATGAGTTGCGGACACGTTCCGGACATTGTATCGAGTATAAGTTGCAGGATTCTGAACAACTTCCCCGCAATCTTCCCGCAATGAAGTTATCAGTATTGACGAGTCAAGCAGTTGGTAATGAAAATTTCCCCAGAACATGTCCAGGACAAATACAGAGCTTCTTCCGGAAGAAGTGAATGATTCTAACCAGAAAGTGTCCGGAACCTGTCCCAGATATATGAATTGAGCCGAGCCTTGAGGTACTGTCCCTTTTTCTCTTGATGTATGTATATGTGTTATTGTAACGAGAAACTACTGTTTTGGTTTTTACTATTTAAGGCATCTGCAAACCCCCCCCCCCCTCCCCTTGGGTTACTCTTGCACACAAATTTGAACTTCAATGGACCATTCAGATTTGTAACTGTCCCTTCCCTTGCCATCATTTTCCCTTCATTTTAATGCCCTCTGACCTACAGTTTTTTTGTTTTGATTTTTTAACTCACTTTAGTCCATACCCAACTCTACCCAGCCCTGCCCCTCCCTACCCTATACCTTGCCCGACCTGTTGCAATGTGTCCTTTCATGCCCTCTCTTTTGACCCTCGCCCCCACTACCCTCAATCCTACCCTACCCTATACCTTGCCTGACATGCGTCCATCCTGTACCATCCTATTCCCTCATTTCCTTCCCCTATCACCCCATTGCCCTGAATCCTACCCTTCTGCTCCCTGAGTTATGATTGTATTATAAAAAGTGTACATTTGTGTATTGTAATTAATATATTTTTGGCTTTGTCATAATTTTTGTATAAATATGAATATATTGTATTTTATGTACCTATTTTTAATTAACCCTTATCCTGTAAATGTGCAAAGTTGTCCTTTAAGTCAAAATCAATCAAGTGACTGTTTTCAACAGTTAACAGCCCCCAGCCTACATAAAGCAGGATTGACCGGCCGTGACTGTTTATGTGGGGTGCTATGGTCCAATGGTTACGGTGTTCGACTCGTGTGCCATGGTACATGAGTTCAAATCCTGACCGTGGGAACATGGTGCTTGTGCTCTTGAGCAAGGCACTTTACCATTATTGCTTCGTCCTTCGGATGAAACGTAAAGCCCCATATATTGTGTAATGCACGTTAAAGAACCCAGTAACACTTATCGCTAAGAGAAGGGGTTTGCCCCGGTGTTTCTGGCAGTGGCTGCAATATGCACCGCAGCACCTTGTAAACCCTTATAAGGTGCTACATAATGGGTCTCATATTTCTCATCAACTTTATTTACCTTTCTTTAATAATAGACATAATTTCCAGCGCCTTGAGTACCAAATTGTTGGTAGATACGTGCGCTATATAAGACTCCGATATTATTATTATTTATTATTTTATGTAACTTCATACAGCTATGCTTTGACTGTACATGTAGGTGATTGAGCAGCCAGCTGTGCCTGCCACTTGTCTGCTTTTGTCAGTTGACTGAATTTGACTAGTCACAGTGCTTGCTCGAAATATGATCTGACTGTGTAAAAGGCACGGCAGGGGAAGAGGATTAATTTTTCGACTGCCTGTGACAATTCAGACAGCAAGAGGATGTTTAATGTACACTGGGAAATCAATTTTCATGTTATTTGTTGAGCATGACAATAAATAATTCTTGAATCTTGATTCATCCTTTGTATGCAATACTAGGACTTTGACATGAAATTGGACTTGGAGCTGAAAATGCAAAGTAGTCTGCCTTGTGCAAAGTGCCTTTTTTTTGGATACGGGTATAATTTTGTACATTGTTCGTGCAATCTAGACTCTTGAAAGAGTGCTGAAATTTGATTGGGCAAGTTCGTTTTGTAAGAACAATTTCTGATTAAATTTCAAGCTTTCTTTATGTGTTTTGAAATTCCTTAGAAGTTTCTTCAAACAAAACCAGCCTGATTGAGTTTCTGTGTTGACTGGTAGTGCATTACAAAAGGATAATAATACGAATAATATAATAATAATAATAATGTGTAAGTTTGTAATGCGCATGTATCCACCAGCATTGGTGCTCAAGGCGCTACATCATTATTACCCTGCTCATTGGGCCAATGAAACATTCCAAATACCATCTCAGCTCCCTGGGGAGTACCTGTATACAGCTGGATGCTGCCATTTCAACGCAAACAGCTAAAATCAATCACAGTAACCATCTCTGCCCTCACAGGTACCCATTTACTCCTGGGTGGAGAGAAGCAATGAGTGACAAAGTGCCTTGCCCAAGGGCACACACACCATAACCCCAGGCTGGACTCGAACCCACGACCTGCAAAATTACCCGCAGACCACAAATTCAATGCTCCAGACCACAAGACCACGGCACTCCACTGATTCATCTCAAAAAAAAAAAAAAGTGGCCACTTACCCTATTTTTGGCTTTTTGGAACACATGATTCTCCATCTCAATGCTGGACTTGGTGGTTGGATTACCTGTCTTATGCACTTCATCGTCACTGAGTTGGCAGAAAAAAAACCCAAGTATACAATGTAAATCTCCAATGTCAAGTTAAGGAATAGGGGCACGGCCTAAGTCTCTTTAACCTTAACCCCCCCCCCCCCCAGGCCCTCTGCTAGGAACCATCCTCAATCCGCCAAAATCCTTTAAAAAAATGCAGAGTTTATCCTTAATGAAGGATATCCAGCACCTCAATCTTTCCCAGAGGAGTATACTAGTAAACATGCTCGAATGCTCCGTCATCATGTTCAACCGTACCGTCGATGCTGTGCATCAGAAAAAGTGGACATATTTATTTCTTCTCATTTTTCGTGCAAAGGAAACACTCTGTAGCATGTTTACTAGCCGACTAAATGGATTATGTAAAGAATGCATACAGGTAAGCATGCCATGGTTAGACCCGTGTACATGTACATGGCTATACAAAGCCCAGGGGTGGATCTAGAAATTTTTGTGGGGGGGGGGGGGGGGAAGAGGGGGGGGGGGGGGGTTCATCAGCAAAAAAATCTGAATTGTAGACAGGTTTTTTTCTCCGGACACTTTGCCTGCGTAAAATTAAAAAATCATAGGGGGGGGGGCTGGAACCATATTTCAATAGGGGGCGCTGTTCAAATTTGATGATTATTAACACTATATTAAAGAATGGTGTACAAATACCCCCTATCTAAAGCTGCATCTGTCCGTATTTTGAAAGGTTGCTCCAGGGTTGCGTCAAAAAACTCGATGCACAAGATTGTACGGGTAGCCAGACCTGGACAGCTCCTACCATTTTGTGCATGCATGAGTGACTCGGAGCACCAGCGTTCCGTGCGTGACCTCGGAAATCAAAAGTTCAGCTCATAGAACTCTAGCCCCATAAATGTGGCCTATTTACTGGACTGCCTCCGTAAACATAGGCCACACATCCACATGTACAAAAATCGTGTCGACTTTGCCAAATTTTGATTTTTACATTTAGGCTTAGTTTGTAGGATTTTTTTGCTTTAGAAGCATACTCACCCTCTTTATAGGCTATTCAGAAAGTGCTGCCTTTTTCAGATGTCTAATTTTTGTGAAATTTAATGTTGAAATTTTGATACGCAAACGTGTAAAAATGAATCTGTAGATTTCACGAAAAATATACATCTGAAAAAGGCAGCACTTTCTGATTAGCCTATAAAGAGGGTGAGTATGCTTCTAAAGCAAAAAAACCCTACAAACTAAGCCTTAATGTGAAAATCAAAATTTGGCAAAGTCAACACGATTTTTGTACATGTGGATGTGTGGCCTATGTTTACGGAGGCAGTCCAGTAAATAGGCCACATTTATGGGGCTAATAGAACTCATACTAGTACGTGCATGACGTGTCGAGGTCGTTTTTTTCCCTTCAAATTTCTTGGCAATGCAAGATCGGAAAAATTCTGCCAACCGGACACCACTTACCTGCCGCCAAACATCCAAATTTTCACCTCACCTTGTGATTTCAACCAAGAGGAATCCAGGAAAGAGTGGACATGCAAAAAAAAATTGGTAAAAATGTGTTTTTGGAGCACATTTTGCATGCACATGTAGTGCAGATCTGAGTTGAAGCTAGCTGGAGTTACCCAGCCCTGAGTTTTATCATTGGGTTGTCTATAAGGGCTGGAGCGAATTTTTCTCGTAACTTGTAGTATTTGCAAAAATTTTTGGAAAATGTTCAATTTTGTCCCCGTTACACACTAATTGCAACTGCAACTCACCCCAAACTTGCCTGGAATAACCATTACACAGGTCCTTGAAGTAAAAAACTATCCACGATGAAGATTCAGCCTACAATTGCAGTGAAAACAGGAGGAATAACCCCTAACTTGACAACCTTGCTGGATTGGCCAGGACCGCCATTGGTTTGTGCACAAAAAAAATTGTGTACAATGAATGGCGGTCGATTAACAGGCACAGAGAGAGCGATCGCTGTCAACTACTCGTTTTTGCCGGCTGCGCTGGCTGTTGGCACATGACGTCACGCGGAAGCGTAACACCCGATGACTGTTTCATGCACTAATATGAGGTTTACCACTCGCATCACAGCTTTGGTACTGGAACCGCAACCAATAGTGCATGAAACAGTCATCGGGTGTTACGCTTCCGCGTGACGTCATGCGCCAACAGCCAGCGCAGCCGGCAAAAACGAGTAGTTGACAGCGATCGCTCTCTCTGTGCCTGTTAATCGACCGCCATTCATTGTACACAATTTTTTTTGTGCACAAACCAATGGCGGTCCTGGCCAATCCAGCAAGGTTGTCAAGTTAGCGGTTATTCCTCCTGTTTTCACTGCAATTGTAGGCTGAATCTTCATCGTGGATCGTTTTTTACTTCAAGGACCTGTGTAATGGTTATTCCAGGCAAGTTTGGGGTGAGTTGCAGTTGCAATTAGTGTGTAACGGGGACAAAATTGAACATTTTCCAAAAATTTTTGCAAATACTACAAGTTACGAGAAAAATTCGCTCCAGCCCTTATAGACAACCCAATGATAAAACTCAGGGCTGGGTAACTCCAGCTAAGTTGAAGCAGCCGGTCAAAACTGATTGAAGTGTCTGGAACAGCGGTACGTTGTACGCATGACATCGATAACCATGACGTCGCATGAGACGTCGCATGAGCCGGCCAATGATAGTGCAATACGTCATTATGAATATTTATTTTCTCATGAATATTTAGTTTATTTCAATGGATACTTCAAATACGTCCAAAGATAGCCCCATAAATGTGGCCTATTTACTGGACTGCCTCCGTAAACATAGGCCACACATCCACATGTACAAAAATCGTGTCGACGGAGCCAAATTTTGATTTTCACATTTTGGCTTAGTTTGTAGGTTTTTTTGCTTTAGAAGCATACTCACCCTCTTTATAGGCTAATCAGAAAGTGCTGCCTTTTTCAGATGTATATTTTTCGTGAAATTTCCAGATTCATTTTTACACGTTTGCGTATCAAAATTTCAACATGAAATTTCATAAAAATTAGACATCTGAAAAAGGCAGCACTTTCTGATTAGCCTGTAAAGAGGGTGAGTATGCTTCTAAAGCAAAAAAACCCTACAAACTAAGCCTAAATGTGAAAATCAAAATTTGGCTCCGTCGACACGATTTTTGTACATGTGGATGTGTGGCCTATGTTTACGGAGGCAGTCCAGTAAATAGGCCACATTTATGGGGCTAGTCCAAAGATTGATCATTGCAACAGCGATCGTGCGCGGCCTAGCGGTTAAGAGACTCGTGTATCAAGCAAGCGTTCGAGGTTCGAATCTCGAAGAAGTGAGCGACTGATTGATAAATAGAAATTAAGGAAAGGAGGGGGTGAGAGTAGAAGAGGGAAAGTGGAGGGAATAACCATAAAAGAGGTAACTTTTGGCGCTAGAAAATTTATTGAAAAAAGTGGTGTCCGGTTGGCAGAATTTTTCCGTCAGTTTTGAACAGAACTTGTAAAAAATAGAGGTGTCCTAAAAGCAAGGATTACCAAAATAACAATTAACATGGCTAAATTGAAGGCCGCCCTCACGCGGTTGTAAATGAGAGGCAAAATACTCACAACTGCGCGACGACTTTTGCCCTGAATGACTCCGTTTTCCACTCGTCTTCATTCCCAGGGTACACAGCACCAATTCCCGGCGTGGGAATCATGTTTGACATCGTAAATGGTCACCCTAATTACTTATTTTTTGGTGGGAAATATTGGTGAAAATACACCCACTCACCGTCACTGACACTGACACAGCTCAGCGTGCACTGCAAGCGCCACTTAATACTTAAAAAAGTCTGGTGCAAAAGCCTCGGCCTCTAGATTTTGTATACACCGAAGACTAGGCTCCGTACAATTTTCTCATCTCTTTGTAAACAAATTTTACGGCTGAATCAGCGTCTACATCCATTCATCAACTAGTCTTGAGTTGCAGTCGTCTATCGTAGGTTCGTGCATTTTGCATTTTGCTCCCGATATTCAATCAATTCGACATTTATTTTCACATTGACATCCTCGGTAACAATTCAGACAAAAAATTGTTTATTTACTTAGCAATAAAAAATTTATTCAGTGCGATGAATTTTGTGCGCGAAATGATATTTTTTCCAGAGCATTGCAGACCCGCTACCCAAAATCAACAAAAGAGTAGATTTTCGTTTAATAAAAACCTACAAAATAATTTTTACAAAACTTTTTTGTGCAGGACACACATCTTTTACAAACGAAAAAATGCGGGGAAGGGGGGCCCGGAAGGCGATAACCCATTTTGCTCACACAACTCAAAACCTGAATGCACTATACGTGTACTGCCTGGGCGAAGGGGGGGGGGGGGGGGGGGGAACGACACACCCCAAGTCGACATTGGTCGTCTGTGTTTAGCTGTTCATTTTTAATCTTAATAACTGTCAAACTATGCATTTCCAAATATAGGTTTTTCAGGTTAATTCGCCATCATTTTCCATCATATAAATTCGATAGAAAAATAACATCATTGAAAACATCATTGGCCAAATGTTTTTGTTTCAAATTAAACGCAGCTGGAAAACTTATGCTTCGAAGTCGCTTCCCCTATGTTCGGGTTTTATCCTAAAATAAAGATTTTTAATAACTTTTTTTCCCAAGCCGTTACTTAATATTCGATGGGGGATGATGTCGAACGAAAAATATATTCCTCCAAAATGCAGCATAATACTTTACAAATTTCAAAGTATATGCGGCCTGACAATAAATCAGATGGATCTTTTTTGTGTGTGTGGTGAAAAAGCAACCCGAAATCAGCACTATTTTAATTAGGGTTTCAGCTTCCCAAATGATATTAATATTATGTACGGAGAGAGCAACTTTAATTAGGCCCTAATCCTCAAAATGAAACAAAATATCTTTATATAGGCCTACTTGGTATCGTATCGCGTGGTCTAACAGAACTTTTAACTTTAATGAATGACAGTTTCATTTTGATCATTACAATTTCCAGAATTTCGTTGTGAGCATGCGAAAAGTCCAACGTGAAGAATACAAATCCGCTTGTCACGTCGAGTACACGGGCCTACATAAAAGTTAAAGTTGATCAAGTTTTCTCTGGCGAAAGAGCTAATTATGCAAGAATTTATATTGTGTGCATGGCTGGAAAGAATTTCAAAGTACAAAGAAAGACCAACTGGTGCTTTGCTATAGTTTTTCTCCGAGTGGAATTTCATTGTTATTCCGAAGGAATTCTTATACGGCGAAGGTTTACAACATTAACATGGCCCAATATCTTGCATTGCGGCGCAGACTAGAATGGCGAATAGTTACTTTGGAGTTCGAATTTCTATTTAATCATCACTATCAACACTGAGTATTGCAGTGTTTCAGCTTAATATTAACTTGATATACTATGAAGCATCTGGTGTATCAAGCATTGCTGTTATGTACCATCTTTGACAAGTTCTCTACACAGAAGGTAAAAGTACAGGATAATCTTTATACTTTCAGGCCAGTTTGTGTCGTTTCATACTGGAGGGGAACCTTTTATACTGAAACAGAAAAGAAATACTCCGAACTCCGTCAAGATAAATGTATCAGATGATAGTTTTTTTTTCTAAGACGATATTAGTTTTAAACAAGGGAAATAATGATAAAGTATCATAATGTGCAATTATTTATCACCAGTCCTCATGATAGTAGAAATCATATTCATGAAACTGCCGTAAACTTCGTGATTGTGGCAGTGTGAAGATTGGGGGGGGGGGGGGGGATCCCCCCGAATCCGCCCACGATTTGACTTGAGGTATTAAGATTGAGAGCGGCCATTATGATCGATTTTTTCCTCTTTATATTTTAGAAACCGAAACTTGGGTTTTCTGCAAAATTGAATCAAAATAAGTTTGTTCCTCGTCATCTTCTGGAAACAGAAAGAGGTTAGTACGAATGAGGAAACCTTGTTTTGAGAAATATTTATATTACGCCTATCTGACATTTTTTTAGATAATTCCCCGACCGTAAAGTCGTAATCACTTGCAATTTTGGCGATCATACATCCAAAGAAATACAGACCAGTTGGTCTCTTCAAAGTGCGGGGGGGCTCATGCCATATTTTCAATGGGGAGCGGCAATAAAATCCTAAAATCATTCACACTATATTAACTAATGCACCATTGTCACGACTATTTCTTCTTTAGGGGGAGACCGTTCGCATGTACATCACAATCCTTCTTTTTGCTAATGCAATTTTTTTTTGACGGAATTTATTTTGGGGGGCTAGAAAATTTTTTGGGGGGGCTAAAGCCCCCCCTAGCCCGCCCGTAGAACCGCGCCTGGTACATTGATGTCCTCCATAATTTGCCTTGGTGCTTTCGATCATTTGCCTTGGTGCAATTTCCCATTCCTTGGTGCTCTTTGGTAAAAAAAAATTGAGGAGGTGCGGAAATAGAGGGCGCTGTTGGAGCTACCGCGGAACATTTTGGAAAAAAAAAGATCGACGCGCATGATTAAAATCGACGCGCGCGCTGACCAGAGACCGACTTTTTTTTTTTTTTGGCCTAACAAATGAGTGCACAAAATTGGTTTACTTAATATAATGTATATCCCAGCAAAAGAAAGGCATTGTCCACTAAGATGGCTGCTACGCAAAAGGTCCTTACTTCAGCGATCGTCAGTTATTACAAATATAATTTTTTTATGTTGAAAAACAAAATGAATTTGTGACAGAATTTTTTCTCTCAAGACTCAGGATGACGCTTGAACATTAACTTAAATATTCTCAGAATGATGAGAATGGAAGGAAGCACCCCTCGAGACACTTTTTTTTCCAATGAAAATTCCCTGGCTATTTATTGAATTATCATTGTTTTCCTTCAGGAAGAAACTACAACGTACAAGGGCGGATCCAGAACACAATTTTTTGGGTTGCCAAACAAATTTGTTGGTCCCCCATAAAGTGGGTCCCAAAAATTACGGTCCCAAAAATTCTTTGGATTCTAGATGCACTGTGGTGCGATCTGAGGCTATTTCTGACCACTTTAACCAAATCTTTTGGAGGAAAAGATGGTAGTGTACGCAGTGCCTGCATTTATTGCGACGCCACTTAAAACAAAAATTGGTTTCGGTTTTTTTTTGGGGGGGGGGGCATGGCCCCCGTTGGCGCCCCCCCCCCCCCATCCGCCCTTGTTGACGTATTTATCGTTCCGTTTCTGTTTATAGAACCATGTACATTGACGTGTTTTCGGGGCCGTCTGCACGAGGCATCCTGCGAATGCCTTTGTAAACGAAACTGGAGAGGGCCATCTTGCGACGGTGAGCAGTATTGAAAAAGAAAAGAAAACTTGATTTACCGATTGCTAAACATAAAGTGTGTTTTGCCACTGTATAAAGAATAAAAACACCAATTTCCTTCTCCAAAGGAAACAAAAAGATTGTACAAAATTCTCAAGAAAACGCACATCAGTAACTCAAAAGATTTCCTTTGCTTTTACTTTTGTTCGGGGGGGGGGGGGGGGGAGTTCTGGGCAGTCCTAGGCAGAGTTTCTTTTTGTGCCCCATTTGTTGCATTGGCATCGAATAAGAAGGCGGGGCACATCGATTATGCCAACTTTAATGGGTGTGGCTACGTCCCACGCTGGACTCCGTTCCAGGCTGAAGTTTCAATAAATCAACACAGCTTGTGATTTAAATTCATGCGACATCATTATTTTTCCATGGGGTTTAACATTATTTGCAAGGAAAAAAGTGTCTAGGTCTTGCCAGAATGTTTCTAATATTGTTCATTTCCAGAAAGGATTTGTAAACCTTGGCAGGGGAGTTGCTCAACAAAAACACAATGTGTCAACAAGTTGAAGTTTTGCGACGGAGTGCCAAATTGCTCAGATGGTTCGGATGAAAACACATGCAGTGAGTTAATTTCATCATTTTGCTGAAGTGGAGTAAGGGGCTGGGTATGCCTCCCCTTCCCACCTGCCCCCACCCCACCCCATGTGTCCACCCATTTGGGAGAGGGCAAAATGACCTTTTATTGTTAAGACCAACAGAGGGCCCTCTCCATAAAATGAGGCCCCCTAAGTGCCAACCTGCCAATTGGATTGGACCCTAGTGATGCCATTACTTCATCCCAAAGACTCTGGGAAGTGGAAGTGGGGCCCAAGTTCTGTCAGTTAAATAAGGGGTTAAACTTTTCTTAAATATACCTCATTGGCCTTACATAGCTCCAGCAATTTTCAGCTATAGAACCCCCCCCCCCCAAAAAAAAAACATCCCTCAACAGAGCAGCCTTCTTATTATCAGAAAAGTGATTATTGTTCTGTTACTTATTCTCAATCGTTTAATTGCAGCCTGTGTCAACAAAGTCTGCCATAATGGTGGTCGGTTGGATAAAGTGACGTGCGCTTGCATATGTACATCCGATTGGACAGGGGAGCGTTGTAAAAGTAGGTAGAACATCACCTTGGGGTTACCCAGGGAGGAAACCCATAGAATCAGGCAGGGGCTGAAACCCAATCCACACTTTGGCCTGGCTTCTAGGTTGGATTCAAGCCTGGGTCACAGACATAGATGGCAAGTAATGTACTTCACCAATCTCACTCCCAAGTTGAGAGGGAGAGCGTGGCCTAGTGGTTGGGGTTCGTGACTCGACTACAGAGGGTCGTGATCAGAGGGTCAGGGGTTCCAATCCAGCTGCTGACCATATGTGTGTCCTTGGGCAAGCCACTGCACCGAGTAGCCTAGTGGTTCATGACTCCAGAGGGTCAGGGCTTCGAATCCAGCTCCTGGTCATATGTGTGTCCTTAGGCAAGCCACTTCACCCCCACTTGCCTCTCGCCACCCAGGGTCCGTTCCGGCATTAGCTGGAGAGTAACCTGTGATGGACTAGTGGCATCCCATCCAGGGGGATAGAAATACCCTTGGTCGTTTCATGCTACTGAAACCAGAGATAAACGCCGGCCTGATGGGCCACATTGGCTCGTGACAGACTTTACCTAAATTGTTAGCTTCTATGATAGAAGGGACGTGCTCTACTAATAATATTGATCTAAAACCTGGACCTTCTAGGTATAATGGATGAGTTTCTTTAATCTGTTTTTTTTTTTATTCTAGCCCCAAGCCCTGCCAATTGTGGCTTACGGCTGGTGGACAAGAGTCGCATCATCGGGGGACAGAGTGCCGATATTGAACACTATCCCTGGCAGGTCCAGCTGAGGTACCGATCTACGAGGACTAGCTGGTACTTTGTCTGTGGTGGGACGCTTATATCTCCTCAGCATGTTGTCACGGCTGCTCACTGTGTGTAAGATTCCGTTTCAGAGATTTGTCGGTGATAGTTATTATCTTTCTTGCAGTTTTGATTTTCAGAGTAACTGCATCAGTAATCCCAAAGTGCTAAACCTCTTTCCTTGTTTACAATTCATCTGTCACAGCAACACACTATCAAATGTAAACAATATGATGTTGTTTTTTTACTTCCATCTATCTCTTACAGTGTGGATAGAATAACCAATCGATGGCGAGTGTATTTAGGCCGCAGATGGCGTCAGAGCGGAGGGGAGAAGGTCCGGGATGTCGGGAAGGTCTTCGTCCACCAGCAGTACGATTCGATTAAGGACTCCAATGACATAGCGTTGATGGAATTGATTTTTCCTGTGAGCTTCAGTCGTCGGATTCAGCCGGCTTGTTTGCCCTTGCCGGACAGGCAGCGATTCAACAGCGACTCGGCTTGCTTCGTCAGTGGCTGGGGAGTAACTGGTAAAGTGTGGTAGATTAGTTGATTTCAGCAGCCACCATTGAGGTGCGTTGGTTACGTTAACTCATTAGCAATGAATGCACAAGAGGTCTACTAGATCTCTGTTGAACCAAAGCACATTCCTCAAAGATGGCAGCAGTGCAAACAATCTATTTGGTATGTCTCTGATAGGCTGGGGTTTGTGACTCCACAGGGTCATGATCAGAGGGTCAGGGGTTCAAATCCAGCTGCTGGCCATATGTGTGTGTGTTTGGGCAAGCCACTTCACCCCCACTTATCTTAATGTATTGTAACGTCGACCGGATCCTGGGTTTTCACACGCCAGACGAAGAAAACCACACTATTCTTCAAGGTTTCGGGGCTCTGGGTCATTTATTCTTGCCACTTTCTTACACGAGGCTCTCTCCTTTCACAACTCACAACAAAAACACGTTATACAAAAGTGTCACACTACTGAGTCGGCGCAGTCGGGCATCGGGTCTCCCTGGCCAAGCGCAGGGGTCCCGACGCTACAGTTGCACCGTGAGTCCGTGCTGGCGCCCTCTGCCAGCGGCCCGGTTAGACAACTCGTTGGTTTGCCTTTAGATGCTTGCTAGCTTGATGTCTTAGCTGGACATGTATTTGATCTTGGCAGGATTCTTGCAATGATGTAACTGCAAGCTTATCTGTTGTAATTTACAGAGCAGGGAGGCATTCTGCCATACAGTCTTCAAGCAGCTCAAGTTGTACTTGTTCCCAATAAGCAGTGTGCTGACGTATTCCTGGATCTGACAGACTCGATGATCTGTGCAGCTGAATCACTGCTAATCCTGGGAAAGGTTGATACCTGTCAGGTAAAAAACAAAGTCTTTAAAGCTCAAAACTAATGTTAACGAGTCAAAAAGATTTTACGCAGCGGCCTTATTACCAAGATTTTCATACAGGTAGAGAAAACTTAAATGGTAGCCTTTTGGGGCGTGTGGCCTAGTGGTTTGGGTTTGTGACTTGTGAACACAGTGGTCAGGGGTTTGAATCCAAGTGCTGGCCATATTTATGTTGTGTCCTTGGGCAAGCCACTTCACCCCCACTTGCCTGTCTCCACCTAGGAGTATAAAGTTAAGGGTAAGGGCACATATACATTTTCCAGCATGATGTAACAATTTTTCAACGTGGGAGAAATTCTCAATTTCTCCTGTAAGGGTCAGGGAGGTGCCACCCTAAGATTTACCCGCTGATTATACTTGAACAATAAAGACTTGATAAAGACTTGATATGTGGACCTTACTGGCTCCTTGCATGACATTTAGAAGATGATGAGAATATAGAGAATACTTGATGGCACATTTGCCACCACGAGTTTATTAAACAAGAGTTAGAAGACACACAATATAAAATCTGTATCCTCTCAGACGTGATACCGTTTGCCTTTTCCCCGGTTTGATCTTTGGGTGTGATCCCTGGCTACATGGCATTAAACAGGTTTATGGCGTCTTGAACAAAGATATTGACAAACTGGTAAACCATCAACGTAGGCCTGGATAGCTCAGTTGGTACAGTGTTCAGGAGGTTTTGCAGGTTCAAACCCTACTACAGTCAATTTCTGAGCTCAGTTTTATAATTAATTTGAAAAAAAAAACCTGTCAATTATTTTCTCCTGTAAATGGAATCCCTTATTAACGATCTGTCTTTACATTCATATCCAGGGCGATTCAGGTGGTCCACTGAGCTGTGCAGCCATCAACTCCCACGGCTTCCTGCGATGGCACTTGGTGGGAATTACAAGCTACGGCTTCGGGTGCGGCAAACGTGGACTGCCTGGGGTGTACACCAAAGTGTCTAAGTTTGTTGACTGGCTGGACGAGAGGATGAACTCCAATTAACATCTGGCTGGTCATGCCACTACATTTTTTTTAAACCAACACCATCAACAGAGATGCCAACCGTTACTCTTTTGGAGTAATTATTAGGATTTTGAGGCATGTTATTACTCTTGAAAATCCCAGCTGTCCTATACGCCAACATTGTGGTTACTCTGAAAAGTACTGTGGTTACTCTTAAACTTGACTGTTGTCCTATGTATTTACATTAATGCAGGAAGAATCATTACTATTTTGTAGTCGTAAAGTAAAGTAAAGTCGTAAAGTAAAGTAAAGTTGGCATCTCTACATCAAAATCAATTTTGCTATAATTTGAAATCCTGAATAGCTAGGACTCGAAATATAAAAAAATACACAGACCTAAAAAAAAAAAATTATGCAACAACACACTTTTATTTCACAATTATTTTTTTTCAACAGACCCGAGACCTAATGACCTAATGGCTTTGTTTACATATGCGCTTTCCTATGGGAGTGAAGTCGGGACACCGGACGAAGTAGGGACTGTCTACCACATAGGAAGGGCACATGTAAACACAGTGTGACGTCATTATAGGTCTCAGGCCTATTGTAACTTTTTTTCAGGCTGAGGTTCCCCCCAATTTTCACACTTTTAAGAGTATACTTACAGTACATTTCAGAAAAGGCATATAAAATGTAAATCGTCTTTTTCAATTATAGAAATGAAGACAATTGCAAAAGACATTGTTTTGTTTTTTCTATCACAAAAAATTTGAATGGACTATCATTTTCCCATGAATAAATAGCAGTTAACCGTAAGAGGAAATCTTTCTCCCACAGATCCTGCGATATTTACTTCCTTGTTTTAAATAACTACACACGCTTTCTCATTTTCATACACAGATATGTCCATCTTTTTGGTGTCTAATCCAAGGCTTCTAAAAATGTTTAAGGTCCTTGATAATTGTCTTTTTGCAATTACTTACCTGGCATACTACTGAGAAAGAAATGTAATTTGTATAAAGATGCGAGTGGTTCACAAAACACAGTTTGGATGCATCCAAATCAACATGCTTATTTAAAATTGCAGGTAATTTGCATGTATTTTCTTGAGGCCAAACTTTGACTATAGCCAAGGATTCTGCACCATATTCAGTAGTGCGGGACACCATACAGTACTGCAACTGATTTGAATTTTGTGCATTATCAGTCACTAATGATACTGAAGCCTACCCTAAATTAATGGCCACAGCTGGTAGTTACACATGGGTCTATGGAAAGCGGCTTCAGCTGTTGGCAAATAATTTTAAGGTATAATGGACCATTTGTCATTTGAGAATATTTTTTTGTTTGAAGCAATTAACAACCTGATGAAGTTTCAGCTCTGTTAATGCTGTAAATTCCCGAGAAATTAAAACAATATTCTAGGATCTGGATTTCAATTCAAAAGTTGCCCAGTCATAATTTGAAATGTAGACAGGTTGCGTCCAAAATCAGCATCTGGACATGTTCTCATTCAGCTGATTGCAGCTATGTGATGTCACGCACTGAACCGACGAATAATAGTGAAGCGCGTGTGTGATGCTCATGCCAACATTTGCGAGCACCAATTTATGGACACACCTTTGGAACTGACCTTCTTTTATTGTTTTCTTCAAAATGACAGCATACCAGAAGAAACAATTTCTCATAGAGTGTAGTGCCATTGCTATCTTTAAACCAAGTAAGCTTTTCAACAATAATTTAGTCGGTTACTTTTTGGATAGCTGCAAATGGTCCACTCTTCCATTAAACAGTTTGAATGCAGCTTGAAATGCCAAAGTTACCAGGGACTTTTTAAAGCTATTGATGCACCACAGAATATATGCAGAAGTCATACAGATGACTAACAACAAACTGTACATCACATGAAAATATGTACACTTCATATATAAACTGTCCTTTTTTTGTCTAGGCAAGGCACTCTGCACTTTATTTACATGGCTCAAAATCGTGACATACATGTATTTACATCTTTGGAAAGAGGTTCGTAATTTGATCAGAGAAGTTTTCCTTTTAAAAAATTCCAGACCAGCTCGATATTTCAACTGCGCATGTGCACAATGATATGGGTCACGGATCAATCGGGATACATCAAAGACGCACAGTGGCGTAGCCAGGAATTTTTCGGGGGGGGGGGGCACTGGGGGGGGGGGGGGGGGGCTGGAACATTTCATGGGGGGGGGCGTCATGTAGATCAATGATAAAATTTTTTAGTAACTCAAAATCTCAATGGGGGGGGGGGGTTGACTGGGGGGGGGCGACGAGGTTTCATGGGGGGGCTATCGTCCCCCCACGCCCCCCCTTGGCTATGCCACTGAAGACGCATGAACGCGCAAGGAGACAGTCGCATGACGCTCGCGCGTTTATTCCGAGCAGAATCATGAGCAGAATGGACGTTTGCGTATCATCGCGAATGAACTTTGACCTGGACTACTTCATCGAGATACCCAACTGGTTTATAAGCCTTTGTACTAATTACGTCACACTTTGTTTACATGTGCACTTTCCTATGGAGCCAGTGGGGGCCCACGGTCCACTGAGCACCATAGGAAAGCACACACGTAAACAAAGTGTGACGTAATTAGTACAGAGGCTTATTGGTGGGCACAGAAACTATGTATGTATGTACTGTTTCACGAAACATTTTTGTACAATTGTACAGTCTTTTTTTGATCTTTGACAAGCTTTGTTGATAAAAAATTAGCATTCGACAAAAATATGTCCACCATCAACCAAGTTGTGACCTGTCAGCACGAAATCAGCAAAATGTCGGAAATTCCTATTTTACAGTACAGTGAGGCAAATTAAGCCAAAATTGGAAGGGGTGGCTAATATTTTTTCCCAGGGGAACCTCAATCTGAAAGGCTCGTGCTACCTTCTCTCATCACATTTAATGAGTTGACTGTTCATTCACTGTAATAACACAGCAGCAGGATTGTTTTAATGCCATTTCCTCAGAATTTTGTTCTACGTCAATTTAGTTGGCAGTCCATTTTATTAATGAACTCTGTACCCTCATATGTTATATACATGTACCATTAGAAAGCTCTTGTTCTGCAGAATCTAGAAATAAAAATATCCCAATTCTTAAAGAGTTGACCTTACTCTCATTTTACGGTGACAGGTCACGTTTGGCAACGGCGAAGGTTGAACCCTGACTACGACAACTAACAAAACGATAGTACAAAGTCCACAAACAATATGAAAATATATTTACAAGTACACAACAAACCAGATGCACAATATAACACAAACTTGTCCCATATGTAGTCATTAGTACAAACTTAAAAACACACTTTCTACAAACAGAAATGTGTATACGTATTACCCTATGAGATATCCAACGATCGACAGGTAGACACAAAATAATGTAGTGCACCTGTGTCCCATTGGCATGTGGAACACAGACACACTATTTGTTTTCGTGGGGGTCTACCCAATGCTCCCCAATACCTATGCTCCCCAATATCGATATTCCCCGAAATCCTTAGGATTAGGGTTAGGGTTAGGCTTAGGATTTCAGGGAACATCAGTATTGGGGAACATAGGTATGCACCCGTTTTTTCGTGTTCCACAAGTGCAAGTGGTATAATGAATTATCTTCAAGCACAGGGGCGTCGCTAGAACATTTTCAATGGGGAGGGGGGGGGGGTGTAGGACCAAATTTGCCAACAAGTTTGCATACAAAACTTTCGACATGTCGAAAAGAAAAAAACTTCCTCAAATTTACCAACAGAAAAAGTTATGGGTGTGAAAAGTAAAATTTGCCGACAAACTTGCAATGAAATATTTGACTAGCAAAAAACAAAGAACAAAAAAAAAAAAGTCCTCCGATTCAAAATTTGCCAACAACAGTAAAAGAATATAAAAAAGGCCCTCAATTTTACACATTTGCCGACAACAATTATGGATTTGCCGACAGAAATTATGAATGGGTGGGTGTCATACGCCCCCACACCCTCCCACTAGCAATGGCCCTGTTCAAGCACAGTAAGATCCAACATGCATGCTGGACGTGGCTCCTTTCCCCAGCTTGCTATTATTAAAGCGCAGTCACCATGCAACTTCCACGATGAAAGTGTTCATTGTACCCAGACCAGGGCAATAACAAACCATGTTCACAACCGTCCAGCCATAGATCAGTGCAGCAGTGCTGAGTACACATGTACTCCAGGCTTACAAAAGGACAAAAATTGTATCAAACTGGGTAAAAATTGTGAAACTGAAAAAGGGGCTCACTGCCCCACTCTTCCTGCACACATGCGGTGAGGGCCTTCCCTGTAATAAATTGTCTGTGCATTTGAACACTCTGCTTAAATGAATCCTAGCTTCAACTCAACCTGAAAGCATCTTTTAAGTTACTCAAGAAAAGAAAGTACACTTGTGCCAAATTCAAAACAATGACAAACTTAAGTAGTGGCCCAATAGACCATTATCATATTGCGGCCATCTTGCTTTTTTTCCCATTCAAATCAACGTAACCCAAGCGAGGCTGCAAGGAAAAATAGTCTGGTTCCTTTTTGCACAAAAAAACATTATCATTCAGTACTTATATTGAATACAGGGAACATGACTGAAATGGTGGCTGCATGATAACAGTCTATAGACTCTGTGCAAACAGTAGATGGATATTTTTGACCACTTTCTCAAGCCCAGTGGACGAAATTAACACACCAGGTTCGCATACTGGTTCGCATGCGTATGGCGCAAAGTACTGACTAAATGTATTCTAAATGTACGCCAATTCCTTAGCGTCTTTGAATGTGTTCGAACGTCCCTGCCCATCTCCCCCAACTCTCCCTTTGTAACCGTTGAGGGGTACTTCTGCACGGAGCCATACTCGCAAACCTAACACTACTGATGACAGACATTCCTCCAGCATTGCCATGAGCGTTGCATTATTTGTCATTCCTCTACGGCTGGAGGCAGAATGAGCACATTCAGTTGTGCATGTTGACCTTGAAGCACAGGCAGTCAATGGTGTCACATTCTGGGGCCTGGCAGGCACAGTCACAGCCGGCACACTGCGTTCAAACACAGAAAAGAACATGATCAACATTGCCAATGATGAAAACTACATGTGCACTAGCAGGGCTAATAAGTGGCATGAAGTAAAACTGCCTGTAGCCAATTAATGCAGGTTTTTAAATGTACATGTTCTGCAAATGTCTGTTCTATACAGGGTGGATTAAAAAATAATAATATGAAACCGAGATATTATTGCTAATTGGAACAGACGTAGGGCACATGTGAATCAAAGGGAGATATCCTCTGTTAGGGTTGAATCTCCTCTTTAATATGACACCCTGATCGTGTCCTAACTAAATAGACCCTTTCATAAGATTGGTCACTGCTCAGTCAACCGTGAATGTAAGGACACGATCAGGGTGTCATTTGAAAGAGGAGATTCAACCCTAACAGAGCATATCTCCATTTGATTCACATGTGCCCTACTTCTGTCCCAATTAGCAATTATATTTCAGTTTCATTTTTGTCCCACCCTGTATAAACTGAAAACTCCATGTACAAATAGGATTCCCGACTTTCCATTTCAATAATCATTTTCTGTGTGTAAGAAAAATACAAACACGTAAATGGGTCATTCTACAAATGTGTCCACTCTTTTTCCTGTCCCTGTTACATCTGATGCAATTCCTTAATGCAGTCATCCTCCAAGATTGATTATGAAAAAGCAAACTACCAACATATAAAACATTATTGAAGTCATTCTTAATGATACTTGAATTGAAAATAACACATTTCAGGGACAGGAAAGATCTCACACTTTGGATCCTACATTTATACAAATGACCCAATATAAGTAAAAAGTGTTCATCGAATCAGCACTTATTTTGGTGCCCATAGACACCTATACCCACCGACCCGAAGAACGGACCAATCTAAATTATGGCAAATGATTGGCACACCATGTTGATGTAATGACTGACACTATGTTTATTTTGGAGAAAACATGTCGATGTGAATTAAGTAAATGAGGATTTTGAACATGCAAAAAGAGTGATATCTTTTCCTGAAATGTTTTCATTGTTACTTTTAGAATGATTCATAGATTATTCATCAGGTTTACTTTTTACGTTTTAAAAAAAAAATCTTACAACGATGCAGAGCCCCAAAAGTGAAACTAGTTCTTCAAGATTTAATATCTTTTTTTTTTTGAAGAGGCTCTCGGCTGTTCCAAAATTGTATCACTCAATGGTTTCCACGTAATGATATAAAATGACCAATAAAAGGTAAACATGAATACGCAATGTGAGCGACATCTTCTAAATGTGTTTGTAGGACTAAAATGTGTTCCATCTCCAGACAGACATCATGGATCTTGGATATTTGATTGTCCCTAATTGTGGCTTAATTCTTTTTTTCTTTTATCAACACATGCCATTCTTGCTGCAGAGCATGCACCATGTTGAACAAGAACAATCTTTGAGGTAGCATTTCAGGGAGTGTGTTCCACATCTAAACAAAATCTGTATAAATGCTGGGATATGATAAAAAAAAAGTATGAATCTTCTTGAAAAACAGAAATGAGGCAATGAAAATGTGATATCTTGAGACTCGGATGGCTTCAATAAAATGACTTTTTTAATGCACATTTGGAACATCTTTCCCATAGCAAATATACACCCTGCGTGGATGCTTCTTTTATCATTGAATTCTCAAGCTTCCCAACATTTGATTAATTCTGCCAGGGAGAAGACCTTTGTAAAAACTGTGCTTCTCTTCTCCTTTGTTAAATCTTCGAAACTAGACGCGCCGTAAGACAATAGTCACGATAGGCCTAAATTGCTTCAATTCATGACCAAATCATAAATTTATCAAAATGTGAGAAACACATTCTTTATGCACATGTAGAAGTATGGCACAAAACAGTTGTCTGATTGTATAGCCGTACTTTGACGTCATCCAATACAGCTCGCAGCAGATACTCCCGACGGCTTTTGTTTTCCTTCTGAATTTTAGCAGAAGCTTTTTTAGTTTCAATTTTTTTTTTGTTACAGCTGAAACTCCCCTTATCTAATTTCGGTGTTGTAGATTGTTTCAAATATGTAATCTTAAAAAATTAGTCAAAGTTTGCCACAGTGATGGTACCGATCTTTAAGATAAGCATTTTTTAGTTTTTGGGGTGATCGGTTCGAGCAAAATGTTTACTAATGACATGACAGTCTGCTGTGACATGCACCAAAGCATAGTATCACTGTGTCCAACATATTTATGGTATGTACAAATGGAAGAATGAAATGAAAAATAGCAGTGACGACACAAGTTGACTCGAGGGGAAGAGAGAGACCGGTGTTACTCACTTCACAGTGGGAACAGGAACACGAGTTACCGGTCCCACAACAAGACGGTGTTGAGGGGGACCCACAAGAGCAACAGGACTAAGGAAGAGGGTTAGTGGGGAGAGAGAGGGGGGTTATTATCCGAAATACAAGGCAAGTTAGAAGCAAAAGAAACTGTCTAGCATTTAGGCTGTGGCTTTTAAAGATACTTTATGCATAGAGCTGACAACTTTAGATTAGCATTTGCTTGACACAGTCTTGCAAATTAACAAACAAAAGGAATATGATCGTGAGCTGCAGCTATCACCCATTTTAAGTGCAAACACACTGCGTAGGCCTACAAGCTTTGCAGAAATCATTCCGTACATGAAAGCTACAAGAATGGTGAAGTAACAAGTGGAGACACACAATTTTTAAAATCGCTTTTAAGAATTGCCTTTCATTTCCATGCATAATCATTGAGTAGTTTTGTTTCAGGACGTTATTAAATTCCCAGTATAAATCATTATCCTTGGAAATTTTGCAGGGACTCAAATTTACTTTATCATGTTTACCTTTGCTTACACATACACGTTTGTTTATGGTGTAAATCAAGGATTTTCTTTTGTTCCCCTTCCCTTTTCCTTTGTTTGTACTATAACTTTTTCGCAACAGCTCTCATTGGTTTTGTACACGTTTCTAACCGAGGAATCCTCGATTTGGTCCCTGTCCTCGATTCTCCGATGATGTTGCACATGTGTGTCCTCGATTTACACCATAAACAAACGCTGTACCTCTTGAACAAAGTCATGGCTCTGCAAACACGCTGGATGAGGATTGCTAACAATTTTATCGAGATGCTGCGCCAACATTTCCAAGACCATCAACTTTGAAATAAGCTTATTAGCAAGACTACCAAACACTGGTGAGGAAGGCAGCTTGAATGGTTGCATTGCATCTACTCTGATGGATGGCAGATAGGACAGCGAATGAGAGTTTGAAAAATTACATACATACGGGGATTCAGTCATATGGGGATACAGTCATTTTAGGTTCCTCAAAAATTCTTTCCAATGTCACCCCCCCCCCCAATCTGCAGGTCACAAAATCACAAAGTTGTCAGAACACTTATTGTACGAAAGGAGTAAGGTATTACACACACCCAGATTTACATATGTCCAGTCTGCTTTCTTGTGTGCTTGTGTACAATGCTTTAATAATAATAATAACTGGATTTTATACAGAGCGCCAAATTGCCAAATACAAGGTCATGGCTGGTGGTAAGTTGTCTAGTCTGAGGATCAGACGTTTACGTGTGCAGAACCACACAAACGAACGTCTGATATATCCTAGCATGCAAATTGTACGTGACCCCGTGCGCACCAGCCAATCAGAGTCGACTTTAGAAACTGTGACGTCATTTCGATCAGAAACGTGGAGTAAGCTGTTGATGGGTCGATTTGGCTGCCACGTTTTTGTAAAACAACACTTGCCTGATAAATAACCAAGACAACAATACAAATGCACTGAATTCTGGTTCAGCAATGCCTTACAGGTCCTATTCACAGGTTGAATTCTGACTCAGGATCAAAATGACGACAACAAAAAAAACCTTCGAATGTGGGATGTAGAGGTTGTACTTGTAGGTGCCTTGGGCTGGGAATATGGTATGATTTCGTGGTTTAAAGGGTGGTACCCGGTACATGTAGTAGGTTTTAAAGGGAGCACACCATTCCACATACCACAGTTCAGCTCAAACTTTACAGAAATGACTCTTGCCGACACACTGATCAAGTCCTGACGAAATCAACATGCATTACGAGAACATTTTGCATCACATATCGGGCCTTTTGGCAAGTACCAGAAACTACTTGATGCAAATGCGAATCGACTTTGACATCTGGAAACATTCACTTCGAAATTTCACTTGAGTTGCAATGCCTTCCACTTTTTCAAATTTGCAGCACCAATTGCTGAAGTGATTCCACAAATTTGCTTTCATGTTCGCTTTCGTGCAAAGTATAAACCGGCCGTTAAAGGGAATATATATACAACATTTGTAAACATCGAAAAATAAAACTACCAAGTTTTTTACGAAATACCTTACTAGGATGTTGGTAAATGACAGTCACAAGCATTCTGTAAAATTACGGCACCTGGTGTGAAGTCATTTTCAAGAAAATGGTATTTTTGTATACATTTCCAACGGTGGTCGGCAGACCACCGTTGGAAAAGCCTAACTACATGTATTGTTCAACTACTGCTCCATATTTACCATTTGTTTCAGTTCAAATTGTGTTTGCTATTGGTTACATGTTCATGAATGGGTGCAGGCCAGCTAGACTGGTTCCCTTACCTTACAATTTTCAGGCATCTATAAATTGATCCATTTCATCTTTAGTGGAGTCAGAGAACCAACTTGAACATTTTTGTTTTTCTTGTTTTTTTCGAGCATTTTCGGACACGAAACTTCAAACATGTCAGTGTAACAATATTTTGATCTATTATACTAACCCCTCAACTAGTTCATTTCTGAAGATTACAGCGAAAGCCAATGATGTACATTCCCTTTAATGGTGCCCATTTAAAAAGCAAGAACATAACATCTACTGTAAATTGTACAAAGACCCATATTGCAAGTTCCTTAAATGTGCCGCTTTTCTGTCTCCAAATTACAGTGTGATTTTCTTGTTTACTTTCTGGCATAACAGAGGGAAGAAGTTTCCGGCTTTGCGTCAAGGGCAATGATGATGGAGAGAATGAGAGTCCCACTCAAGCTCCTAAAGACTACCTGCCACTATCCACAATGGATCAAACTCCCAAGCAACCTGTGGATGTCTGAATACAGGTGCGGATCAAGGATTTTTTTAGATGAGGGGCACACCTTTGGAGCAACTAATGTGAGCGCGGGCCACAAAGCCCTTAAGGCGCTGGGTCCGGGGCCGGCTTAAAAACCCTGAAAAATTTTGGATTCTAGATGCTCTGTGCTGCAATCTGAGGCAATTCTTGGCCCCTTTCCCCTGAATTATTTGAGCAAAATGTTATTAGATAAGGATTTTTTAAAATATACTCTTGCTTTTACAAATTGTAAGTTACTGGTTTTGTTTTTTGAGCGAAGCAGTTTTTCATCAATTCAGAACTGATTGAACTGATCCAGAAATAGGAAAAGTGGCATCGGTACTTTTGACGTCGCAAAGTCAAAATTAAAAGAGCTGAAATTTGGAAAATTATTTTGTAGTATCTCCATCACTCAAGTCAAACTTTTTAATCAATGTTACTTGAATTTGTGGATCAGTTGAGCGGAAAACAGCCTGAATGATGTTTGCTATCCGGAATGGGAAAACGACTGTACCGGTACGATCAAATTTTCCTCGCTTGAACTTCAGAAAGCAACACACTGTGTTCCATCAAACTTGCCAGAGCGAGTCTCGAGTGCTAAATCTTGCCTTTTGGCAATACCTGCTGACTGTTTTTGTCTTAAGACCGGCCTGTCACATTATATGCGCTCCCATAGGAGACTTTACGGCGACCAACAATATTAAATTAATTTCACAATCGCAGCGAGGATGCAAGAAAACGACAATGATCTCTAATGTCCCCTACATGACCTCTGACCTCAACCTCCCAGAGAAGAATTGTCTCTTGCCACCCAAAGCCCACTGCTTCAAAGTTTTATCGGAATCCAACACAGCATGTACAATGTTACAAAGGTTCTTCAAAAACTCAACCTAAAACTTCTATGAATTAATCAATTATTGACCTCAGCTGACCTTTGACACACGACCTTCCCCCTGAAAAATACCCCACATCATCTTCGACACTCAGTGACCCTTGCGTCCAAGTTTTCTGGAATTCAGTTGGGTACTTGGGAAATGAGAGTAATTTGAAAAACCTGAACATGTACAATGTACGGGCATACCGTTATGCAGTCCTACAGAATTGAGTGACACAAAAACCCCAGCTGTTTGCGAGGTCACAAAAGTCATAATAATTATGTGTATTTCTATATCTTTGTACTTCCAATGCTATTAATGCAGAAAACAGTGCTAGACTACTTTGTGATTGCGGGATTATATACACCGACAACAATGTAACACTATCGGTTCGGCAATTGTCTTTGTACATCCAATGCTAATGCAGACTACAGTGCTTGACTACTTTATGCTTGAGTAACACTGATGGATTCATCTCTCGGTTAAAAGGACGATGGTTGGTAAAGAGACACACCCTTCCATATAGAACAACTCAGCTCATACTATACTGACACACTGATCAAGTACTGAAGAATTCAACATGCATTACGAGGACATTCTGAATCATATCGGGCCTTTTGGCAAGTACCAGAAACTGATACTTTTGGCCTGTGTTTTGATTAAGATTCCAACTGCGTTTCACTCCATAGGGCAGGTGTTCCTGGCTGCTAACACCGATCACTGGTGTGCAGTACCAGCCAGCCAGATGATCAACTGCAGCCAACTCCGGCTGGCTGAGTGTCAAGAAGAGCAGAAGAGCTACAGTATTCCCTATGAGATTGATGATGATGGAAACAAAGTCTACTCCTCGTGTGAGCGGTATGTCATGAATGATGAAGACGTTGGTAGAAACATGAGTTTGAATTCAACGGACGTCATCTCCTGCGATGCTGGCTGGAAATTTGATCACTCACGCTACAAGTCCACCATCAATGAAGATTTCAGCTTGGTCTGTGACAGACAGGATCTACCTGCCTATGCCCAGTCAGTTTGGTTTGCAGGATTGCTGGTTGGTTCCTTGGTGTGGGGTTCTGTGGGTGACTGGATTGGTAGGAGAAAGACCTTTATTTTAACTGTCATTCTTGTCACAATTTCATCGACTGTTACATCTTTTGTGCCCAACTTTACTGCCTACGCAGTCATGCGCTTCTTTACAGCAGCCTGTGCTTATGGTCTAAATCTCATGATATATGTCTTAGCTTCTGAAATAGTTGGTCCTAAAAGTCGTGTAGGTGCAACAACTGTGCTATTTCTAGCCTTTGCTGTAGGTTATATGATTCTGTCCCTTCTGGCATTCATTCTGAAAGCATGGCGCCACCTACAGTTAGCTATATCACTCCCCTTCGTCCTGACTTTTCTTGCGATCATTGTGTTCCCTGAATCTCCTCGCTGGCTGATAACAAAAGGCAGATACAAAGAAGCTACCAAAATCATTGAAAAGATAGCTAAAGTGAATGGTACCGAGGCTCCAGAAGACTTACTGGACAAACTGAGTGAAGACAGCAAAGAAGACAAGAAGCAGCCATCTCGCATCCCTGTCACCCAACTTGCTCTGATCCGCACTCCCAACCTCCGCAAGAAAACTCTCATCCTTTGGGTTGACTGGTTTGTTGCTAACATGGTATATTACGGACTATCTCTGAGTACCTCTGCCTTGGGGGTAGATGATTACCTTGCTGCCTTTGTCTCTGGTGCCATAGAGATACCCAGCTATCTTTTCTGTTGGTATATGATGGACCGTTTTGGCAGACGCATTACCCTAGTTGCCTTCTACATCTTTGGTGGAGTGTTTTGCCTCATAACAATCTTCATTCCTCTTGGAGCTGCCAGGGCTGCAGTAGCCATGTTCGGCAAATTTGCAATCACTGCAGCATTCGGTCACATCTACATCTACTCCCTTGAAATCTATCCAAAAATCATCCGGAGTATCGGCATGGGTACATCTTCCATGATGGCTCGTGTTAGTGGCATCCTCTGTCCAATCATCTTGAACCTGGGCAAGTACTGGAAACCACTACCTCTCTGTGTCTTTGGAGGAAGCGCCATCATTGCTGGAGTCCTGTCTCTGATGCTCCCAGAGACCATGGGATACAGTCTGCCTGATACCATTCAGGATGGAGAGAATTTCGGCAGTAAGTCACACAATC